AAAATGTTAAAGCTAAGCAGATCATAGCTTGGATAAAATATGGATATTTAAGCTGCAAAGGGTAATGAACAAAAAACATAAAATGCCACACCGCACAATAAACACCATCAACAAAAAAAAGCCTTCATCAGATACAGATACAGATATAATATTACATGGCACCCGAATGGGCATCTGCAGATTTCCCTTCCATTAGGCCCAGACTCAAATAAACAAATTCAAAATCCAACATACAAAAAATACATTTTATCCAGTAACCAGGAATCCTCTTTCGGCCAAAAGTAACCAACATTTGTTGCCGCAGGAAAAGTTGGATTGGGCGAACTATTTTTTATGGCCCAAAGACCGGGGCTCTGTAACATGTGCTGATGGGGCGGGAAAATGGGTATGGTGGGGTCTATGGGTGGGAGGTTGGGGAATCATAAAAATAAATGAAAAGGTCACTTTGTATTGGTTGTGGGACAATTTAACACAGGCAAATGTGTATGCAACTGTAATTTTTCTGTTCGTGGCAGCAGCAGCCACAACCAGAGACCATATGAAACAGCAACAATTGTATACACACCACACACAACACACACATGAAATACATACCAAATAGTTGGGGCATGTCCTTGGTGTTTGGGGAGGGACATTGTGTGTGTGTGTGGGATGTCCAGGCAAATGCTTGGCAAGGTCCTTTCATTTGTTGTCCCACGCACGCACACACCCAAACATTTACTCATAAGCCTTAACAAGCCCCATTATTATTGGGCTCACACACACATACACCCCAACAATTTCCCAACACACACACACACACATGTTGGCCAAATGAACATGTTAAGTTTTCAACAGCTATAAATTATTTCTTTACCAGCCACTCGGCTTTTTCTCTATGCTAAATGCCCCCTAAATGAAAATAATTTATTGTGGTCATTAGAGCAGGTCCTCCCATCGGCTCCTTCTTTGAGGAGGCGAATCCTGCCACAGTCTACCAGTTATTATATCCTGTTGCTGGTAATTATTTACACTCAGCACGGGGAGAGTTTCAGAACAGAAACAGCTCTCGAGTTGCTCCGATAGCCATCTTATGCTAATGTCCTGTCAGCATTCGATGGTGGCAACTGTACTTCAAGATAAGGTCTAATAAGGATTCAATTTTTATATCCCTGTAGGATATTATAATTTCAGTCAGAAGCTTAAAATCCAATCAAGGAGTCTTTTCCGACCCTATAAACCATATATATTCTTGATCAGCATAAACTGCTGCATCGATACACCTAGGTCCGGTCAAAAAATGATAAAAAATTTGAATTTTCTTAAATTTTAAATTGAGTATGCAGATTTATAAGCATAACAAAAACTTACATAGGAACGGTTTCCAAATTAAAATTAATGCATTTTTGGCTTAGTTATGAATATTTCAAACTTTTACTTTATAGAAGAAATTGTCATATAAAAATATCAATAAATATCAATTCAAAGAATCCGAAAATTTTAAGATATATATAGTTCAACTGCAAGGTAGTTAGTTTCTATGGATGGTTCAGTTATCTGCCTTACTTTCCGATTCAGGTTAAGACTCCTCCAACGCCTAATTTTATTATTATTAGAAAATATGTTTTATTTATCTAATAAAATAAATTTAATTTGAATAACTTTATAAGAATGTGATCCTCAAAAAGTTTATTCTTCTGTCCGGTCAACGACTTGATCGCCTTTGTAGTCCAATGTCTGATCTTTAAATGATCGCTATTGAATCTTGCCGTCGGATTTTTGGAAGAACTAGAACATCCCATACTAAATTGGCATTCTAGTCGTCCAGCAAGTCGAGGCACGGTTAGATGACCATTAGTCCAAATTACATTCGGTTGAAATAGAGAAGACAAAGAATCTTGCTACGCAAGTATCAAGTCTCTACCCTTCATAGTTAATTAAACCAAAGTTAACTGAATGTTTTTCTTAATTCAAACCTATAAAAAGTATTACTATCAGTACTGTCATATAACAAGTTCTGCATTTAAAGCTGAAAAGGTGCAACCAAGAAGCTTGTGAAATTATGCAACTTATTGCAACAGTTTATTCTCGCAGGCAAGTCAACATTGGCTTAAAGTGGTCTTCATTTGGGTTTACCATGTTTTATTTACTGACTCACGCCATTTTCAAGTTTTGGATGTACAAGCGCAAAGCTGTGCTTGATTCCAGGAAACCAGGAATCCTGTAGCAAAGGGTGAGAAGTAGACGAGCGGCAAACAGGCCAAGATGGCAAAGAGATGGTCAAGATGTTCAAGATGGCCAAAAGCAAACAATGAGAGAGAGAGATCGGACCGGGCAAACATACTTAAGCAGCAGAAAACGAGCAATATGTAAATGTGTCTGGAGTTTTGGGTCTCCGATCGCCGGTCTCCGGTCTCTGGTCTCAGGTCTCTGAGTTCGAGCAAACAGCGCAGACTAGAAAGGGGCGAACCCATGGGCGGAAAGCCAAGAATGGCGAACGAAAGACTTCGGAAACGAACTCGATCGATCGCTGGGTGTGCTCTGGGTTCGATAATATCGCCACTGGGATTTTCCCGACGGCTAATTGCATCCGAAGGATATTATTTGCCCGCGCATCCTGTGCAAACCGAACCCAGCCCGTCCTGCCCCATTTACCCTCCGTTATGGTTTTCCTTTTTCCTCCTTTATTTTTATTTTTTGCCGGCTGCCTGCCTGCTCGGCGTTCGCACTCTCGCGTGTTTGCTTTATGAGTTTACAACCTCAGACTAATTGAGGCGGGGAAATTCGCTTAGGCGGCCATAAAATCGAATTGTTTGCAAACACACAAGCAGAAAGGATTGGCCATAAAGCATCATACAATGCCGTGCGGTGAATATTTAGGGCAAGGACATCCACCCAGCGAAAGGGTTGATCGAGGATCGGCCTGCATTTCCGCGTACTCCTTCGAAACGAATTCTTAATGAAAAAACGTGCAGCATCTTTAATGAATGACCGACTGTGGGATATATGTAGGTAGCCAGACAACTACATGGCGATCCATTCGATTCACTTGTCCATACGCTAGATACATTTCTTCATTAGCCTCCAGCCTCCAGACTTGGCCTCCCCTCCATTTTCATGAGCGGGCATTTTATTGAGTTCCATACTCTGTTGATTTTTCTCATTTACCTCGTCGAGTTGTTGCCGTTGTTGTATCAGACCTTAAACTAATGGCCATCGTTGGCCAGTGTTTGTCTTTCAGCGCCATAGAATGCCCAACTTCATCCACCGTTCCCAAGACCCCCTCGATAAAGTCAATCCATTCACGATGTAGATGTAGACTTAAAAAAAGTAGAAAATAATAAAGAGAAGATGCTGCAAGATGCGCGTGATCTCGAAAATCACGAAAAAGCTATAAATAGTTGCCGCATTGAGGCTCATAAATATATATTTTAAACATTGACCCCCCAGTAAACTTTCGAAGCAACTAATTATATACGTTGTAGAGTAAGCAAATTTGCTTTATATAATATATTCTTTGAAATTAGCACCCAAATTGAGACAATAGCGAAACAAATAAAATATATATTTTTAGATGTTCGATATTAGTATATTCAAGGCTTATAAACATATATAATTAGATTTCTTTTGGTTTCAGGTGAAAAAAATGTTATACAGGGACTATGATACTCTACATTAAATGAATAAAAAATATTTATGTAGCGAAGACATAAATATATCTAAGACCCAAAAGAACTTCAAAATATAACAACGCTCTTGATATAAATAAAAATCTATGAAATTTCTCATTAAAAATGAACGACAAATGAGTTAGAGAATGACCCCTAAACTGTATTTAATTCTTTTTTTTTGTATTATTTCATGAATTCAATCAACGTACAGTCATCCTATATAAACGATGAATGGCTAAATATTAATCTAATTTTGATGGCGAATCTCATCTGACTAAAAACCTGTCACGCACCGCCCCAAAAATGTAAGCCCAGCAACTCCGCCCCGGGGCCCAACTCATATTTTGGCCACATACACAAATTGACGTATGTTTACAACTCGAAATTCAGCTGAAAATTTAACCAGAAAAAAAATACAAAAAAAAGAAAGAGTGTTGGAACAGCAAACCCGTTTTGAACTACAAACAGACCCCGTGGAAAAAAATACAAAGTTTTAATTGGTTGCGCACACAAATCACGAAACGAGCGTCTAAACAAATCAAAGCCATTCTGCCACGGACAGTGACTCCAGACTTTTAACCACACAGAGAGAAAATCATTAAAATATATATATGCACATATTAAAATGGGATCAAATGAAAGGATTGATCAAAGTGTCTTTCATTTCTATGTGGATTGGGGGTGTTTAATCAATTCTTTTCAATGTTTCCTAATGAATATTTGAATCTCTTCTTTATAATCAATTTCCTGTTGTCTTATTAATGTTTGAATCTTCTTTGTAATCAATAATGCAACATTATTTTTAATTTAATAATTACATTTATTATTCGCTTTTCAAGACTTTCACCATATAGTATTTTTCCGTGCATTGTGGACAATGGAAACACGTTTCACTTAATTTTTGGCGCATGCAAAAGTTTGAACGATTATCCACGGTGGCCTAAAAGGGTAACCCAGCCGCAGGACTCCCTGACTCCAATCCCGCGAGATGTGCTCTCGCCCTGAGCTATCCAACCCACCTGAAAAGCCCCCCAGGCCAAGGCTTCTTACCTGTGGCCGCTGTTGCTTGGCCCAATGGCCGCATATGGACCCGAGCGAGAGGGACAGAGATGACATACACAATCGCTCTTACCTGTTAGAGGGCGTGGCCTAACCTGGCCTAAACGATCACCGGTTGGGTAAGAGCAGGACGGACATAGGGAGCGGGAAACCAGTTGGTACTCTAGCCGGCCATCAAAAGTAACAACAAAACTGACCAAAGACGAGGAATAGAGGCACCGAAAGCGCGGCTTGTGATGGTTGAAGAAATTAGCACCGATCGTCGATCATTAGCTCGGGAACGGTGGCAACGCAAACACACACGATCGGCGGCAGTGAATAACTCCACGGAACTCGGATTCGAATCGAAAAAAACTCAAAAAAGCGAAACGATACACAAGGGATAAACTCACGCGCTTCCTTTTCGCACCTTAAAAATCACATTCATTAAATTCATTATTCGACAGTGTAAATCGTTCTCAGATCCACAACCAATTCAAGTGATCCTTTGAGACAATTGTGAATACAAAAGTGCAGTCTTTTGGGAGTGTTTTAAGCCAAACTAAAATCTGAAATTTAATTTAATCCAAGACTACAAGAATCTCTTCCACTGGATTATATCGAGAGCGCCGAGTTGCGGCGGGGAAAAGCTTTCCAAATATGTAAGTTTATCTTGGCACAACAAATATTACAGACTTGATTTTTTACTCTAATAAGTCCTGATTTTTATACCCTCTTAAGGCACTTTAAATTTAGTTAGAACTATGTGAAGGAGAAAAGTCCGACCCCATAAATCAAATATATTCTTGATTAGAATAAACAGCTGAATCGATCAAGCCACGTCTGGTCGAAACATAAATTTTTGAAATTTTTAAAAATGTTCAAAAACAGATAGATCTTTAAAATTATCAAAATGTATAAAACATCATGTAAATATTAAATTTGATATGAAGATTTATTAATCTACTTAGGAAAGCTTTCCAAATTGAATTAAATGATTTCTTTGGCGAAGTTATGTGATTTGTAAACTTATATTAGTCGAAAAATTGTCATATAAAAGTATCGATTTAAACAATGGGAATATTTGAAGGTTAGTTATGATTGATTTCCGATACGGTCCAATAATGCAATTGGAAACTGCCAGGATGTATCAACATCGGCATCTTAAAGTTAGTTTGATCTATAAAAAACATATCTGTATCTAGTAATTTAGTACATACAATTCTGTTATAAAACCTCCTAAATTAATGATTTAATTCTGAAAATCTACACAATTCAACTGTATCCCTTAGAACACAAAATCTCTGTATCCTAACCCTCAGCCCCCAGCCCAAGCTAGTGCTCTAAAAACTAAACAAATTCCTAACTTTACCCCAAAACAGATCTATCTCAAAGTCCCCCAAACATTATCTTATTTTCGATTCTCCGAATCAAGAGCCCCAAGACCCCATAAAATGTCTAAGCTTATGTATATTCCCGTGTGACATATGACCATAAACGTAATCAAATAGCAAATTGGCAAACCTATTTAAACGAACGTGTGAAAATCAAATGCCGAATCCAAATACAACCACCAAGCAGACACTTTTTGACACTCTTTCCAAAAAAAGAATAAAGTGTTGACGAGCGGCCCGAAATCCAGCGAGCAAGTGACAAAAGCCCCCATTAACGATCCTAATAATACCTCTAATGACATAAAACAGCAGAAGCCCGGGGCGGGAGGAGGAGCTATGTATATCTCTTAGTGGCCGTGGGCGTGGCACACGTTCACACGCAAATTAGTGGGGACATAAGAATTTCAACGTAGACATGGATTGCCAAAAAACACCCGACTGACTTAGATCGGCCAATTACGACGCATGTGAAAATTATCCTATTAAATGCAAATCAAAGATTCCCCACAAAACACACCGCACCCGGTCATCGCCTCCGCCCCCGCAGATCGTTTAGTACTTGACAAATGCTTACTAATTAATTACAGTTTGTACAAAATTTTAGTATGCCCCTCATAAAGTGCGCCTATCACTGTGCCGTGCAGTGCAGAAAACAAAAGTGTGACAATCGCGCCCACCCACGCCCCCCATTCGGAAGAAGAAGCCTGATTTGCTATCAAATATCTTAAATTTTATTATTAAGGAGCTGGATTTAAAGGTGACTGCCTTTATTTTTTATGCTTCAGAAACTGCGTACGCCTCCGCAGTGTTTGGAAATCTAAATTTGGTTTATTTTCATGCGAAGTGGTGTGTGAAATTTAGCAAATTCATTTTAATCGCCACCGAAGGGGCTACCACCAACCAAGTTGTCATTGTAGCCACCACCCGCTAGCATCCTGAGCAGGTGCGAAATATAATCCTTTTGAGCAAAAGTGCGAAGTAGGGCCAAGAAATCGATATACTTTACGAATCAATAATAATAATACACGCGCCAGGCCTGGAATTTGCGGTCGTTGATTTATCACAACAGATTTAATAAAGGAAGAAACAAAATGGATTATTGAACAAATTTATACAAATGAAATATACTTGATTATTTGTATATATTAATTAAAGTTTTATTATTTAAAATGTGGCTAAAAGTAGTCATTAAAAAGGAAACAAAGTATGCCATATATATTTGAGTGCTCTATTAATTTAATTTCTTTAGTTAAAAAAGAAATAACAAGCATTAATTTAAAAAGGCAACTAAGTATTCCATTTATTCTGGTAAATTAACCATTTAAGTTCACTCATTTAACTTTTGAATATAAAGTGCAATTATTTAAATAACATTTTAAATACCGCAAATATAAGAGAGATGAAAGTCATCAGTCCATTTGGTGTGCATCCAATTAAAGCCTATTTAACCCTAATGAAATGCAGTCACTATAGGGTTACTTTATAAATCCATTCATTTATAATGATTTTGTAATAAATTAAAGCAACATTGATGTAAAAGAAACAAATCTGAATATATATCTCTAAATCTCTCAATATTTTTCCATTCGCAACCATTAGTACATGTGTTCACATGTATTTTTTTGTACTTCTATTTGAGTTCGTAAGCGCCATATTACAAAAGGTTTCGGTTCGATTTCAAATAGCGCACATTTTTCATACGAAAAGTATAGGAGGGGAAAAAAACAAACCTCTCAAAGCGTCTGGGTAAATATCAAAGTCACGAAATGATTCAAAAATCAACAAAGACAACAACGTGGCGGATGGGGAAAGAGTCCAATGCAAACCCCAAACCCGTCATGGCTGCCATCAAAAGTCAAAGTATACTCTATACTAAATGTACATATATATGTACCCCGTAGAATCCGGCACACACACGCGCCCTCGACCGAGGAGACAACATACAAAAACAGCTTTTCATTAAGCTTAGTGATGGAGCCGAAGCTGGGACACCGAGTAACTGCTGCCGGGAGTGGTGGTGGAGCGGATCGATGTGGAACACAAACATGCCGGGCGGAGCAATGCCCATGAGCGGCATCGTCATGAAGAGTGAATTTTTATGGTGTCGTCTATTGGGGACATGAGAAAAACCCCACCAAGAATTGCGTGAAAATTAGGATAATGCGGCGGGAAGCTGGAAAAGCGGGGAAGAAACGGAAACCTTTGAACATCCATAAACTGACTTCGACTTCGACTTTGCTGGAAGGGTTAAACTTTGAAAGTCAACTGATTGAAATAAATATGATGTGGGAAACTTTTAATTGGCTGCCAAAGAAAGGAAAAGATGAAAGGATAATGTTTCAGCATATTAGTCAAATAGTATTTAAATGAACAAATATTAAACCAAGTAAATGAAGTTTAATTTATAAACCTATGTTATAAATTCAAAATGTTTTCCTAGACTTGATTGATTTGCTTTTTGAACTAGATAACTCCCTGGGGAGTTGCTGATTGATTATTGTAACCGTTTTATGTGGTTCGGGTCTCACCTAGAACCCCAGAGAAACCTGTTCGCTTGACACCATCAAATTAAATGGTTGACAAATAAGAAAGACACACCGAACCACATACGGTTATGGCCATCTTTTATGATGGAATATGGGCATAGAGATTTCCCATAAATCAAAATTGGATCCAAGAAGCAAGAACAATCAGCTTAAGGTATGTCGGGACTCTGTGTGTGTATTCATAAAAAGAAAAAGAGATGGAAATCCTAGACGGCGGCACTTGGCCTCCAATTCGTGGCCCCAATAAAAAAAACAAAACAATTAATACATTTTGTTAATTTATGATTACAAAACATTGCGAGAAACACTTTCAACATAAGGGGAAGGGGATTCAGAATTTAGACATCAACCCAAAAACCGGCACATCTAAAGGGGTTTCGGCATCGGAACGGCATCCATATGACCCTGGCCCGACCCCGACGCAAAACCCAGAGAAAACAGAGGTGTTTGTTGCCGCGGCCATAAATAAAAAAGGGTGCCCGTTGTTTATGGCCAACCAGCATCTCAGCCGACTCAGACTCAGAGCCAGACTCTCAGCCTCAAACCCGAGTCTCTGGCTCAATCCCAATCCCAATCGCAGACAAGATCCCAGGCATGGCTAAAGTGTGCAATATAATTAAAAGCCGACAAGAGAGCTGGACGAGCATTCTTCTAATGCTCCTGGGACAGTGTTGTAAACGCATAAAGCCGACACTTCGTCGACCAGGCGGGTGAAATTGCTTTGATGTAATGCCAATGTACACTGGGCATGGCCTTGATTGTATTCCCAAACCGAAAATCATGTCTTTTCAACAAATAAAGATGTAAGGAAACTAATTTTAGGGAAACTCAAGATGAGAAGATAATGAAATCAGAATCAGAAACTTAATTAGAACATTATTGGTAAGCTAGTTATTCTAGGGAAAGAATCTTAACTGCTATACCAAGCTTAAAAAATATTCAAGAATAATGTAAGCTAATGGTTCTTAATCCCAAGATTGTTTTTATCAGTTATTAAAATTTACTCCTTGAGGTTATTGGGACACTGTTCTAACCAAATGGGTGTTAAGATCCTTATAGTATAAACTTCTTTTATTATAAGGAAGAACCAAGAACCAAGTTACCAAAAAGCTATCCTATTACAGCCAATAATCCTTCACACAGAAAGCATTATGTTTAACTTATATATAAGCATTTATACAATCCTTTTTTACATATTTTCCTTTTCCAACTATTTTAAAAATCTTTCAAAAGGAAAAACTTCATTCAATTCATTAATAAAGTATTTCAATTTGATTCCTTTCTGCGCATTGCAGCTGACATGACCACATCGCACATCTTGTCCGCCGTGGATCCAACAACCGGACTCAGTGGCAATGTGTCAGGCGGCGGAGGAGGAGGAGCAGGTGGTGGTGGTGGCGCTGCCAATGGGGGCAGTGGCTCACCGCAGCATGTGACCCACAATGGACACGGACATGGACATGGCCACGGTTTGGGTGGCGTGGCTGCGGGCGGCAGTGCCAGCGGATCCACCGGCCACCGGGTCGTGGGTGGTGCCAGCAGTCCCAGCGAATTGGATCGCAACCTCCGCGTCTCACTGGACGACCGGGAATTGTGGCTACGGTTCCAGAACCTCACCAACGAGATGATCGTCACCAAAAATGGCAGGTGAGTGAGGGTCGGCAGAGGAGAAGGGTCTCCAGCTCGAAATTTAAATGTGTTAAATGACGATGGCGGCGCATTTTGTTTTCCTATGCAAATTGGCAATGAGGGTTTTGCGCTTTTGTTTTTTTTTTTTTTTTTGCTGCATTTGGTTTTCCATGTTTTTCATCTCGCTGCTCATCGCTTGGCAAGTCATAATGAAGCGTTAACGTTTCTCCAGTTCAGGCCAAAAGATAAATACACTCGGGCAAAATAATGAATAACTCGGGTAAATATTTAAATGCGATGAGAACAAAAACTTGTGTAAATATTGTAATTAAAGCTAATTAAAAACTATTCCAACTGCTATTTATTTAGAGCAAATAAAGTTTAGAACTCAAATATATTCATAATCCCTAGTAAATCAAGAATTTTAGATAGAATTTGAACCCAGCAGAAAACAGATCAAAATTGGTGTATTTTTCGGTGAGTGTACCATCTACGTTTGTTCGTATGTTTATTTACATGCGAGCATTTGTTGAAATAACTAAAAATATTTACCAATTTACGGGCATATGTATGGAGGATGTGTGTGTGTGTGTGTGCGAAACGCGCGTTTAGAACTTGGAACCGGGCCGAGAGTCGGGTCTGCTGGCCTGGTCAGGTGCTAATTAGCATGGCCCGGCAACAGCCGCCATCTTGTACTAATTGTTGTGGAACAGAGCCCGCATGAGCGTTCCAATATTTGCCCGCAACGCAATCCCAAGACCCTCAACCCCATCTCATCCCTTCTATCCTCCTCTCTTCAGATTTCATTTCAAGCCAAACTCTGGGTTTTTGGGGGGACTTTAGGTCTTGGCCAAAAGGCAAACAAGCCATGGCATTTGACTGCGTTGTTTGTCCACTATTACGGATGCAAGGCGACTGTTATACAACAGTTACAAATTGCTAATTGCGATCCCCGTTTTGCTTTTGTCATTACCTTCCAGACGCATGTTTCCCGTGGTAAAGATCAGCGCCTCAGGTCTGGATCCCGCCGCCATGTACACGGTGCTGCTGGAGTTTGTCCAGGTGGACACACACCGCTGGAAATACGTCAACGGGGAATGGGTAAGTCTAGAACTTAACTGACTAAGTAATGCTCCAAGATATATGAAAGATAACTTCCTGAAGGGATTGACAACACCTTAATCCAAATAACGTGATGGAGTTAGTCCCAAAAGGTGCTTTAACTTTGAAAATATGAAATATTAAACATAATATAAGTTCTTTCAAAGCTAAGTTTATTATACATTCCCCTTAAGACCTTCCTCTATAATTCCCATTTCATTATCTTTATAGGTTCCTGGTGGCAAGGCTGAAGTTCCACCCTCAAATCCCATCTATGTTCACCCCGAGTCGCCCAACTTTGGTGCCCATTGGATGAAGGAGCCCATTTCCTTTGCCAAAGTTAAGCTGACCAACAAGACCAACGGCAATGGACAGGTGAGACCCTCTTTCCCTATGAGACCTATAGTCACTATAACCCCACACAATTCCCTTTCCAGATAATGCTCAACTCTCTGCACAAGTATGAGCCGCGAGTGCATCTAGTCCGCGTGGGTTCCGAGCAGCGACATGTCGTGACCTATCCCTTTCCGGAAACGCAGTTCATTGCGGTGACAGCCTACCAGAACGAGGAGGTCACCTCGCTCAAGATCAAGTATAATCCATTTGCAAAGGCCTTCCTCGATGCCAAGGAGCGTCCGGACACATTATATCCACATGACACTCACTATGGCTGGCTAATACCTCCGCCCACGCACTATACCACCGCTGCTGCTGCTGCTGCCGTGGCTGCTCCTCCGCCCCCACTGCCCATTGCCCAGAGTCACGGACTGGTGGGATCATGTCCCAGTGTGTCCTCTGGAGCCTCAGTGGGTTCCTCGACGGGAGCCACTTGCGACCGATACGGACGCTCACTATCTGGACGTAGTGCGGCGCCCACTCGCAGTACTCCCTACAGCCGACCCCGTGTCGTTTCCGGTTCGGGATCTAATGGAAGTGTTGGCAATGCCTCCTCCACATCTCCTCAACCGCCGTCGGCCCCACAGACACCGACCAGCCTGCACTCCTCATCGACGGGATCGGTGAGCACCAGTGTGAGCAGCAGCAGTGGCAGCACAGGTGGCATCGGATCAGCAGCCAGCTCCGGCTGCTTCAGCAGTTCCTACTCGCAGTCCGGCTTCATGCCGGTGGAGGCCAGTACCACGGCCTCGGTATTCTCGTATCCTAGTAGCTGGCAGAGCAATGGCAACTATTGGAATGCCACAAGCGTGCCAGGACCGATGCCCATGAATGTGTGCAGTGGTCGCAATATCTGTGAGTAGTCTTAACATCCGGATATAAGTATTTTATTTCGAACTAAAATATGCATGAAATTTTATTGATTAATTAATGAAAACGTCGAGGGAAGTGAGGACGCATAAAAAACCATATTAACCCGATTTTTTCCTACCCACAACTCATTAAAGCTGTGCATAAATTTATTTATTAACATAATGTATAATCCATTAACTGGTGAAAAGCTTTCCTATAACTCCTAAGTGATTTAAAATTTCGTGGCTATATGGTCAGTAGTGATAAATAGTTTTAATTAGTAAATGACCAACTGAAATATGAACATAATTTAATTGAGTAATTAATGACAACGTCAAGTAGCCTTAAACCACTGACTGACTCCTTCTCCTGCCTCACCATCAGCCTCCCACAACTCACCGTCACCCACGAACGGATCGCCCAGCTACACAACCTCCTCGCCCAGCTATACTATCCACCACCTGACGCCGCATAGCCACCAGTACAACATGGCCCAGACGGACATCTATGGCACGGGAGTGGGCGTTGGAGCCGGTGTCGGAGCTTCGGGATCTCCTCAAGCGGCTTATGGAGCGGCGGCTCATCAGGTGTACCATCCCACGCCCACCTCACCCACCCATCAGCTGTACACGAATGCCGTGCTGAATGCTCCCTCGGCCTTGAGTTATCCTGCAAGTGGATGGCACAATGGTTCTGGGGCAGAGTATGGACTATACCAGAATGCAGCGGCCGCGTACTACCAGCCGGAGTATATTCCCCTGGAGATCGGGTAGGTTAATTCGGTGGGGAACTGTGCGCTCTTACCGCTAACGTAGCTATCAATGAATCCCTGCCACCCGCCTTACAGCTACACCGCCCACCCGCTGGAGCCTGTAGATGTGTCCAAGACGCTGGATGATCCACAGGCCGCCATGTACAAGCCGAGCGACGAACAGAGCTCAATTGTCACTCTGGAATGTGCCAGTTCTGGTTTGAAGATAGCCCACAATGACATCAAGATCGAGACACCGACGCTGGACCACTCGGTGGAGCGTGGAGCGGTTTCCGGTGCTGTCCTGGGTGGCTCAGTGCCCACCGCTGTAGTGACCGGAGCGGCAACCGTTAGTGCCGACACCTGGACACCTCTCACACCACCCCAGAGCACGCTGCAGTGATTGGATCGAAAGGATCAGTACCCCCTCCTACCAGCCCTTAGACGCATGACCCCCTGGATGTTCGATCATATTAGACTTAAAACCTGTATGTTAGTAACGCTATCAGTAATGCACTCCTAAACGCAATATCGCAATTATCGTAGAATTAACTATATGCTGTAAAACAATGTCCTATAAAGTTGTAATCAAAGTACACAAAGTTAAGTATTATTAACCTGTAGAAGGATCAGGTTACCAAATTTAATTTCCTAATTGCAGCCTCATTCAATCCTTTCATTTGTTAAATCGAACAGATACACTCTTTGCAGTATGTAAATGCCTAGAAACCATTTTAGAAAGGACACACAAATGCGAAATATTTTTGGTTTACTGGCAAGACACCATTTTAATACCCGAAAGCATTTCAAAAGTATCCTTTTGGAATAGAATGTTGCTCTCTTGGCACGACTGACTGAATATTTACTGGGGAAAATATTTGCTCATGCTAGAGTCCTAGAGTCCTTTGCCAGTTTATTTCTGCGTGTTGCACGATATAAAGTCAGAGGGCCCTGGGGTCCTGCACAGAGTGCAGCTATGTGCATCGCCGCAGTAAAACAAAAGACTTTATCTGGGGTCATAGGAACGACTTCAGCTGTACTTGAAATGGCACCTATTAAACTTGGAAATCGCCTTAACAATTACAGACAATAACGATGTGAGGGGACTGGAGAGAGAGTGAGAGAGATACCCCAAGCAGTGCTTAAGCTGGGCATCCTCATTGTTGGATCCAAAGGAGTATTCAATTTAGTTTTAAAAGTTTGCCCCAGCCTGCGGGCCACTTGCAGTCATCAGACAATGGAGCACCAGTGCCCCAGGCGATCTACAGGCGGCAATCTGCCGGGGCCAATCCTGCCCTTCACCCGGAATGCGCCTCAAAGAGCTTCGCTGATAATGAGTTTGGGTAATACGCGTGTGTTGGCCTCACCCAGTGCATTAGAAGGTGGAAAGTAATGGCCAGTGAATGGGCAGCGGAAACAACTGGACACCCGCAGTGCAGAAATAGTTGAAGCAATTAAAATTACACGGTCGAATCATTTGTGGAAGAATGCACACTTTGTGGAAAAGGGCTTGAAGCGGACACACAGACCGAAATATTTGCGTGGAAAATAAGAAAATGGATGTCGAATAATCACCAGACAGACCTAAAAGTTCCGGGAAATGAATAAAACCCTAACGTATTCGTAAGATATATGTATATTTAAATGAAATTCCCAACTCACCTGATAGTCCATTGAGTTGCCGTAGCCCATATGATTGCAGGAGCACGAACAGTGCTTGATATGCTGCTCCAGTTCGTCGTCAATAACCGTAGAGCCGGTGGGCAAGTGTACAAGTCCGTCCTGGTGGAAATGGACGTGCTCCAGGTCCCAGTGTTCCCGCTGCCGGTAACGAGCCTCTTTTGTCTGCGGCTCGACCAACTCGAGCTGATTTGCGGTATGTTGATGCTGCAGGCTTTGATGTTGCTGCTGCTGATGTTGGGTTTGCTGCTGCTGCTGTGCTTCCCCGGGCCAGTCCAAGGAGGAGGACTTGAACATCCGCCTGTTACCGGTCGTTGTGGATTGCATCTCGCGGCCGGGACTGTTTTGGGGACTGTTATCGCTCTCTTGCGCTGTTAAGCTGCCAACTCGCAAGAGAGCAGCACTCCGCTCGAAGCTTTTGGCGTCTAACTGCTGCTGCTGCTGATGATGCTGGTGGAAAGCTTCGTACGCAACAGTTTCATCCTCCTCGACATCGCTGACGTTCTGGTAACGCCGCATGGACAGAGCGCCACCAGTTGCTCCGTTGCCAACTGCCGCAGCCGTGGGCGTCACAGTTACCGCCGAGCTGGCCGCACTGAGCATCAGGCGAAGGATTTCATTGGTGTCCTTCGAGGGCAGTGGCACACTGCAGGAGCCAGTCTCCGCCTCTGAGACTTCCTGCGGCTCTGAGTTGACCTCGTCCGAACCGTTGGACTCCAGTTCGAGCTGTTGCTTTTGACGGGCACGTTGTCCCACTATTGAGGCAGCCGTGGAGTTTGCTCCGTACTTCCAGTAGGTCTTTCCAGTGCCTGCGATCCTTTGCAGATGATTGCCCGCCGCCTGCCGCTTACGCTCCTGGAGCTGCTGGAGATTTTTGAAGGCCTTGCGCACCGGCTGCGTGTGATGCAATGTGGCACAGCGCCTCATGGGCGGCGGCGTGTATACCGGGGACACACTGTAACTGTGCGAGTGACGTCCGGGTGACAGGGAACCACTAGACTTGGCTCCGACCAAGCGGGCCTTCAGCTTCCGGCCAAAGCCAAGTCCACTTCCGCCAGCATTGGCGCTTCCCGTTCGCGAGGAAAGTGAGTGGGCGGAGAGGGACAGGGCGCGACTGAATCGCAAGCCGGCTGACCTCTGCTGCTTGACGGCCATCAGTTGGCATTCGTCGATCGTTGGTAGCTTTAGCAGATGCGGATGAAGCTGGGCGTAGGTGAGCGTTGGTTTTCCACTTGCCGCCGTCTCGGAGGTGGGATTGGGCAGTGGGTCGAAGAGATTCTTCTGGCTGAGTGCCAGGAACTCGCGCTGCTCTTCTTCCTCGAGCGCCTTTAGCGCCCGCAGGTCCCACTCTCCGGAAGACATCTTTATGCGAGACAATCAGCCACTGGTCATATCTAGTTACTTGTTATTAATGATAGAGTGTTGATTTCACTCACTCAAAGCAGCACTATTGATGGGGAGGACACGTTTTTGCTTTTGATAAATGAAATAAAAGATAGAAAAATGAATAAATTAATATAATAATATATTAATTAACACCAAAACTAAGTCGTATACCTCCCATCACCGTTTGTAGTTTGAATTAAATCTCAATTGTTTTAATTGGTCACATTTTAATTTGATTAAAAATAAACAATAAACTAATACGCACAGTCCCGCCAAGTTCCCGTCACATTTTCGCTAATATCGTAAAATAAACGTTATCACTTCGAATACCGTTGCCACGCAAGGCTGCCAGCGTACTGGGCTAAAACTGGATGCGGTACCGTTACTTTATAACGGCTCTGCTAACAGCCGCAGCAACAGTTTCCGCAACGCATGCCACACACGGTGGGTGGATGCTGTGGATCGTAAGTGACCTGCCCCAACAAAAAACTAAGGCAGTGGGTCGTCATGTTAACAGTATGTAATAAAAGGCCCGCTTAACATTACCTTAAACACTTATTATATTAAAAATTGTAACATAAAAATAAACATAATAAAATAAAATAAAATTGTTTAAAAATCATGTTCTTAGAAACTGTCAATTTAAAACATATTAGAAAGGACCCTCATTAAGCTAAGACATATAAATAAACTCGTCTGGGGTTACTTTCAATATTCTTTAATTTCTATACCTTTGTGGTTGGATATTCTACGTTTTGTGTTAAAATATAAATATTTCAGATTTTCCTAAGGGCATAAAATGACCAAATATCCGTTGATTGCACAAATTTATATAAATTCATATAAATTCCAATTGAAGTCTTAAACAATTTATTATAAAATACAGCCACACGTGGAATGAGGCAGTTGCCACATGAAAAATAAATCTAAATAAGCAACAATATTTAAGTTTTTTTTAAATCTATGGAAAATGTTGTAAATTCTGGGCTAATTATTACTCATACGCCATGTTTTCTTTATACGTACAACGGGTCGTATGATTAATGAGAATCTTCATTAAATATTTAAATCAGAATAGTTGGTAAACTATTGCATTATTTTATTTTAATAATGCATAATATAAATTTATTTGATATTTTACCTTTCAGAGTAATATAACGTGATTCAGAAGATTGTAATTTTGAAGGAATCATTTCCGACCCTATAAGTCATATATATTCCTTATAAACATCAAACACAAAATCAATATAGGAATGTCTGAGCGAAAAATAAATTTTCGAATTCTTCAAAATTTTAAAAGGGGTTACATCGTTATTTTTTTTCAAAAATGTATAAAAATTTTAATTTTAAATTGAGTATGCAGGTTTATTAACCTAGTAATAACTAGCATAGGAAAGCATTCCGAATTAAAATTAATGCTTTTTTGGCTTAGTTTTGATTATTTTAAACTTTGATTTTTCGAAAATAGTGTCATATTTTAATGATGATTCAAAGAATGCGATTATTAATTATGACTTAATAGCAAGGGTATACAAGCTTCGCCTGGCCGAAGTTAGCTTTCTTTCTTTTTTTTTTTTTTAAATATAAATAATGTGTTATTTAGTTAGTTGTAGCTTCAGATTAAGCTGTTTAAATTTACAAATTATTGTTTAGTTGGGTTTTAATCAATATGATCAGTAATCGAGGTTACATATATGTGGGTTTACATTATTGCAAGACTACTAACCTCTATTCAAAAGTGACTTTTCTCAAATTACAGCCAAAGGTGGGCCGCAGGTGAGCCCTCAAGTGACAGGGCGGCAATGAAATATGCAGGTGCATTCATTTGGCATCCAAGGCAATTTCGCAGTCAGCAGGACGACGCTCTGCCATTTTTGTTAACCTCAACTCTAAACTCTCACCGCCGCTCAGTTGAACACTGTACGAAAAATAGGAACAAGAAAATAAATATAAATTAATAGAAGAAAATAAATATAGTATCAACATTATATTTACCTACAGTTAAATAAACATTTAATGACTCCAGAATGCTTATAAACCATAAACAGTGAATCTATGATCTAAGTATTTTCCAGTTTTAGGAGGCTTTTGTTCAGAGTGCCTGCATTCCTTCCAACCTGACAGCGACACCAGTTAACGTTACAACACATGGCCACATTTCTGCACACCTTCACCTGCGTACATACATATGTAAGCACTTGCACATGGCACATACATCCTGTGGAGTGCTCATCCTTCATCTTGATGTATGGGCATCAAGCATCGGACTGGATGAGTGCACGAGGAAGGGGAAATTGAGAGGGGGCCGCCTCTGCATCGTTGCACTCCCCGGAATGGTGTTAATGAAATTCAAGCCGGGTCCAAAATTTGCATTGCCACACAAATCATATAGAGCACACACAAGGATAAGAGTTTCATTATTAATAAGATACGTTAAAAATATTTGAATTTTTTGTATACATACTTATGAAGATTTGAACGTAGTTCATTCAGGAATATATTATTATTTATTATTAATAATTAATTATTTAACAAAGTTATTGATTATTTATATTTATAGCATTCAGTACCAAATCTGTACTTTACATGAAAAAGCCAAAAGCACTACAATTAATTCTTTTTTATCTGGATTTAATGGTTATTTGCAAATAATTAAAAACGTTCAGATTTCAAATATAAAAACAAAATCATTGTAAATTAACATATGTAACTGTGGCAAATAATTGTAAATTGATAGATTAACATTCATTTATTATCATTAAAAGCCAAATGTAAACAAAATCCGCTTTAATTTAAAGTGTGCTGAGAAACCACAAAAAATAAAATTATTTTGTACAATTAAAAACTGCAAACTTGCCCCCAAAGCCACATACATAGATGTCGGAATCAGGCCATAACTTATCAGGGACATGCTCAACAGCCACGCCCATGTCCTTTGGCTGTAATTCCCTGCTGCAAAGGATGTTAGTAGTCGAGATCGAAAACAATAAAGAGTTGCAACCAGCCGACCCTTGGCAAAGTCTGCGTTTAATTTCTTTTTCGGTGGCATTGTGGAAAAGCAAGCTGAAATCAAACAGACTTCTGCAGCTTTTGGCCAAATGGCGAAGTTTTGAATGAGAAAGGCATCTGCACCGCATGTTGTTTGAAGCAATACAAATCGAACCCGCCAAGGAACCAAAAACTTATTGAATAGAATTTTAGATTCAGTTTGCAGAATACTTTATATTTCTGTTTTTTGTGTCCGTCTGTCAACTTTACCCCGTTCTATTTCTTTATAATTTTACTAGGAAATTGCATCACGAAATTGAAAAGAAAGGTTATAGTAAAAGAAGGTATACAAAAGTTATGAAAAACCAATAATTAATTCTTTAAAGGTAAAAAGGTTTTTCCCTCTCAGAAGAATATGGTATTATTTGCCATCAACAGTGAAAAACTTAAATTGAATACAATAGCTCAGGTTAAAAATGAAGTGAAAACACTAGTAACAACCGAAATAGCCAACAAATGTCCCAAAAGGGTGGAGGAATGGGACACAATCAGAGAAAGTGGGATATTGGGGGCTTTCGGTCATAGCCGAAAAGGCTTGGTCGACATCGCGTGGCGGGACCAAAAATTCATTAAACATTTCCAAACTGCATATTTGTCATCGGCCCAAATGCGAGGCAGTGCGTCCCGCGGATGCACTAGCCCCTCCCGGTGGACATCGGTCTGTTTCGAAGCAGCTGCACCCGTTCCCCAGAGTACACCAAAAATGCCCTGATTTATTGCCTCGATGCCATGCTGACATTTGGTTCGCAGCCAGCACCTTTCCGATGCATTCAATGCTTTTCGATTGCCAGCAGAGGACTTAAAGTCAAGGGTATTTTAAGGGTTAATTTTCAATTCTCCTTGACGGGGAAAAATGGGAATCTCTTTTAAATGTTTGATTAAGTTTTATGTTTAATGAAAGGGAAAGTTAAGGTCATCATGGCAAATAACAAGCGAGGTCGATGGTCCTAAATCGGTTTATAGTCCAGCTTCGATTCTAGCTTTTTGTTGTCAGCAATTTTGCGGACCGCCTTCATGAAGTCCTCCTGGATGACATACTCACGATCGGAACGGAGCGCAAATAGCCCGGCTTCCGTGCAGATGTTACGCAGATCGGCGCCATTAAACAAGTCTGAGAGCTTGACCACAGCCTCGTAATCGATTTCACCACGCTTGGCCAACGGTCCTGCGTGTATCTTGAGGATATCTAAGCGTGCCATCTCATTGGGCAGCGGTATCTCCAGCTTGCGATCCAGTCGTCCAGGACGAAGAAGGGCCGGATCTAGGGTATCCGGGCGATTAGTGGCCATGATCATCTTCACCTGGCCAAGAGCATCAAAGCCATCCATCTGGTTAAGCAGCTCCATCAGAGTGCGCTGGATCTCGCGATCAGCGGATGTTCCCTCAGAGAAACGGCGCCCACCAATGGCGTCGATCTCATCCATGAATATGATACACGGTTGATGGTCACGGGCGTAGGCAAACATCTCGCGTATCAGACGCGCACTCTCCCCAATATACTTGTCCACAATGGCTGAGGACACCACCTTCAAAAGGTGGTGGTTAAGACTAAATATATGTTATCCCAACACCGAAAGCATACCTTAAGAAAATTGGCATCCATCTGGGAGGCGATGGCGCGGGCCAGCAGAGTTTTACCAGTGCCAGGTGGCCCGTAGAGGAGGCAGCCCTTGGGCGGATTGATGCCCACGCGAAGAAACAGCTCAGGATTAAGCAGCGGCAGCTCAATGACCTCACGCAGCTCACGAATCTGCTCGCTGAGGCCGCCAATCTCTGCGTAGTTGACGTTGCCCGGATTCTCGTGCGTCATGTTGTACACCAAGGGATCCACCTCGCGCGGCAAGTAGCGCATAATGGTGAGGGTGGTTATATCGAGGGCCACACGCGTGCCGGCCTTCAACCTGTCCTTGTTTATCTGCCGCCGGCAACCGACCACGTAGCGCGGCCCATTAGAGGCCTTCACGATAAAGTTGTCCGGAGTCAGTTGCTTGAGGATCTCACCCAGCATCTGGCCCACACTCTGCAAGGCCTTCAGGTCTTCCTCGGATTTCTCAAATTGCGCATTGATGACCTTGTGCTTGTCGCGCAGCGCCTTCAAGCGGGCCTCGATCTCGCGGTGCTCCAAGAGCTTGGTGCGGTAAGCGGTTAGCGCCTTTACGCGCTCGTCATCCAGCGGAGGACGTGGCAGTTGTTGTGCGGCCATTGCCTTCACTTTTTCCTACGTGTATAAATAATTTTAAACACAATATGGACAACACCGTCTTGCTTTGAAATTATTTTTCACAAAATGTGCAAATCACTGCTACGATTTTGACAATCGGAAACTTTAAGCGGCAAATCCTGCAGTGTGGAGTTGATTAGACATCGATACAAATATCGATATTTCATTTGTGTAGTGGTCCCATAAATGACTTTCGATACATCGATAGCTGTTCAAAGGAAACCGTAAGAGTCGATAGAACAAGCTTAAAATCGAACTTCTCCCAGCTCTAGTTCACAGCGAAAAAAGCAAACGCGATCGGATAAAAGTGAAGAAGTGAAAAAGTGTTTATAAAGTGTTAAAACTTATTAGAAAAAAGAGAAAATAAATAGAGGGTGAGTTATACTTATTGTTTCTTATATATTCATGTTTATTATGTTGGGACAACCAATATAAATGAAGAACTTAAGCCTACGATCACACGTCCTCCATTCTCCCAAATCACAAACTACAATTAGGACTTGCCAAATTTTGCTTATTGTGCATGGCTATATTCCTTGTTTATTTGAATGTTTATTATTAATGTATTGAAAGAACTTACACAAACTCTAACTCCTCTATGTTATTGGGGGTCATAAAACGTTAATAATTGTAAGAACGCCGCATATTTTTTTGCCAGAACAAAAACCGCCATCTTTATATTTGTGTATGTATGTATTTGAATTTTTGCAATCAGTTGAAAAGCTCACGAGCTTAAAGCTTTAAAAAGCTTTTTGAAAGGAACTGTCCATGGGAACTTGACTGTGTGGAATCTTACAGGTGGCGACATTCACTTATTTTTCATAAAAAATTTTGCCCCTTATTGGATTTTGTGGATGCAGGCCTTGTAGGCGGTGCGCGTGGAAGTGCAATTCTGGGTTATGGCATCAAAATACCCTTCGCCGCAACTGAGCAATTCGCTCTCCTTATTGTCAATGCACCTGTAGTAGTTGTGGCACCCCTCCACTTCGGCGATCTCGTAGCCCTCAGTGCGGCCATCGCATCGATCCCAAGAACACTTCTGACTGTCCCGCGGCACGCACTGCTGATGCTCCTGACTGAAGAAGTAATCATGGCCACAGAACTGCCTGGTGGGCCGGGGGTCTGGTCCAACGGCGCCGACATCGTGGCAGTAGTAGTAACCACGGCAGGTGGCTCCATCCGAGACGAGCTTGTTCCTCAGAGGTTCCTCTTGAGTGCCGCAGACATGTTCCGGAACCGGGTGGTGTTCGCAAGCCACATGCTTTAGGGCCAGACATTGCCCCGAGGCCCTATCGTAGTACTTGCCGGCTTCGCAGGTGTTCGACACTAGCTTGTACTTTTTGCAGGTATAAAACTTGTTGCAGTTCTTTTCGTCCCGGAATGGCACTCCCGTTGGGACCACGTCGCACATTTCGAACCTGGCTCCACAGGTTTTGCCATCGGCAAGACATTTTTGTTGCGTTTGATCGAAGCTTAGGCCTCCATCGCATCTCCCCCTAGTACGCACTTTCTCCCCCTCACAATAATACCAGTTGGCGCAGTTGAGCGTGTCACCCACATAGCCTCGCGTCATCGAACTGCACGGAGGGTCGCAGTAGGTGCTATCCAAGGTCTTCGAACAGGTACCACTCTTTAGGTTGAAGTGTGGGGTCTCACCGCCACAAGTTCCACCGTGGACGCTCACGGAGTTCTTGCAGACAATCCACTCGTTGCAACCGCCTGGCTTTCGTAGCTTCGTTCCATTTGCGAAAAGGCGACAAATGTCCCCGGAGGAGTTCAGGTATTGGGTCTGGCTGCTAAGTTGTACCATCACCGCCACCAGCAGGGCGGAAAGGTAAATAAATCTGGGAGATCCTGAAAGTTTTAAAAGGAATTAGTTTAATTTTTAGGAGAATGAATAAATGGGCTAGTACCTGGCATTTGGAGATTACTTTGCAGCTGGAAATAAAAAGGTTTAACTAACTTACTGAAAGGTTTGAGCTGACGCTTTTATACCACATTCTCTGTGAGCTAAAGCAATTATTGTTTTCATTTCTTTTGGATCTTCTTGTAAAACATTCGGTACAGATAAGATTTGGTTCCGCGGTTGCCTAACCCAACATTGGTTTAATAAGCTTTTCGCACAGTACTCTTTAATTAAAGAAATGATCGTAATGATATATCTTAAAATAAGAAAAAAGAGAAGTGGGAAAGTTAAAGCAAAGGTGAAGACTTAATACACTTGCTGCTCACCAAAATCAGTTTTGAAATTTACAAAACCTAATAAGCTAGTAGTGTTTTGCATTTAAAATACTCTTAGAAAATGGACTAAAAATGAGAATGGATTAATTTGATTATTGCACCATTTTATTTCAATTAAATCTAGGTTGCTACAGTTTAAGCACAAGCGTCGTACGACTTCTCAGCATCGGTGCACGCCTGGGCTTTCACATCAAAGGTCTGATTATCAGGGCAGACCATAGGATCTACCTCTCGGCCATTTTCGCACCTATAATAATGCTTGCATCCTTCATCCTCAGCCACTTCGTATCCATCATTCCGGCCATCGCACCTATCGTGAGCGCACTTTTGGCTTTCGCGCGGCATGCAGGCCTGTCGCTCCTGGTTGAAGAAGTTGTCCGAGTCACACTGACGAAAAACGGGATCCGGATCGGGCACTCCGGAGCCAAGATCCTTGCAGTAGTAGTAGCCCCGACAGGTGGCACCGTCCGAGACGAACTTGTTGCGCACGGCCAGCTTCTTGGTGCCGCAAACATTTTCCGGCAATGGGTGGTCGTCGCACACGACCAGCTTCTTGTCGATGCATTTTCCCTGTTCGACGCTGTAGTAGAGACCTGTTGAGCAGACATTTTGCGTTAGCTTGAAGGTCTTGCTGCAGGTGTAATACATGTTGCAGTTGGCGTCGTCACGGAAAGGCACATTTGGTGGGACAATGTCGCACATATCGAACTTGGCTGAGCAGACGGTGTCTTTGGGCCAGGCGCACTGCTTTGATGCTTCATTGAAGTACTGGCCACCGGTGCAGGAGCCCTGACCCTTCAGCGTCTTGCCATCACAATAATACCAATTGTCACAATTTAGGGTACTTCCAACATAACCCTGCGTGGATGCGGTACACGGACTGCTGCAGTAGGTAGTGTCCAGGCTTTTGTAACAAGCCTTTTGTCCCAAATTGAAGTAAGGCTTAGCTGCGGTCTCACACTTTCCCCCTTCTACGGTTGCAAAGTCTTTACACTCTATCCATTCCGAGCAGGTGCCGGGCTTGCGCAGTTTCACTCCATTCGCAAAATCTCGGCAAATGTCCTCAGTGGTGTTTAGATAGTGAGTCAACGCCTGGGTGCTCAGTTCAACCATCGAGACTGCCAGCAAAGCATACAGGCACCACGAGCTTAAGAGTCCTGCAATCAGTAATTAATTAGTGTCTCCGTTTGAATCCGAAGAATTCTAGTTTTTCGACAGCACCTCGCATTTCGGAATCGGTCCTCCCACAGTTTGCCTTCAGTAAAATAGATACAACTAACTTTTTGCCAAAGCCAACTTGGCATTTTATAGAATTCGCTCAACTCACTGATTTTCCCATTTCGATGACATTAATTTACTACATCCAAAAGAGATAAGATTCGGGGGTTGTCAGATCAGTGCTTTTGTCTAAGGTTTTTATGACGGCGTGACCTACACTATATGGCAAAAGTCTACGCCTATGCTAAATCTAAACCGAATTTATTAGTTAAAGTTTAAACGATTAATTCATGAGTCTCAATTTATAAAACCCTGAATAACTAAAATAGTCTTTGTATTTTACCTTTCATTAAGACTTTAAAAAATTTAATACCAATTCCTAATCTTTAACTTTAATAGCTTTGTATACAGACTTTTGTTAGAGAGTGAGTGTATTATTTGGCCTTGAAATAATTCTTATTATCGATAAGCGCATTAGACAACTTGTATTGTTAATTGAAACATTTAAACTTTTCGAACTCAGTTTACCGACAGGGGGTATCATTTTGCAGGGCATTATCATTTTAGTTAGAAGCTTCTTATTTTATGAAGAAGTCATTTCCGACTTTTTCTTGATCAGCATCAATAGGAGAATCAATCTAGCCATGTCTGGTCAAAACATATTTTTTTAATTTTTTCAACATTTTCAAAAAAAGATGGGTTATCTTAAAAAAATTGGCAAAAATTTAAATATCCTTAAATTTTGAATTGAGTATTAAGCTAATAAAAACTAGCACACAACCACTTTCCGAATTAAAATAAATGCATTTTTGACAAAGTTATGAGTTTTTTAAAAATTTGTTTTTTTTGTAAAAATTTTCATATGAAAATATCAGTCTGAAGAATGTGAATAAAGAAAGCTTAGTTATGATTGATTTTCGATTTGATCCTATAAATAAATAGTCAATTTTAAGGGTATAAATACTTTGGACTCTGAAAGTATTCCTTTCTTACAATTGCAAGTTAGAAAGTAACGAATGAAATATATTATATTATAGGTAAGAGTGATATTGTTACCGGTTCTCGAATAGATACCTTTATAATTACAACCTCTCGCTACTAGCTGCGATTTTATTTATAGCTATTTGTGAAGATAAGAATACTATTAATTGTATATTATAGAGCGAGCAATTAGGATAGAGTATGTCATGTCATTTATTTATAGGCCTGATAAAGTCAAAAAATAAGACAATGTTAAGCTATTGGTGTATCAGCTGACATATTTTTGGTTGGATTTTCCTAACTTTGTTGTCACTGAAATCACACAAACTTGGAAGTTTATCATAACACGAATTTTAAAGTTGTTTAAGGTGCAATTGGTGACACTTTTTAGCCTCTAAAGCGATAACTTAATTATTTCCATTGATGACTAAGCGAATGCGGTTCACTTATTCCGATCATCTCCCGAAGAGCCGGTCAGATTCTCGTTTGCATTTCATTGGCTTCCCTTTGGCAACTTGGTTGCCACTTGGCACTCGTAACATGTTAATATATATTTAATGCTTGGCATTAAAGTTCAATTGAGTTTCTTTAAACGTTCACACATTTAATGTTAATCGTATCGTACATAACACTCTGCTGATTGGTTCTTATCAAAAGCACTGATTTCGAATGGTGCTAGAGTTGAATAAGCGGGGTTCCTTGATATCTATGCACCAATCGATCTCAGTTCTTCGATTCGAACTGTCCCCGGTATGCACTCCATCGAATCCTGCGATCCTGCCGCCGCTGCTGTCGAAATTGAACTGAGAGCCGTATTAACGATCGTTGACAAGGCGAGTGCCGTTGATGACTGCGTATAGCAGAGACGCGACCCCAGTTTAAATCTGAGAAACCTGTTACACCTGAGAAGATTTTTATAATAGACAGTCGACAGAGCCCGTACGCCCCCTTTCCCTTAAGATGAATGTGTGTTTTTGCGATGGCATATCCACTCATATTTCCGCTGGGCTGTCTTTTGTTGCCCCTTATGGCCTCCTACAAGCAGCCGTCTCCGGGACGATGCGTACAGTGTAATAGACACCGAAGAGTCTAAGCCTTTCCAACTCAAGTGCCCTGGGCCTTAGTACCCACAACTTTTGCTCTTCTTTCTTTCATTTAGGTTTCCATAAGTTTGGTAATTTAATTCAAGCGTACTTGCCTAGCATTTGAATAATTAGAATTGCATTGTCTTGGGTTTCATTCCAACCCGAGAGGCGTCAAGCAGGAAGCCTCTCACCGCAGTCTTGGACTTGGACTATATGCTTCTGGTTCTTCTGTACCCAATAACAGTACTTGTTATGAACCGATTGCATTTCTGTGACAAATACCTATGTACCTTTATACACTTCTCGGCTCCCCACAGCTGGGCCGGTTGAAACGCCGGAGTGAAATGACAGGGAAAAGTAATTTTTATCATTAAAAAAAGTATCTAAACTATGCACGAATCTCTCTTATGAATTGACAAGTTAGAAGCTATTTTTGGTGTTTTGTTTAACCGTTTTGAATGGTTTGTTATCGGGATTTTTGAATCGGCGAGATTGTATGCAATTCCAGGAATTAAAGAAATGTATACATAGACACACCTCCGCTCTACGATAGCGGCTAAAATCGGTGTTTTGCTATCACAATCCCGAAAACTGCATACCCTACAAGTCTAAAGGACTGCTTATTTAAGCAACAAATTTAAAAAAAAAAAGAATTAAATGGAGTTTAAATAGCAAAATTCTGTTCTGCAATGTAAAGATGAACTCACGGGGGAGACTTTCAATCCCTCAGTATTATTAATTAATTAAGTTTATAGTTAAGTTTTCCTGAAGAGTGCTTCTAAACTTCTAGAGATCTTCCCTTGTATTACACATGCTTTGTCCTTCCTTTTGTTAAATCCTTGGTACTTGTGAAGTATCCCTTGGTCGAGTACACATCACTCTGCTCCTGTATCGAGTGTATCCGCTTGTACGTGACACTACCACTTCAATTTGAGCGACAATAAACGTCATTTAATTTCAAGTGTCAATAAAGCGAATGCGAATGATTAGGCATGGCAGCTTGCGTGTTGTGCTTATCGAGGAGTGCGCAGAGAAACATAAATTAGGCAGACGCCGGGGCGGTTGCGGCGCCGAAAACCCATTCAACAGTTGGGAATCCGCAGACCTATGCCAAATTTTATGAGAACTCCATGGGCGACGGCGGGAGCCGGGCTTGATAAGGGCCTCGAATCCCGCCCCGGGCCCCAAGACATGCACACACCTAATTACACTGGCGCAAACAAATCAGTTGGTGAACTAATCGAGAGATTGATATGGTGATTGGTATTATCAAAAGATTGACTACTGATTTGGGGCCCTCGAGGCATAGTTAAATGCTGCCACTCCGCCTGGTTAGCCACTTAGTCGTTTGCGAATTTCGAACCATTCGGTAGCCGATCAGACGACAATGCGTCGGAACGAATTCAGTGGTGAGTGGTTATTGAGCCAGTGCCATAACATGGTAAACTCTACCCACTACTTTTCTGCGCACACCTTTTAGCTTTTTGGGCTCTACTGCTGCTGGCCGGAGGTCTTCAAGTTTCGGTAGCCCAGTTGGCGGATGTCTGCCTTTATGAGGAAGATGGCACCCGACTTCCCTTGGCCACTCACTGCTCTCGCTTTGTGGTTTGCCAGAGAGGCGAGGTGTCCATCATTGGTAGCTGCCCACGGGGTCTTCACTTTAATCGTGAGCTCCGAGAGTGCGACTTTCAGTGGCGAGCCAACTGCCTGGGGCTATCCGCCTTCGCCGGAGCGGATGACCAGTGTACATGCGATTGCTGTGCCGACGAGTGCCGAGATCCCATCGATGAAGTAGAGGAACCTACCACTGAGGACTGTGATCCAGATACCACCACGAAATCTACGGTTACTCCGAGCCCCCCAGATTTCACTGATCCCACAGATGCCACCACGAATCCAGATGAACCCACCAATACCTCCAATACTACTCCAGCGAGTCCAGGCGTCGTACCATCCTATTGCTCCAGTCCCCGTACCGAGTGCGCCACGGAGACGACAGGCACGAAGCTAGAAATGCCCGGAATCTGCGTCAGGTTTATCCAATGCAGCAACGGATGCGTGAATGAAATGAGCTGTCCCAGTGGCCTGTACTTCAGTAAGGAGCAGGGTGATTGCGATTACCCGTATAACGTGGATTGTGAGCCAACTGCCGATGCTACGGGAGAGGTTGTGGGACCCTCCGGAACCACATGCTCCTTCGATACCGTCTGCGCCAAACAACCCGATGGAGCGATGTTCCCGGACCCCGATTCAAACGGATATCTTGTTTGCCAATGCCAGTGTCCCATTTCCATGCCGTGTGATCCTGAGCTGATTTTTAATGTGGATGCGAAAGTTTGTGACTGGCCTACGGGAAGCAACACTCAACCAGGTGATGATGCCGATGCCGGTGCCGGTGCTTCAGCGGTTCTCTGTCCCAATGGCCTTGTGTTCAATGCAACCTCAGATCAGTGCGACTACCCTGAGGCCTATGTACCCGAAGTGCCCTGCAATAGCACCAGCACCGTCTGCAATGGCCAGCCGGAGGGCGAGCTCTTCGAGGTGCCCGGCTCGTGCAATACGTTCTACAAGTGCACTTACAACTGCGCCGTGGAGCTATTGTGTCCCAACAATCTTGTCTTCGATCCTGATATGGATATGTGTGTCTACCCACAGAATTATAAATGCAAATGGGAGTATACGCCGCCATCGGGTCCGAGTGCCGGTCCCTCTGGCACATCTTGTGAGAGTAATGGTCGTTGTTTGGGCAAGAGCGAAGGTACTTTTTTGCCTTCCGAAACAAACTGTGGGCAGTACGTTGTTTGTCAGTGCGAGTGTGAAGTCGATATGGAGTGTCCAGATGGGTTGTATTGGGATAAAGAGCAGTTGATCTGCAATTACGCCAGTAAAGTTCCTTGCACACTTTAACTGACCTATTGTAGAATAAAGGAAATCATTATCAAACCATATCTGAGCCGTATTTATTAATGAAACAGGGGGCTACTAAATCATTTTAATCAGCCTTGCGGTGGGCACAGTCCAGCAACTGTGGGCTATCGGTCAACAAGAGAGCGATCATAAATACCTATTAGAGAGAGGAAAAAGGGTAGATAGAGATATATTTTTATTTGTGGGACAGTAGCAGGGGTTATAGAGAAACAATTTCCTCCTGCACTCAGGGAGTTCGCGGATTCTCCGTTCGCCGATGTGTGGTATAAATAGTGACAATATCTATTGCTTGTATAACTTCTGCAAGTATATGCTGATAATATCTAGAATGGTGCCCTACTATCACCGGCACATGCTGTGAAGCCGGAAAAGGCATTTCATTATTTTAATTGCCGGTAAATATAAAAGCCGATATGGACCGAAGGCACCTCAGTGAACGTTCGATTTGCGGAGTGCCAAGATGGCTCAAATCAAAACTAAGCACTATGGTAAGCACACAAGATGGAACACAATATGATGGATACTTACCTTAAGTTTTCATTTAGCGGTTACCCTGTGTCTGGCGCTTTCCTTTTTCGTGGGATCCCTGAATGCAGAGTGTTGTACGGACGGCGAGACAGAAATCGACCCGGATGACTGCACCAAGTATCGTGTGTGCTGCCATGGCGAATTTGTTTCCAAGTCTTGCGAAGACGGCATGTATTGGAACTCGGATACTGGAAAATGCGAAATTAACAATGGAGAATGCAATCCGACCAACTGCGTGGAAGGGGAAATCGAAGGCAATCCCGAAGACTGTGCTGCGTATCTGGAGTGCATCAACGGAACTGTAGTTAGCCAGAGCTGTGCCGATGGATACTACTTCAATGTCACTGAGTGCATTCCCGACACCTGCGGAGTTTGCGTTAATTGCACTGAAGGAAGCCAAGAGGCCGACCTCAACGACTGCACCAAGTACAAGATATGCATTAACGGAAAGTATGTGTCTCAATCTTGCAAGGCTGGATATTACTGGAACTCAAATATAAAGCAATGTGAGGAGGACAATGGAGAGTGCAACGGAACTCCATCATGCACGGAGGGAGAACTAGAAATTGATCCTGCGGACTGCGCTGGTTACCTGGCTTGCTCCAACGGCACCCTTGTGAATAAGAAGTGTCCCAATGATACCTATTTCAATAACAACACACTTACTTGCACTCCCGATCTTGATGGAGTCTGCCTTAACTGCACCGAGGGAAGCCAAAGGCCGGAACCTTCCGGTGACTGTACCAAGTACCAAATATGCTCAGGCGGAAGGTACGTAACTGTGTCCTGCGACACTGGTGATTACTGGAACAGCGCTTTAGGCAAATGCGTAAAGGACAATGGCGAGTGCAACGGAACTCCATCATGCACGGATGGAGAACTAGAGATTGATCCTGCGGACTGCGCTGGTTACCTGGCTTGCTCCAACGGCACCCTTGTGAATAAGAAGTGTCCCAATGATACCTATTTCAATAACAACACACTTACTTGCACTCCCGATCTTGATGGAGTCTGCCTTAACTGTATCGAGGGAAGCCAAAGGCCGGAACCTTCCGGTGACTGTACCAAGTACCAAATATGCTCAGGCGGAAGGTACGTAACTGTGTCCTGCGACGCTGGTGATTACTGGAACAGCACTTTAGGCAAATGCGTAAAGGACAATGGCGAGTGCAACGGAACTCCATCATGCACGGATGGAGAACTAGAGATTGATCCTGCGGACTGCGCTGGTTACCTGGCTTGCTCCAACGGCACCCTTGTGAATAAGAAGTGTCCCAATGATACCTATTTCAATAACAACACACTTACTTGCACTCCCGATCTTGATGGAGTCTGCCTTAACTGCACCGAGGGAAGCCAAAGGCCAGAACCTTCCGGTGACTGTACCAAGTACCAAATATGCTCAGGCGGAAAGTACGTAACTGTGTCCTGCGACGCTGGTGATTACTGGAACAGCACTTTGGGCGAATGCGTAAAGGACAATGGCGAGTGCAACGGAACTCCATCATGCACTGATGGAGAACTAGAGATTGATCCTGCGGACTGCGCTGGTTACTTGGCTTGCTCCAACGGCACCCTTGTGAATAAGAAGTGTCCCAACGATAACTATTTCAATAACAATACACTTACATGCACTCCCGATCTTGATGGAGTCTGCCTGAACTGCACCGAGGGAAGCAAAAAGCCAGAGCCTTCCGGTGACTGTACCAAGTACCAAATTTGCGCGGGCGGAAAGTATGTTACCATGTCCTGTTCCGCTGGGGAGTACTGGAATAATAATACCAAGATCTGCGAGATGGACAACGGGGAGTGCAATGGCACCCCATCGTGCCAGGAGGGCGACATAAAGGAGAACCCGGCGGATTGCGCAGGGTACATGCAGTGTGTTAACGGCAATTATGTTGCAAGGAAGTGTTCTGCAACTGAGTTCTTCAACACCACACTTAATCAGTGTGTTGTCGACCAAGATGGCGTATGCATTCCCAAGACTTGCGACCCCCAGTGCTGCGATCTTCCCAATTATTCTATGTGGCCCGTTGAGAAGAACTGCTCGGCCTTCTTCCAGTGTGTCGGCGGCAAGTACGCGGAGCAGACGTGCCCCAACAATTTGCAATTTAACACGAAGACGGAAAGTTGTGACTACCCTGAGAACGTCGATTGCGATGATGGGTCTGCGCCGCCCAGCGGTCCCAATGCCGGACCCTCAGGTACCTACTGTGAGAGTCACGGGCGCTGTGTCGGACGGTCCGATGGCACCATGTTACCCTATGAGATCAACGCTTGTAGTTCATCGTATATTGTCTGTCAATGCGAGTGCGAGGTGAACTTTATCTGTTCAGATGGGCTCATCTTCAATGTGGATTTACAAACCTGCGATTGGGCGTCTAATGTAAAATGCTAAATATCTCAATAAATACGTCTTAAGCAGTGCAAATTGAGTGGCTTTTATGTTTCTAATGTGTATTTGTTTTGGGCTGATCAAACTTTAAAGCTATAAACTTCACGGAATATCAAAATGCATTTATATTTCAGCATGCAACAAGTCACAATTAAATGCTAGTATATAGTATATTTATATTTTGTGTTTTTGAAATTGCAGCCTAAAAAAATACAAAAATGTGTTTCTCTGGCAATGTAACCTCTATTATTCTACACAAATATCTTTAAAATAGAAAATATTTTTATCGTTTTTAAATATATAACATTTTCTTTCCCCCAAGAATCCCTAAAATATTCCCATATTCTTAAATCGACGTTTATAGACATTTTTATATGATAACTCTTTGGTTTAAAACTATCTAGCTAGGTATAAAAAAGTATTTGGAAAGCTTTCTGATTAAGTTTAAATTTTCAAAAAACTAAATTTAGATTTTATTTTAAGACAATTTTTACATAATTAGTACATTTTCAAAAATGGAGTATACTTAATTTCAATATTTTATTATTATTTATTTCAGATAATAATAGCAAAACGAAATGGATGTGACTTTCGGTAAGTGCACCTATTAAATATATTAAATTTTTTCTTAATTATATTATATTATTGTGATTTCGAATACCCTTTCTTAAGTATTGTTACCATTTTAACTTCGGAGTGGGGAAGAACTTTTCTGTAAATGCCAATATATTTGTGTATAGCTAGATATATATAGAGATATACATATGTATTTGGTAATATATTCAAGGGTAACACAACGACATGGGTTGAATAATATCCAACTTGTAATTATGGGGTTTGAATGGCTGAGTTACAACACACGAGTTTTCGGCCGACGAGCATTCTTTTTGGACTTTGTTTTACTCTTGGTTTCCTTTTTCTTTGGCTGACAGTTAGCAATTTTGGGATAATCGCAGCGCGAGGACGCTACATTGAAATGCAAACCTACGGGACAGTCCATGACCAGGAACATCATATTGCTGCAGAGGAGAAACTTGCCGCAATCGCTCTGATGTGCCACCAGGGAGTTCTCCTTCTCCTCTGGACACAATCCCGCCGTGAGGGCAGGTTTGTCAAGCATATTGATATCCTGGCCAACGACGGAACACTTGGCTTCCGACGCCTTCATGCAAGTTCGACGCGTTGGACTGAAGTGCTGTTGGCCAGCGCAAGACCGGAGGCGGGGCTTTTTAGACTTGCAAACATAGTATTCCCGACAAGATCCCTTTTTGGTCAGCATTACTCCGTCCTTTTTGCCCACGCACATTCTATTGGATATATCCGAAAGTTCTGTTTCCTGAATTGCAGGAGGCTTTGTAGGTTTAACCGTCACATAAGTTGGGGAACTCTCCTCCTCCTCGTCCTCGTCCTCCTCACTGTCTGAGTTCGATTCGTTATTGCCTTCGTTATCCTTGGCATCAAAGATGCACTCCACCTTATCGGCCGCATCGCAGTGCAAAGTTAGGGGATTGAATAAGGTACCCGGGTCGCAGGACCCAACCACAGCTTTTCCATCCGCGCACACATAGTATCCGGAACATGTTCCAAAGATGGGCAAAAGTCCGCCGTTTTTACCCTCACAAATAGCTGTTTTGAAAGCGAATCCATCCTATGAAAGGAAGCTGTAATAATACGGGTGGCTCGGTAAGACTTATTCTACATACTTGAGACAAAGCCAGGGATCTTTCTTGGAGAAGACAAATCGTCAAGAGCAGTCCGAAAAGCTTCATTTTGTCGCTATCGAGTGTTTAATCGAACTGAAACTTTCCATTCATTGAACGTCGTTTTTATAGACTATCATGGATGGGATATTTGCATGATTTGCCAATATGTAAAGTGTTCAACATTCGATTGTATCGTTCAGATGTGATAGGTGCTTGAGTACGAGTACTATCTACATTTTCTTACTGGGAATTGATAAGGGTTCATATAAAACATATGTAAGGTTTGATAAAAACATCACAATGTATATATGTATGTGGGAAATATGTGTCTTCATATATGTGTGCCCAGGTGAAAGACCACTTAAGGTGGCACAATAACAGGAAAATTTGTATTACTCTTATCAATTATTATTAATTACTTATGATTAATAATATATATATACTTAAAATTAATCAGTGTTCTCAAACAAAATCATACAGTTAAAAGTCATTAATGGTTCTTGGGTCACTTTATTTTGCAGAGCCTAAAAGTAGGTAAATTTATATGGAGTATTTCGCATTATTTAGAGAAGGAATGCTTCTAGGTGTCACCTAATTGTACCTTTCAGATATCTCACTGAAACTAATTGGAAAGACAACGAGACAGATTATTAGCTATCATTATTAATAAACTTATTGTCTATTTCCTTGACAAAAATATGCTGTTTTTGTCACAGAGCTTCTAGTTATTTCTTATCAATGTGTATTAGTCATTATCAATGAAGAAGAACTGGTTTATTTGGCAGGCGTTTATCAAATATTTCTCCTTAAGAATTACCAAAAATTCAGTGGGAACTCAGTTAACTCCCAACCCTAGAACCATCAGCACACGCGTTTACTTGAGAAGTAAATTATTTTTTAGAAAGAATTTATTGTGGAAAAAGGCTATCAATGGCAGGTACAGAGATGATTATTTTACGTATAGAAAAAAAGAGAGTAAGATTTTTTTTTGTACACTTAGATTGGAAGTACTTCATCTTCATGGGTTTGCTTTTGACCCCAACTTTTGGTGACTCTCATACAAATCTAACTTCTTTGGTTATGGATTCCACTTTTTGTGCCACCTTATCGAATGGATATTATGAATATCCCTACGATTGTGGTGCATATATTTGGTGCAACGATTCCTGCACTGATTTGGAGTACTGCCCTGATGGAAAACTTTACAATAGTCCTCTGCATATTTGCGATACACCGGAAGCCGTGAAATGCACTCCATTGCCATATCCTGCCAATCCTTGTAGGGATGAGGCAAATAATATCATACTTCCCTCTGCTTTAAGCTGTGACGAGTTCATCGTGTGTATGAATGGGCAAAGTGAAGAGAATCGATGCCCAGGAGAGCTGCTTTTTAATCCGGATTTGAAAATTTGTGATTATAAAAATAATGTCTGGTGTTATGGTGATCGCACCACAGGAGATGGACAAGGCACAATACAGACTACCGAAGAGCCCTTCACGGAGTGCGTTGGACAAACGCTTGGAGCCATGTTTCCGGATACTCGAAATTGTCAGCAATATTTTTACTGCTGGGGCAACGACTCATATAGTATTTTTCCGTGTCCCGTTGATAATTGGTTTAATCCGAACAGCGGAAACTGCGGCCCCGATACCTCGCCGGAAGCGTGTCGCGAAGTTGTAACTACTTTAGCGACAATTACCTCATCTTCGACAACTGTCGGAACGACAACAACTGTAGGTGATAAAGAGAATCCATGTGCAGATCAAGAACTTGGAGCTAGCTATCCATTGCAATCGGACTGCCAGCAATACCTTCTTTGCCTTGGTGGTGGTCAATCGGCGATGGCCAAGTGTCCGGTTAATGCCTGGTTTGATCCAGATGCCGGTGATTGTGGGCCAAATGTATCACCTACTGCTTGCCTCGATGCCTTCAGTACTAGCACCACTATGGCAACAACAGAGAGCTCAGAGGATCTCTGTGAGAATCAGGAACTGGGCGTTTCCTATCCCCTGGTAACAAACTGTCAGCAATATATACTATGCATGGGAGACGGAAAGTCAACTGTGGCCAATTGTATATATAATGGCTGGTATGATCCTCAGACAGGCATTTGCGGTCCCGAAGTGTCACCTACGGCGTGTAAAGATTCCGGTAGTTCTACTGAATCATCGACAAGTGAAGCTACTACCTTACCCTCCACAACACCTTCTCCCACAACAACGACCACTGTATCGGTAGATACAACGACCAGCGCATCGGATATTTTGGGAATATGTTTTGAACATGGCGAGGATTACTATGCATCCTATCCCGAAGACTGCAGCAAGTACATAGCCTGTGCTCGGCCTGTACCAATAGCATTTTACTGCCCACAAAGCTTATTCTTCAACGAGGCTCTTCAGAGATGCGTAGATTTGGAGTCGAGTGACTGTCCCCAAAAAGAGACCACAACTGCATCGCCGGGACTTACCACTCCAGCCCCAGATGCTTCGGTCTGCTTGAATAATGCCGGCCAAAACTTGCCATACCTAGAGAATTGTCAATGGTTTATACGCTGTGCGGACGACTCCTCTTACATGATGGGTATTTGCAGTATTGAAGAGTTTTTCGATCCATTGACTGGAGAATGTGGTCCAAATGTGTCACCAGACGCCTGTCGAGAGAACTATGCTACCACTACAACTTCCACAACAGATTCCACGGAGAGCTCAACAACGATGGTTACCCCAAGCACTCCAGGTACAGAAACTGATCCGTGTGAGGGAGTTCCAGATGGAAAGCTAGTTCCCTATCCGAATGATTGCACCAAGTTTATAGCCTGTGTTCAACCTTACCCTCTCGTCTATGACTGTGTGGTTGGTCAGGAGTTTAGTGCCGTTCTTGGACGTTGTATGGCTCCGTGGTATGCAAATTGTTCCATCATACTTACAACTACACAATCTCCTTTAACATCAACCACTGAGCCTCAGGAGACGCCCTTGCCGAACAGCTTTTGTGATGATAAGAGCGAGGGAACTCTGGTTCCTTACCCTAACAATTGCAGCAAGTACATAGTGTGTCAGGATCCCATTCCAGTTGGCTATGCATGTCCAGAAAATGAAGAATTTAGTCCCATTGACCTTACTTGCATGGATTCCGAGCTGGCTGGATGTAATACCAAAGCATTTCGACTTGATTCACCAGACCATGGGTTTATTCATAGGGCTCTTGAGTCGTTTGCAAAACTTTTCTATTGATTTTGAATGCAATTAAACTTTATTAACATGCACAAAATAATACAAAAATACACATTAATAATCAAGAGTTGAAACCTGCTTAGCTTTACTTGCGGAACTGGCAGTCAGCGCTCGATAGACTGCACGATAGGGTACTGGGAGACCAAAACAAATTAGCGGGGCAAGTGAGCACTGTTGCAGTTGGTCCACAATGGATAAACTTATTACAGTCGCCAGGATATGGAATGTAGGCATTGGTCAAAGTATTTCCACACAAAGCATTTGGATCAATCGGCAGGAAGCTGGGATCCGCCATAGTCCCGTCAAAAGGAGGTGGAGTAGAAGCAGTAGGACCATTTGGCCACGTTGGAGTTCCAGGAGCTACTGGATAACCTGGAGCTATGGTAGCACAGTTGGAAAGCTGAGGGGCTACACAACTTTGATATTGGTCACTCCATTGAAGGTTGCCTTTACAGCGAAGGACATTTGTCATATAGAAGCGACTGCAGTCTCCGGGAAATGAGCTGTATTGCACTGAAGGAACAGGATTGAGAGGATTGATAGGATTGTTAGGTTCGTTGGGCTGGCAGTTGGAGTACTCCTTGTGGTCGCAGCGATAGGTCACTTGGCTCCAGTACAAGTTTGCTGGACACTGGTGTTCATAGGCCTGCCCGTTATGGCAGCTGTAGTATTTGCGACAGTCGTTGGCATATGGCAGCATTACCACGTGATTGGGATCATCCGGCAGTGGACATTGTGGAGTCAGCGATGAAGTCTAGAAGGCAGGATTTGCTCTCAGAAAAGATCTAGGAATATTTTGCAAATCACTTACAATTACAGGGTTCTCTTGGCACTTAACATAGGACAAGGTAGCTATTAAGGCCAAGAGGAGAAAAGCTAGTCCCTGAAACACTAAAATTATATGGGTATATATTAATTATAAAGGATGTGCAATGTCCTAGGATATTACTTACTTTTCCTTGTGACAAGAGATGAGTTCGTTGTTAATGTGAATGTTTCAAGCAGTCAGCCGGTCTTTTTATACTCAGATTATTATGAGCTGCGTTATCAGTGTAAAATACTTGGATTTTATTTATCGAATTTATCTTCTTTAACAAAGAATCTTTCCTGCACCCCATATTAGGTGTTTCTGATTGATAATCTAAATAAAGATTGTTTCAATGCCAATGTTTACCAATCACTCATTGTACCAGTAGCCTTCAGTAGCCTCCTACATCTTGTTTGTAGAAATCTTGGCTTTAAAAATGACATTAATACACATGAAAACGTAATAATTTATTGTTAATTGCACTTGACCGGGCAATATAATTTTATCAAGGGCACATCTGATAAAGAAAGTAAATAATTAAATGTACCCCCGGTATCAATATGTCAATAACTTTGATGAATTACCAGGGATATATAAATACTACGACGACGGCAGTGTTCTTTTAAGATGGGAAATCTTCACAGTGCAGTAAAAAGTATAAGCAAAGGCCATTTTAGTAATAGTTTTCCTCTAACATTCCTTATTTTTGTTAGTGCTTCTCCGGATTTCCCTATATGTGTTTTGTTTTGGAATCTCTATGGCACAGCTTGTTGTCAGGCAGCCATATCCCAATGACTGTCATCGCTATTACGAAAAGTCCTTGTGGAGTTGTCCCCCGAACTTTTACTGGAATGACCAACTAAAGCGATGCCAATTACAACCGATCGGTGGCTGCTCTTTTAATGATTCTTCACAGGACTCTGGATCTTCTTCTGTCATCGAAACTTACAGCATACCCTCTATATGTGACAAGAAGGTTGGTCAACTGATTCCCTACCCAGGTGATTGCACCCACTTTATTCACTGCGATTACTTGCCCTTCGTAAAGACATGTCCGCAATATCTGTTCTGGAACTCTCGCCTACAAACCTGCGACAAAATCTGTGTTTAACCATAGAGAAAGATTTCCTTTTGTTTTGGTTTGTGATTTGTTATTAAATATTAATTACAGTGGCAAAACGTACAAAATATTCAAAGAATGGCAGTGAAAATATATAAAATTACTTGCGAAAAACACTTAAATGCTTATAAACATGCTGCATCAAAATACAAATTAGGTGTTTGTAGATGGCAGTTAGTTAAGCTGTTCTACAATTGAGCCCCTTTGGAACTGATCTACTATGTATAATATGGGTGGGGTGTTGTTGAAGGTCTCTTTCTGGCTGCTTCTCTAGCACTTGCCGTTGGTCGGGGCCTTTGGGCGGCAGATTTTGCTCCTTCCGTTTGCACCATAAACAATGTTGCACGAGAAGGTGAAGTAGCCGCACGTCGATGACTTGGTGTAGTACGTGGACTGGAAGTTCTTGTTCTCCTGCGGCGGATTCTTGCTGTTGTCCATGCTGCCAGTCACGGACTTGGTGACGGTGACATAACTGTCTGGAGCACGATGGATTGGCTTGTCGCCACGAATCGGGCCCTCACCGTCTGTGTCAGCTGTGATTTCAACCTTGTTGGTAGGGTGCAGCTCCAGGGCCTTGGTGTGGAACTTCTTTTGCACGTTGACAGTGCCTCGGAACCCTGGTGGAATTGCCTCGGTGGTCGAGGGTACGGTGTAGGTATTAACCTTTCCATTTTGCTTTTGGACCACTTGGTACTTGTCACCTGCCCCAGGTGCCACCACGGCCTTTTGTGCCTGCGTGGGCGAAGACTGTGTGTAGGCTTGTGGCTCGGGTGTAGTCTCTGGCTTCGCAATGTTCGCCGGCTTTGGGCTTTCTTCCAACTTGACCGGCTTCTCGTTATAGTACTCATCTTCATCATACTCATCGGGTTCGTTTTCGTCCTCGTCTTCGTACTGAGAAGGCTCTGCCGGGTCCGGCTTATCGTCCTTGACAGTGTCCTCTTTGGTTTTAGTGGACTTGAGCTCGGGCAATCGCTCTGACTCATCAGTAAGCGCTGGTCCGCTATAGACGGCATCAGCACGATCAGTAACACTGCAAATATGATTTAAAAAAAATACTTACTTCCTTTCTCATCGTCAACTTCTTGAGTTACTTACGCATTGCCATTGTTTCCGAACTGACTGATGGTATTAAACAGTTCTCGGTTTTGTTCCCTGTAAGATGCCACTTGCTCCTTGGTTCCCGATGCGGATTGTGCGGCTCCATGGTACGAGACGCCAAAGCTGCAATTCAAACCCAATGAATAAACTTTTATGAAGTCCTATTGTCGCTATTGACTAACCTGGAGGTTCCATGAATCTGTGAGCTACTCTGACTAGAGTGAGCACCGGAAGATGATGAGGCCTGGCCACCACCATTAGCCGCCGGCGGGTTAGCTTCTTGACCAGGACGGAACCCGATCTGTGCTTGGGAAGACGTTTGACCAGGTCCGCTCGACTGAGCATCGGCCAGGCCACCCTTGTCGTTGGCGTGCACCTCGCTCTGGCTCTGCTGGATAATACCTCCGCTCTGCGAGGAGGCCTTGGTGCCGCCGTCCTTGCCTACTTGCACCTGCGCTTGCGACTGGGCGGGTCCACCTGAGCCCTGCGACTGACTCACGGCTCCATCCGCGTTTCCTGTCACCTGAGCACTGGCAGCGCGATCTGCATCCGAGGTCATCGCACTGGCACTGAAGGTGCCGCCCGAGCTGTAGGTACCAGACACCTGGGTCTTTGCTGTTCCGCCGTTCTTCTTGCCCTGAGCACTTGCGGAGGCCTGTCCGTCTCCAATTGTAGACTCTGCCTGGGAGAAGGCGTCGTCAACTCCACCAACACCGGAAGCACCAGGAACACCTGCAAATAATTAATAGTGACCTGGCGACAACTTTAAAAAGCTTCAACTTACCAACGCCACCTCCAACACCACCAGCACCTCCCACACCGCCGGTACCCGGAGCCACACCTGTTCCAGCCGTATAACGTCCCGGTGCTCCAATTTGACTGCCTCCACCAGGCAGTGCCACTTGACCACCTGTCTGGGGACCGTAACCAGGTTGACCTGTACCGGAGGCTCCCGGTAACGTACCATACCCGGGTTGTCCGCCTCCAATTCCTGTTTGACCACTAACTCCTGGTTGCGATCCGTATCCGGGTTGTCCACCTCCAATACCGGTTTGACCACCAACTCCTGGCTGTGATCCGTATCCGGGCTGTCCACCTCCGATTCCGGTCTGACCACCAACTCCTGGCTGTGAGCCGTATCCGGGTTGTCCGCCTACAATTCCTGTCGGACCGCCAACTCCTGGCTGTGATCCGTATCCGGGCTGTCCACCTCCGATTCCAGTCTGACCACCAACTCCTGGCTGCGATCCATAACCGGGTTGTCCGCTTCCAATTCCTGTTTGACCACTAACTCCTGGTTGCGATCCGTATCCGGGTTGTCCACCTCCAATACCGGTTTGACCACCAACTCCTGGCTGTAATCCGTATCCGGGCTGTCTACCTCCGATTCCGGTCTGACCACCAACTCCTGGCTGAGATCCAAAACCGGGTTGTCCTCCTCCGATTCCGGTTTGACCACCAACTCCTGGCTGCGATCCATAACCGGGTTGGCCGCCTCCAATTCCAGTTTGACCACCAACTCCTGGTTGCGGTCCGTATCCGGGTTGTCCACCTCCGATTCCAGTTTGACCACCAACTCCTGGCTGCAATCCGTATCCGGGCTGGCCACCTCCGATTCCGGTTTGACCACCAACTAATGGCTGTGATCCGTATCCGGGTTGTCCACCTCCGATTCCGGTTTGACCACCAACTCCTCGCTGCGATCCATAACCGGGTTGTCCGCTTCCAATTCCTGTTTGACCACTAACTCCTGGTTGCGATCCGTATCCGGGTTGTCCACCTCCAATACCGGTTTGACCACCAACTCCTGGCTGTAATCCGTATCCGGGCTGTCTACCTCCGATTCCGGTCTGACCACCAACTCCTGGCTGAGATCCAAAACCGGGTTGTCCTCCTCCGATTCCGGTTTGACCACCAACTCCTGGCTGCGATCCATAACCGGGTTGGCCGCCTCCAATTCCAGTTTGACCACCAACTCCTGGTTGCGGTCCGTATCCGGGTTGTCCACCTCCAATACCGGTTTGACCACCAACACCTGGCTGCGATCCGTATCCAGGTTGTCCACCTCCGATTCCGGTTTGACCACCAACTAATGGCTGTGATCCGTATCCGGGTTGTCCACCTCCGATTCCGGTTTGACCACCAACTCCTGGCTGCGGTCCGTATCCGGTTTGTCCGCCTCCAATTCCTGGCTGACCACCAACTCCAGGTTGTGATCCATAGCCGGGTTGTACGCCTCCAAATCCAGTTTGACCACCAACTCCTGTCTGTGATCCGTATCCGGGCTGTCCACCTCCAATTCCAGTTTGACCACCAACTCCTGGCTGCGGTCCGTATCCGGGCTGGCCACCTCCGATTCCTGTCTGACCACCAACTCCTGGCTGCGATCCATAACCGGGTTGTCCGCCTCCAATTCCTGATTGACCACTAACTCCTGGTTGCGATCCGTATCCTGGTTGTCCGCCTCCGATTCCGGTCTGACCACCAACTCCTGGCTGTGATCCGTATCCGGGTTGTCCTCCTCCAATACCGGTTTGACCACCAACTCCTGGCTGTGATCCGTATCCGGGCTGCCCACCTCCAATACCCGTCTGACCACCAACACCTGGCTGTGATCCATATCCTGGGAGCCCACCTCCTATTCCGGTCTGACCACCAACTCCTGGTTGCGATCTATAACCGGGTTGTCCACCTCCAATTCCAGTTTGACCACTAACTCCTGGCTGCGATCCATAACCGGGTTGTCCGCCTCCAATTCCAGTTTGACCACCAACTCCTGGCTGCGACCCAAAACCGGGTTGTCCCCCTCCAATTCCAGTTGGACCACCAACTCCTGGCTGCGATCCATAACCGGGTTGTCCGCCTCCAATTCCTGATTGACCACTAACTCCTGGTTGCGATCCGTATCCTGGTTGTCCGCCTCCGATTCCGGTCTGACCACCAACTCCTGGCTGTGATCCGTATCCGGGCTGCCCACCTCCAATACCGGTCTGACCACCAACACCTGGCTGTGATCCATATCCGGTCTGACCACCAACTCCTGGTTGCGATCTATAACCGGGTTGTCCACCTCCAATTCCAGTTTGACCACTAACTCCTGGCTGCGATCCATAACCGGGTTGTCCACCTCCAATTCCTGTCTGACCACCAACTCCTGGCTGTGATCCGTATCCGGGCTGTCCACCTCCGATTCCGGTTTGACCACCAACTCCTGGCTGCGATCCGTATCCAGGTTGTCCACCTTCGATTCCGGTTTGACCACCAACTCCTGGCTGCGATCCATACCCGCGACTTCCGTATCCTGGCTGTCCAACAGTCACGGTTGTTTGACCAACTCCTGGTTGAGATCCGTATCCGGGTTGTCCGCCTCCAATACCGGTCTGACCACCAACACCTGGCTGTGATCCATATCCGGTCTGACCACCAACTCCTGGTTGCGATCTATAACCGGGTTGTCCACCTCCAATTCCAGTTTGACCACTAACTCCTGGCTGCGATCCATAACCGGGTTGTCCACCTCCAATTCCTGTCTGACCACCAACTCCTGGCTGTGATCCGTATCCGGGCTGTCCGCCTCCAATTCCAGTTTGACCACCAACTCCTGGCTGCGATCCATAACCGGGTTGTCCTCCTCCAATTCCGGTTGGACCACCAACTCCTGGCTGTCCACCCGTGGTTCCTGTCTGACCACCAACTCCTGGCTGACCTCCGGGTTGACCAATTTGTTGGGTTCCGTATCCTGGCTGTCCGACACCTCCAGTTTGAGTTCCTCGGGGCTGTCCTCCAGATACTCCTGGCTGACCACCTATTCCAGGTTGAGCTCCATATCCCGGCTGTCCTCCAGAGACCCCTGTCTGTCCAGCAGCACCAGGCCGAGGAGCGTATCCGGGTTGACCGTCACCAGAACCAGTTTGGTCACCAACACCAAATCCGGGAGTTCCACCCAATCCAGTCTGAGGTCCTGTTTGACCTCCAACTCCTGGCTGTCCTCCACCAATTCCGGCTTGTGTACCTGCACCATCTCCAGGTCGGCCGCCAACTTGACCTCCATATCCGGGTTGACTTCCGCCAATACCCTGTGATCCGCCGATTCCCGGCTGTCCTCCATATCCAGGCAGGCCGCCAACTCCGGGCTGTCCGCCAAATCCTGGCTGACCACTGACACCTGGCTGACCACCGGCTACACCCTGCGCACCTGTTTTTTAATGTATCATTGATTAAAAAGATGAAGATGATGATTTGACTGCTTACCTCCACCTGGTAGGCTGATAATAGAATCGGGCCTGCCGGCAATACTAGATCCACTGGCGTCGAGTATTCTGCCGGAAGATGGGTAATCTGTTTGGTAGCCAGAACATCCACTACAGTCCCCTGATGAGAACTGACTCTGGGCCTGACCCATGCCATGGGTGCCAGCTGCGGAACAGGTGCACAATTAAAGTAGGGTTGTCATTCACAGAAAACATCAAGTTTGACTTACAGACAGTTGAGCGAGATCCATTTTCGGTGGCCTCTGCCTCCGCCTTGCCATCCTCCTCGGGCTTACCGAAGTTTAAGTACTGAGACTGGGTCTGTCCCCTAGAACTGGGGAAAAGGATAGTCCGGTCGTACTTTTTCCAGCCCTTGACTTTATATTTTCTACTTACTAGCCTCTGCCGCTTCTCTTTTCTCTCTGCAGGTCGATCGCACTAGTAGCCTCGTCTTCGGTTGCTAGTGATTTTTCCTGTAAGTGAGATTGAAACGATTTAAGTTCAATGCTAATGTCAGCTTTATCACAAAACATTTCACATGCGTGGTGTTGTCTCTGTGTGTGCCCCCAATTCTGGTCTGTTTCCGAAACTGACCTTGGTCAAATTAGGTCTTATCGCCTTTTATTCGAACCGAGTTCATTTGCATTGAACTACTCTAGTTTCATTCTGACTCTTCTCATACACACAACCCCACAGACTCCCCCGGATTCATCAACAATTTTGACACTTACAATGGCAGCTCCATTTGCGCATGTCACGAGGAGCACAACGCCAAGTAGCAGGCCCCAGCGAAAGGGCAACATTTCAATAAATCAATTTCTGAATCCAATTGAAATGCGACGACGTTGTCTCGACACAACCAGCAAACTGTGAAATGGAATAATATAGTATTATCAACACATTTTATTAGCCTATACTCCTTCGCTCATCATGGTCGGTCTGTTGTCACTTTCAGGGGTTATCACTTTTATTTTAAATGAGCTCACACGATTCTGCTAAATGCCAAAAAAATACAATAAATCTTGAGTTTATTTTAAGGCTTCAGAGGTGATGATGTAATCATTTATATTTTTTGTTTTAGGTGTACTATTGTAATATTTTCTTGGAAACTAATAGGTATAAAATAAGCATATGGATTGTCCTTGTTGAATATATTTATTAAAGTCGAAGAATCCATTTTAATATTAATATTTTGTGATGATTTTTGGTTAGACGTATTCTGTAATCCATCGATTTGTATTATTTATGTTGGTGTTTTTACTATTGGTTTTTTATTTGTTAGCATTTTTTTTCCTGTGAGTGACGTCTTTTTTTAAATATATATGGGTATCTGTTTTGCAATTGTTTAAACCATTTTAAATTATGTCTTTTGCACACACTTAATCATTGTTTTGTAATGTATCCTTTAAGAAAATTTCACAACACAAAAGTATCCTTTAGCTTTAAGAAGCTAGTTTAGCCTTTTAGTTCACTGATTTTATGATATTAGATTTATTTATTTGTTGATCCTTTATCCAACATGTTTGAGTGAATTAAGCCCGTTGTATCCTTGCTCGAATTTCAAAGACACATACTTCTTCGCCTGCGTGTGTTAGGATTCCAAGGGAGATTTTTCCGATTTGCTTCCGATCGCGACAACTGCTGGATTGCGAATAACGCTGGTCTATCCGAGCATCAAAACTCTAGAGCTTGAGTACAACTCAAATTCATTGAAGGCGAGCAATTTCCAATACATTTGCATTTAGCCAGCAAGCAGCATGAATATTTATGTAGGACTCACACAACCTCAGTGTGCCTGGTATCTGCCTTATCGCACACTCAGACAATCACACACAGAGCTCACCCCTCAGAGACGGACCAGGGCACTTAGAGCTGCGAGCTGGGAGCTATGAGCTCCGTGCTCCGAGCTTGGAGCTCGTCGCCAGTGCCATTCATTCGAGTGTCTATTCCATTACGTATCAGCGCTTTGATCGTGTCAATCGATCACTTGGTCGCCTGGCAATGGATGGGGAAACGATGCCCTCCCCGCCGGCGCAATGAGTTTCTGTGGGCATTACAACATCATCGTCTTCGCCAACGGATGGGGGAGACTTTTGACCCATTTTAAGGAAATGTGCTGGCATTTATTAGCATATAAAGATACGCAATTGTATATCTCTTGGATACATTTTCAAGTGTGTCCCTACATCGGCTTATATGCTTTGAATGTCTTGGTCTTTTTACGTCTGGTGAGAGCGTATTATTGCTGTTGTTTTTAGATCCCAAAGGAACCTATTTTATTGGCGAGAGGCTTTATTTTGATTCCGACGGAAGTGATTCGCCTTTGATAACCTTTGAAACTCAAAATTTTCGCTTTGGCTTGTGGTTAGACAGTCCATCGTCATATCTATATATAGATCAGCCTTTCCAAGCCCCCATCCCATCCCATGTTGAGTCCGGTTATTTTCTTATCTCTGAAAGCTTCTAACAAGCCATGTGTTTGAATTGAAGTCAAGCATTAAATTTTTAATTTTTTAAAGGCCCAACCAACGACTGTATTGATGGGGTATGTTTCAAGGCTACTTATATTTTTAATTAAAGCCTAGTTTGATACGATCAAGAAAATATGTGTAGGAAATTTTCAAACTCAAGCTTCCGACAATACGGATACCGTTTTCTTGAACTACCTAATACTTGAAATTTCTTAACTAAATTAAATTGATATTTGCAATGTTGACAACGATTTTAAAATATAATTATGGTGTAAAACAAAGCACGCACTTATGATGCCAGATGTATGTATTTTGTGCATACCTTAATTTCTATGCTAAGGGGGTAACAAAATGTTCAAAGTGTTTATGCATATTCAAATAAATTTGCCTACAGCCAAAAAGCAAATCTATTTAGAACATCTTCAAAAGGCTAATTGAAATGGGAACATTTTAGATTTGGTGTCTTTATTAATTGAGAAAAGCCGTTATATTAATACAAATATAAGGTTCTCTATTATAAGGTATCCATTATCAAGTGTTACGAAGACTTAAAGCATCGAATTTGGCATGTTCTGTAATCATAAGACTATTATTTTTATATATATAAAGTTGAAATGTTTCTTATATACCTTTATTTATTGACAGAATCGTTTAGACTTTTCGCATATTGCTTTAATGGGATTCCAGTAAAGCCCTGAATTACAGCTCATTAGAATTCCGCTCGATCCGACACACTTTATATATTTGGAACAGTCACCAGGGAAAACATCAAAAAGCGTTCCTGCTGCACAGGAAATGGATTCACTTGCTCTCTCATTGTTGCAGTGGTCATTTGACCAAACACACGACTTAATATCTGCATTCCAAAACAAATTATCCGGACATTTTCTTTCAAATGGCTCCCCGTTGCTGCACTGAATGTATTTGGTACAGTCTGTTGGGTGTGCCACAAAGTCTACTCCAGGACTGCACACCTTTTCTTCTGGATTCTCATTTTCCTCATTATTATAACAAACGGATGGGTCATCACTGCAATAGTATGCCTTGTAGTCCCAAAACAGATTGCCTGAACACTCAAAGTTATATTCATATCCATTTGAACACTGAATGAATTTATGGCAATTAGTTGGATGGGGTAGATATGGATATCCGCTATTACAGGAGAGGGGTGGCAACGTAGAATCCGTGGTTGCAGACGAGGAAGTTGATTCTGTGGTTTCAGAAGAGGAAGACTCAGTAGATGCTGTACTTGTGGATACTGCTGGAGATGAACTCCATTCCGACGAGGATGACGCTTCAGTGCTACTCTCCGGAAGTACAGATGTTGAAGTCACTGGGACTGTTTCGTCACTTCCATTTGTTGTTGAATCTTGATCAGCTGTTGTACTTTTTTCTGGAACCGTAGAGGTTATCTCTGTTGTAGTACTGTCGGTGGTTTTGGACGGTTCAGTCGAAGGATCCTGTGAAGTTGTAGTAGTTTCTTCTGGAACCGCAGTAGTTGTAGTTGCAGTCGAGGCTGTCGTACTCTCATCTGGGCTGGCTGTAGTTGTCTCTGGAGCAGCCGTTGATGGATCCTCTCCTGGTGTTGTAGTTTCGTCGTGGGCTGTGGTGGAATCCTCGACAGTCGTTGTCTCTGGAGCCGCAGTCGTACTCTCATCTGGGATGGCAGTAGTTGTATCTGGAGCAGCCGAACTCTCATCTGGGCTGGCTGTTGTTGTCTCTGGAGCAGCCGTTGATGGATCCTCTCCCGGTGTTGTAGTTTCGTCGTGGGCTGTGGTGGAATCCTCGACAGTCGTTGTCTCTGGAGCCGCAGTCGTACTCTCATCTGGGATGGCAGTAGTTGTATCTGGAGCAGCCGAACTCTCATCTGGGCTGGCTGTTGTTGTCTCTGGAGCAGCCGTTGATGGATCCTCTCCCGGTGTTGTAGTTTCGTCGTGGGCTGTGGTGGAATCCTCGACAGTCGTTGTCTCTGAAGGCGCAGTCGTACTCTCATCTGGAATGGCAGTAGTTGTATCTGGAGCAGCCGAACTCTCATCTGGGCTGGCTGTAGTTGTCTCTGGAGCAGCCGTCGATGGATCCTCTCCCGGTGTTGTAGTTTCGCCGTCGGCTGTGGTGGAATCCTCTGTCGTCGTCGTCTCTGAAGGCGCAGTCGTACTCTCATCTGGGATGGCAGTAGATGTATCTGGAGCAGCCGTTGATGGATTCTCTCCTGGTGTTGTAGTTTCGCCGTCGGCTGTAGTGGAATCCTCTATCGTCGTCGTCTCTGAAGGCGCAGTCGTACTCTCATCTGGGATGGCAGTAGTTGTATCTGGAGCAGCCGAACTCTCATCTGGGCTGGCTGTAGTTGTCTCTGGAGCAGCCGTCGATGGATCCTCTCCTGGTGTTGTAGTTTCGTCGTCGGCTGTGGTGGAATCCTCTACAGTCGTTGTCTCTGGAGCCGCAGTCGTGGAATCCTGAGAGGCTGTCGTACTCTCATCTGGGATGACAGTAGTTGTCTCTGGAGCAGCCGTCGATGGATCCTCTCCCGGTGTTGTAGTTTCGCCGTCGGCTGTGGTGGAATCCTCTATCGTCGTTGTCTCTGGAGTCGCAGTCGTACTCTCATCTGGGATGGCAGTAGATGTATCTGGAGCAGCCGAACTCTCATCTGGGATGGCAGTAGTTGTATCTGGAGCAGAAGTTGATGGATCCTCTCCCGGTGTTGTAGTTTCGTCGTCGGCTGTAGTGGAATCCTCTATCGTCGTCGTGTCTGAAGGCGCAGTCGTACTCTCATCTGGGATGGCAGTAGTTGTCTCTGGAGCAGAAGTTGATGGATCCTCTCCCGGTGTTGTAGTTTCGCCGTCGGCTGTAGTGGAATCCTCTATCGTCGTCGTCTCTGAAGGCGCAGTCGTACTCTCATCTGGGATGGCAGTAGTTGTATCTGGAGCAGCCGAACTTTCATCTGGGCTGGCTGTAGTTGTCTCTGGAGCAGCCGTCGATGGATCCTCTCCCGGTGTTGTAGTTTCGCCGTCGGCTGTGGTGGAATCCTCTGTCGTCGTCGTCTCTGAAGGCGCAGTCGTACTCTCATCTGGGATAGCAGTAGATGTATCTGGAGCAGCCGTTGATGGATTCTCTCCTGGTGTTGTAGTTTCGCCGTCGGCTGTAGTGGAATCCTCTATCGTCGTCGTCTCTGAAGGCGCAGTCGTACTCTCATCTGGGATGGCAGTAGTTGTATCTGGAGCAGCCGAACTCTCATCTGGGCTCGCTGTAGTTGTCTCTGGAGCAGCCGTCGATGGATCCTCTCCCGGTGTTGTAGTTTCGCCGTCGGCTGTGGTGGAATCCTCTATCGTCGTTGTCTCTGGAGTCGCAGTCGTACTCTCATCTGGGATGGCAGTAGATGTATCTGGAGCAGCCGTTGATGGATCCTCTCCCGGTGTTGTAGTTTCGTCGTCGGCTGTAGTGGAATCCTCTATCGTCGTTGTCTCTTGAGGCGCAGTCGTACTCTCATCTGGGATGGCAGTAGTTGTATCTGGAGCAGCCGAACTCTCATCTGGGCTGGCTGTAGTTGTCTCTGGAGCAGCCGTCGATGGATCCTCTCCCGGTGTTGTAGTTTCGTCGTCGGCTGTAGTGGAATCCTCTATCGTCGTTGTCTCTTGAGGCGCAGTCGTACTCTCATCTGGGATGGCAGTAGATGTATCTGGAGCAGCCGAACTCTCATCTGGGATAGCTGTAGTTGTCTCTGGAGCAGCCGTCGATGGATCCTCTCCCGGTGTTGTAGTTTCGTCGTCGGCTGTAGTGGAATCCTCTATCGTCGTTGTCTCTTGAGGCGCAGTCGTACTCTCATCTGGGATGGCAGTAGTTGTATCTGGAGCAGCCGAACTCTCATCTGGGCTGGCTGTAGTTGTCTCTGGAGCAGCCGTCGATGGATCCTCTCCCGGTGTTGTAGCTTCGTCGTCGGCTGTAGTGGAATCCTCCATCGTCGTTGTCTCTTGAGGCGCAGTCGTACTCTCATCTGGGATGGCAGTAGTTGTATCTGGAGCAGCCGAACTCTCATCTGGGCTGGCTGTAGTTGTCTCTGGAGCAGCCGTCGATGGATCCTCTCCCGGTGTTGTAGCTTCGTCGTCGGCTGTAGTGGAATCCTCTATCGTCGTTGTCTCTGGAGGCGCAGTCGTGCTCTCATCTGGAATGGCAGTAGTTGTATCTGGAGCAGCCGAACTCTCATCTGGGCTGGCTGTAGTTGTCTCTGGAGCAGAAGTTGATGGATCCTCTCCCGGTGTTGTAGTTTCGCCGTCGGCTGTGGTGGAATCCTCTATCGTCGTCGTCTCTGAAGGCGCAGTCGTACTCTCATCTGGGATGGCAGTAGTTGTATCTGGAGCAGCCGAACTCTCATCTGGGCTGGCTGTAGTTGTCTCTGGAGCAGAAGTTGATGGATCCTCTCCCGGTGTTGTAGTTTCGCCGTCGGCTGTAGTGGAATCCTCTATCGTCGTTGTCTCTGGAGGCGCAGTCGTACTCTCATCTGGGATGGCAGTAGATGTATCTGGAGCAGCCGTTGATGGATCCTCTCCCGGTGTTGTAGTTTTGCCGTCGGCTGTGGTGGAATCCTCTATCGTCGTCGTCTCTGAAGGCGCAGTCGTACTCTCATCTGGGCTGGCTGTAGTTGTCTCTGGAGCAGAAGTTGATGGATCCTCTCCCGGTGTTGTAGTTTTGCCATCGGCTGTGGTGGAATCCTCTATCGTCGTCGTCTTTGAAGGGGCAGTCGTACTCTCATCTGGGATGGCAGTAGTTGTATCTGGAGCAGCCGAACTCTCATCTGGGCTGGCTGTAGTTGTCTCTGGAGCAGCCGTCGATGGATCCTCTCCCGGTGTTGTAGTTTCGCCGTCGGCTGTAGTGGAATCCTCTATCGTCGTCGTCTCTGAAGGCGCAGTCGTACTCTCATCTGGGATGGCAGTAGTTGTATCTGGAGCAGCCGAACTCTCATCTGGGCTGGCTGTAGTTGTCTCTGGAGCAGCCGTCGATGGATCCTCTCCCGGTGTTGTAGTTTCGTCGTCGGCTGTAGTGGAATCCTCTATCGTCGTTGTCTCTTGAGGCGCAGTCGTACTCTCATCTGGGCTGGCAGTAGTTGTATCTGGAGCAGCCGAACTCTCATCTGGGCTGGCTGTAGTTGTCTCTGGAGCAGAAGTTGATGGATCCTCTCCCGGTGTTGTAGTTTTGCCGTCGGCTGTGGTGGAATCCTCTATCGTCGTCGTCTCTGAAGGGGCAGTCGTACTCTCATCTGGGATGGCAGTAGTTGTATCTGGAGCAGCCGAACTCTCATCTGGGCTGGCTGTAGTTGTCTCTGGAGCAGAAGTTGATGGATCCTCTCCCGGTGTTGTAGTTTCGCCGTCGGCTGTGGTGGAATCCTCTATCGTCGTCGTCTCTGAAGGGGCAGTCGTACTCTCATCTGGGCTGGCTGTAGTTGTATCTGGAGCAGCCGAACTCTCATCTGGGCTGGCTGTAGTTGTCTCTGGAGTAGAAGTTGATGGATCCTCTCCCGGTGTTGTAGTTTTGCCGTCGGCTGTGGTGGAATCCTCTATCGTCGTCGTCTCTGAAGGGGCAGTCGTACTCTCATCTGGGATGGCAGTAGTTGTATCTGGAGCAGCCGAACTCTCATCTGGGCTGGCTGTAGTTGTCTCTGGAGCAGCCGTCGATGGATCCTCTCCCGGTGTTGTAGTTTCGTCGTCGGCTGTAGTGGAATCCTCTGTCGTCGTCGTCTCTGGAGGCGCAGTCGTACTCTCATCTGGGATGGCAGTAGTTGTATCTGGAGCAGCCGAACTCTCATCTGGGCTGGCTGTAGTTGTCTCTGGAGCAGAAGTTGATGGATCCTCTCCCGGTGTTGTAGTTTCGCCGTCGGCTGTGGTGGAATCCTCTATCGTCGTTGTCTCTGGAGGCGCAGTCGCAGTGGAATCTTTTATCGTCTCCGAAGGCGGAGTCGAAGAATCGGCATTTTTTCCGAGAAACTTGGAATAAGTGTTTTCATATATCGTTTTTATTTTTGGACCGATGGAAGAATTCGTTGCCTGTTTGTGTACGATTTGTGAGTTTTTATTTTCATTTGTTTTATAATTTTTAGGATTGTCTGCATTTGTTGGTGATGCACTGTTTGAATAACTTGCGAATGGTATGCCACTATTGGCTTGATAGTCTCTCTCTTGAATTTTGAATTCACTTTCCGCTTGTACATGTAATATTTCACTAAATATAATTACTAATCCAATGGTTATTATAAATTCCGGACAGAGCACTTTGTTATAATTCATCGTTACTGGATCGCGTATGAGTTTTGCAAAAACATTTGGTCAAATGATACCCGTGCGTCGTGCATTCATATTTATAACCCTTACGGGAGCTCATTTCCCATCTTATCGAATCTTTTTCGCGAAGCCCGTTGTTATCTTTAAGAGGAACTCAATTGAACTGCCTTTTGCTGAAAGCCAATTACTTGGGATTGCTTTTGTATTACTGCGTTTATTTCTGATTACAATTTTTTGTGTGTTACAAAACACTTCCTAATTTATTGTCGTTCATTGCACTTGCTAGACACCAGCGAACTCGACTGTATTGTCGCAGGTAAAGTCGCAAGACTGCAGAGGTTGATTCCAATAAAGACCACCCGGGCAGTTGAGCTTGAAACCAATGTTATAGACACACTGAATGAATTTCGTGCAGTCGGGAAGATATGGCAAAAATGGTAGTCCAGATGAACAGCTTAGGGATGGAGCCTCCGTGGACTTGTCTCCATCTTCGATGCAATAAAGCGAGTCCCAGCCGCACACATTCAGCTCGCGATCCCAATACAGACCATCGGGGCATTTTTTTAGGACTCCTACTCCATATAGGCATTGATAATACTCCCGACAGTCAGGTGCTGGGAGAAAGAATTCTTCATCGTCACAGAGAACAGGCGGGGGCAATGTTGTGATGGGATCCTCTTCAGTTGTTTCCAGAGTGGTTGATTGATCCGTGGTGGTTTCAATTGTAGTATCCTCCGCTGATTCAGCCCTGACACTTATAAGAAGTGTCAGTAGTGTTGTAATGTACACAATCCCGAAGCCTATAATTAAAGAATTCTTAGTTGCAATTGTGGCAAAACAGAAACAGTTACCATACCTCTCATGCTTGAAATAGTTACCGGTAAAGTACCAATCTTCACTGAGACCCACTGCTTATATAGCAATTCTGTCAAGTTTACAGCCAACGACTACTCATCTTATATCTTTCTAATCAATGCAATATATACTATATACTAATTCCGTAGTAAATAACTGCTTGAATGCACGTTGACTCTTATCGGGTAATAATTCTTATGGCTTGCAATTCTCAAGCTTGCTCCAGATACGATGTAAAGAGTCATAGCCTATTTCTGGCCATCTCGGTCTTATGACTATATTAATATATATTACTCATGGATATTACAATTTAAGTAAATTTATTTAACATATATATTATTATTCCGCTCTTTTAAGGAATTCTCATTATATTAGTTGTTTACAAATATTCCCAGACTATCAAACCTTATCAGTATAAAGTGTGTATTATTTAACTGATTGATCGAGTCTAAAGGAAGCTAGTTAAGTGTTCCAAGAAATTCAAAGTTGTATCAAGCGAAATCGGAAACATTTGAATTAGTATTTATATTTCACTCCAAATCGTGTACGGGGTTACTTCTTTGTTAATCATGTGCTATATATATATATATACATATATAACTTTTACACAGGTGTGGATCATTTTAATCACAAATTAATTATTACTTTAAGTTTTAAAGAAGCAAAATTAAAAATGGTCTAACTATATTTCTCTGACTAACTAAAACTTCCTGTAATAGCTTTGTCCAATCTAGGTGGGGAATTACAAGGAACATTAAAACCAGGTAATAAATAAACATTCAGTTTTCAACACTATCACTTAATACCATTTATTTATATGTATTTCCCCCTTGCGTAATTATAAATATAATATTTTTATATCTGAGTAAATAGTATTTAGCATTAAGGCCATATCTTTTCCCTTATCTTACCAGCAGAATTAATTTACTAGACAGAAAATAATCAAAGTCTAACTAAACATTGTCTTGAATCTGCGGTTTCGAGACTCTCCTACTATTCCTATCTTATTGAATAATAATTATCTTATCAAGAATAATATATTGATTGCAATAATTCGGAAACTCGTGTTTCACCTTGAGTGACTGATCAAGAATGTGTGCTATGTACCGGAAGTGATTCTAATAAGAAAATTTAAATCGATATCGGTAAGTGAATGTTTTCCAAATAGTGATAATTATGTTGGTGCAATTTCATCGTTAATGCAGTGCGGTGTAACTTCATTATTTCGAAGAATGCATGCGTTTTTTATCTTATTTATCAAAGATAGTAGTAACGAGAACTTGTTGTATGCTAATTAGAGAATTATTAGTTCGGAAATGGTATAAATACCGCCAGCCATCGGGTTGCATTCATTGGAACAGTCGAACAACATGAAATGTAAGTATCGTAATGGAAACTGAATAATATCCTTTAGCATTAAAGATAAACGTTATTGGGTTTCAGTGGTCTGGATATTGATGTCCTTGCAGCTAATGCTCTTGGCCACAGCCCTGAGTGCTCGGAGATGTGTCACACCCACCGCCGCACCCGAGCCCACAGAGGATCCAGATGACCCTACTGACGATCCCTGGGATCCAACGGATGACACAACTGAGGATCCCTGGGATCCAACTGATGAGCCATCGAATTCCACACAGACGCCATTGGATCCTACCGGCGAAACTACCGAAGAGTCCTCGGTGCCAACGGGAGAGCCAACAGTTCCCACTGAGAATCCAACGGAAGACCCTACAGGAGGGACCTCAAATCCTACTGAGGAAACCACTGAAGGGCCTTTGGATCCCACCAGTGAAGCTCCCTTAGACCCGACAACCGAAACAGAAACCACAGAGAAACCAACAGATGATCCCTCGAATCCAACAACTTTCAACACTCCGGGTACAACTTATCCGACGCCCAGCGTGGATGCGAACGCCTCTTGTCGGACGCACAAGGGGGTCCAGTTCCTGCCACATCCATACGATTGCCACCTCTACATCCATTGCGATGGGGATATAGGATTTGTCATGGACTGTCCCAGCGATCTTTACTGGAATTCGGTAACCCAGACCTGCGACACGACCTGCGCCTAGCGAAATAAAGTACTTAGAATAGCATGCTCTCAACAATTATCACTTGTCTCACTTCGCTGCGACTTCCCTATCGACCTTCGTGCGTTCTTGAGTTGGCCACGACCATGCTCATGACATTCATTCATAATTTGGCGAATAATGGGGAGTGGTTACACCTCGATAGGTGGTTCCAGGAACCAAAGTGCCGTGAGTTCACACCCCAATTAGGCTGACATGAAGGGCCCGTGTCTGACATGATCAACATAATTGATTGATGATAAGGGAAACTAAAGGCCGCTCTGGCAGTCACTAATGATGTATATAAGGGCTTCGAATTTTTGGCAATGATGCGGAGTTCATCTCGACCGACACAAGAGGAATACAAGTGAATAAGATGAAAGGTGAGCAAGTGTAGGAAGGATGCTGATAGCTCCTTGGAATCTAAAACTCGCATTCTCGTCTCCAGTTACTCTGCTAGCTGTGGTGGCACTCACTACAGTGGCCAGCCTGGTTGGAGCCGCCGACCCTGAATGCATTTACCGAAAGATTCGCGGCCTCTCGTCGCACTGGCCGAATCCTACAAGTTGTTCCAGCTACTATCGCTGCTCCACCAAGAGCACTGTCCGCTCGGTGACGTGTCCGGCGGGCAAGGAATACAATCCGAAGACCGGCAAGTGCTCTAACGCCAAACGTGGCCTGTGCAAGCTGAGCCTTGTAGCTCCTCTCGCCGATGTAAGTACAAAATCCTTCTAAAATATCGAACAAAGGATCTTATCCCATGTCCCCCCTTAGGCCGTAAATGTGTGCGCCACAGAGGTGAATGGAGCCTACTTGGCCAAGGCCGGATACTGCGGCGAATTCTACATTTGTGACGAGCAGACTGCCTACCCGCAGAAGTGCGACTCCGGCAGCTACTTCAATCTCACGTTGAGCGCCTGCGTTCCGGATACGGATGCCACTTGCTGGCAGAACCGGTGCATCGGTAAGGCGAGTGGCGCCTTCATCGCTAACGACGAAAGCTGCGGCAGCTATTACGTGTGCTCGGAAGCGGGTGCCACGCTCCAGACCTGTCCCCTGGGCAGCTACTTCGACACTACCTTTGAAGCCTGCGTGGTGGATAATGACAACACCAATTGCTGGGTCAATTTCTGTATTGGCAAGAGCGATGGATCGACTGTGGCCGATAAGACCAACTGTTCCGTGTTTTACGTGTGCGCCGATAATAAGGCCACCTATCAGGTTTGCCCCGAAGGAAGCTACTTCGAGAATAATGGCTGGGAATGTGTTCCCGGCACTTGTCCCACAGAACCTTGCGATGATACCACCACCACTACTGAGGCCTGCGGCGAGGATACCACTACGACCACGGAAGCTTGCGATGAGGAAACCACCACGACCACGGAATCCTCGACAACCGGATGCGATTGCGGTGACATCAAGAACGCCGAGTTCATTCCTGACCCTGACAACTGCCGTAAATATTTCATCTGCATTGACGGCGTCCTGGTAGCGGGAGACTGCGGCAAGGGCAACCTGTTCAACGCCAACCTGACTGTTTGCATCGTGGACGACAAGAACGAGTGCTGTGTGGCGGACTGCACAGAGGGAGATGTGAAGGTGAATGCCCAGGACTGCACCAAATACTTCAAGTGCCAGAATGGCGACTGGGTTACCGAGTCCTGTGTGTTGGGCAGTTATTACAACCAGAATCTGAACGTTTGCCAAGTGGATAGCAGTGGTGTGTGCATCGGAAGCGACGCCACATCGACCACTACTACCAGCACTGCAATCCCAGAATCCCAGTGCAATGCCCGTGATCCGCCAGCCAGTGGCAAAAACTGCTGGAGCTATTCGGCTTGCATCAATGGCCAATGGGAGGAGGAGACCTGCCTCAAGGACTATTACTTTGATGCCAGCAGCGGCATTTGCCGCCAGGATACCGACAATGTGTGCCCAGAGAACAGATCGACCGGATCGCGCCAGAAGAGGAGCGTGGACCCGGCGCCAGCGGACTGCAACTGCGAGGGCGGCATCGAACAGGGCAGCATTGTGAGTCATCCCACTGATTGCGACAAGTATCTTATCTGCGAGAATGGCCAGCTGGTGGAGGGAACCTGCGGCGTGGGTAATGTCTTCAAGAACTGCAGTGGTGTCTGTGCCCCAGACACCGGTGCCACCTGCTGGGTGTGCTCCAACAAGCCGAATGGCTTCCAAATGGCCAATCCGACCGACTGCACCAGCTACATAACCTGCTGGAATGGCCTGGCCACCGAGCACACCTGTCCCGCTGGCGAGTGGTACAACGGTGACGGTGAATGCGCCATCGATGTGTCCGCCAGATGCATCAATCCCTGCACCTGCAGTAATGGTAACGTGGCCCATCCCATTTGCACCGAGTACTACCAATGCACTGACGGAGTTGCCCAGGTTGTGGAATGCCCCACTGGCCAAGCCTTTAACTCTACCACAGGACAGTGCTCCACATCCGTGTTGTGCTCGGCTGTCAATTGCGCAACTGCCACCGATGGCACCACCTATCCAGTGACTGGCGACAGCAGCAGGTTCTACATTTGCCTCAACCAGCAGGCCACGATTGCGGCCTGCCCAGCCAATTCTGCCTACGTTGCACTCTTGGGCTTTTGCCAAATCCAACCGAGCGTAAGTAGCATCCGATCTTATTAGCAACTTACACCAATACTTATCAATTTGTCGACCCCAGTGCCAGTGTGATCAAAGCTTCTGCACAAATGCCCCTGAGGACAAGACGTATCCCTCTCTGAGCAATGACACCTCGTCTTTCTGCATTTGTCAGAACGGCGGTGGATACATTAATTCCTGCCCTTCGGGACTTTATTACAACGCAGCCGCGGAAATGTGCGACTTCGTAAGTAGTGTGAATAACATTTGGTCTAAGATATCCTTAGCTAATGACATATTGGTTCTAGACCGGAAATTGTGATCCCCAAGTCTGCACAGGTGAGTCGGAGTACTATGTCTCGCCGGACTACGTCGACCCGAATAGCTTCTGCCTGTGCCGCGCTGGTGAACCCATTGCAGTGCCTTGCCCGATTGGCTACACTTTCGACTCGGTAGAGCTAGAGTGCATCCTCATTCCTCAGCCCGACGTAAGCTCATACCGTCTACTTAACCATATCAAGGTCTTACCCCCTTCTATTTACGTAATAGCCACGTTGTTGCCGCAACGGTTGCGTGGGCAAGAGCGATTTCGATACCCTTCCGGCCGTGGACACCACCGATGGCTTCTGCATCTGCATAGACGAGGTCCCTCAGTACAACGATTGCCCCGATAACTCCCAATATAATTCGTCTCTTGGCTCCTGCGTTAGCACCTCAGTAAGCACTGCTCCTCATGTGGTGAAGCCATCTCTGAACTTTCTTCTTTAAGGTCGATGCCACTTGTGCTGTGAACGACTGCGATCCGAGCGTGTGCGATACCAATCTGGACTATAGCACTTTCCCCGCTGAGAATGATTCCTCCGGCTTTTGCTACTGCCTGAACTACTGCCCCGTCTTCATAGAGTGCCAAAATGATCAGGTCTACGACAAAGATCTGGGAGCTTGTCAGCCACCAGTGGTGAGTATACCGAATTACTGCATACATTTTCTTTGTAATAATCAAATGTGCTTTTTGTGCAGGATCCCTGTGCCGTAGTTAAATGTAATGCCACTTTGTGTGACACCTTATCGGACTACACACCGTATTTGCCGAACGACGGACTCGAAGGGTTCTGCTATTGTGATGCCGGTATGCCAATTTACAGCGAATGCCCCGAAGGTCAGACATTCGAATTGTCCTTGGGCTTCTGCGAAACGAAAACGGTGAGACATTGGACTTGTCTATATGCAATTAAAGACACTCATGATAATCTTTAAAAATCTCCAGGATGGCTGCGCGTCCACCGACTGCGATGCTGAGAAATGTTCCTGCATGGATGACTATGAACCCTTCCCAACGATTACGGGCAATAACGACAGCTCCGCCTTCTGCTACTGTGATAACGGCAATGTCTTCCTTGGGCAATGCAGTCCAGATATGGTATTCCTCGCTGATCAAGGACGCTGCGGTATTTTGCCGGTAATGGAAATTTTAGATGCCCCTCAAGGAGAATTTACTGAATTGTTCTTTTTCCTCTGGCTGTTAGGCATCTGAGTGCGTCTGTGAGCCAGGTAAATGCGTCTCCGATGACTATTTCGCCTACTCCGCTCTGAACACCACCGAAGGCTTCTGTCTATGCGTAGCCGGCAGTCCGGTGTTCAAGGATTGCCCCGCCGGTGAGAGCTACGACAGTGCACTTGGCGCCTGTCAGGTACCAACCGTCAAGATCGTGTCCTCCAGCGCCTGCGATGCCACCCGATGCCTGACCCGTGAAACGGTTGCCGTCTCATATGCCGCCTTGAATTCGACTTCTGGCTTCTGCACCTGTGAGGACGTGGGCCTGTCCATCTTCCACAGCTGCGCAGAGGGTCAGGAATTCGACATTGTCAAGGGCTTGTGTGCCACAAAGGACACCATCATGATGATCGCGTGCAACCTGCAAGAGTGCCACAAGCGTGCTCGCTTCGAGCCCTTCGCCGCCCAGAACCTCGAGACCGGATTCTGCTCGTGCGACGATGAGGAGAAAATCAGTGTGACCTATCATCCCTGCCCCGTTGGTCAGACGTTCGCCCCCGAACTGGGCATGTGCGCCAGCCATAGCATCCAGAAGCGATCCCTGGAGACGGAGGAAAACGTAAGGTCCATGTCCTTATTCAAGAGATTCTTCCATAAACTCTTCTAAGCTAGCTCGATACTAGCTCCTTATACTCCTATATTCTATCTATGACATTAGTTGTTATTTATGAGTTACGTTTAATGTGAATATTCCGCTTGTTCCACTTCTATACGTATAAATACCCAATAATAAAGTACTCTACCCACATATGCGCTAAAATAAATTCAAACTAAATGAATTAACCTTTTTCGGCCTTTTATTCATGTGCCTATAGAATGGAACATGTGGATGTTTCATCATCATTATGTTTAGAAAATTTAATAAGTTTTCTATTCTTTTGTTTTACAGTTTTGTGACCTGGATGAGAAGCGCTCGGTGCCAGCGAACTGTTCCCAGTACGAAGTCTGCATCGATGGACACTGGCGACGACGCACTTGCTCCGACCAGCGTTACTACAATCCGGAGCAGCAACGATGCCTGGAGCCCCGCGATGATTTGGTCTGTGCGTATGCCAGGGTCTCAAATCTTCCATCCTGCAGTAATCTTACCGAGTCCCAGACCTTGGCCGCCAAGAATGGCAACTGTTTGCAGTTCTTCCGCTGCTCCGCCGGGAAATGGCGTCTTCGCAACTGCCCCAAGCAGCACTACTACTCACCTGTCCCAGGATCATGCCTGCCCTTGCCGTTGGGCCATGAGCAGGAGAAGAACCAAACCATTTGCAGTTGGGTGAAAACAAAGCAAGCTATGAATATCTCCGTGGATTGCGAAGAGCGCGCAGTGCGTCCATCAGCGGTGGCTGGTTGCCACAGCTATCTCATGTGTCTGGACAATGCCTGGTGGCTGCAGCAGTGTCCCCTGGACATGTACTTCAGCAGGGAGCACAACTATTGCCTGCCCAACAATGCCGGGCAGTGCGCCATGCCAGTGAACCAGAGTCTGCAGAATTGTTCCACCGGTGACAGTCGCTCCCTAATAGGCAGTTGTCACAGCTACGAGCTGTGCACGGATGGCCAGTGGATAAGGCAGCGCTGCCAGGAGCGGGAGCAGTTCGAGCCCATGCTGGGATGTGTGCCCAGTGATGGCAGTTGCCAGGCAAATGGAATGCGGCGCATCTGCCGTGACGGAGAGCTGCGTGCTCAGTTCGGACACAACTGCTCCCAAACATTCTTCTACTGCGAGGCGGAGGAGTGGCATTTGGGCAGCTGCCTGAGGGGACACAGTTTCGTTGGAAATCAAAATAAGTGTCAACTGCAGTCTCATTGCAGAATGCAGATGAAGGAACTAACTGCTGAGAATCAGTGCCTGGATCAGACGGATGGCCTGAGTGTTCGTGATCCCTCGGACTGCACCAGATTCTATCTGTGCATGCAGCAGAAGCCCACCATCCTGCAGAGCTGCCCTTCTGGCAGCTTTTTTGATACCAACAAAGGATACTGTCTGCCAAACGATGGCTCTTGCCAGCTGCCCATTTGCTCTGGCCTGGAGGATGGCAAACTAGTGGCCCATCCAGAAGATTGTCGGGCATACTACAGTTGCTCCAGCCAAAATGGAACCAGTCTTATTCAGTGCGACGAGGGACAATACTTCCACAGCCTGCTCCAGATTTGCCGCGTGGATAACGGTCAGTGTCGAAAGGAGTCCGACCAAAATGATACCCAAACGGGTACGAAGATGTGCTCTGGACTTCATGGAGTGAAACTTCCCCACGAGCTCTACTGCAATCTATACTACGCCTGTGTCAAGGGTCTGGCAATCCCGGTGGAGTGTCCCGTTCAGCATCAGTTCAATCCGGTGCTCTCTCTTTGCGAGCCGGAAGCACAAGCGGCACAACTATGTCGGAACGGGCAGCTGGAGGGGAATGCCAGCTACGTCTACAGCTGTGGCAGCCTGCAGGACGGCACCTTTTTGGCCAACCGGACGGACTGCACCCGGTACTTTATCTGTGCCGGTGGATTGGCCACTGCCCAGCGATGTGCCGCCGGCAGCTTCTTCGATTCGGAGCAGCTGCTCTGCTTAAAGGATGACGGCTCGTGTCCGTTGGTGGAGCAGGTTGGCGATGACGAGGACCCGAACAATCAACATGTTCCACCCGATCCGCTGGTGTGCGAGGGCAAGCACGGATACATAATGCCAGACCCGGCCAACTGCAATAACTTTTACTTGTGCGTCTCTGGAAAACTGCGGCATGAGCTTTGCTACAAGGACTACTTCTTCAACGCCACACTGCAGCAGTGTCAGGCTTTTGTTGTAGACTCCCCAACGGAGCAACCACCCATAGAATCCCAGTTGGGTGAGCTAAGTGGCTTAGCCAGGTCAGGAGCAACCGGAACCTGCAGCGATGCAGCCACTACTTTTTCAGAAATTTGTGGAGTCATTGGAAATGGTGCATCAATCGCAGAGCAAGGCGACTGCCGACGTTACACCAGTTGTGAGGATGGTGAAGCCCTTTCCCAGCGGTGTCGCAATGGTGAAGGGTTCGACAGTCTGCTTGGCATCTGCCGTCAGAACGATGGAACCTGTCTCATGGAGAACGGCGAACGTGTCGGAGTCTGTAACGGCAAGCACGGACAGTTGGTCCGGAATGCGGACAACTGTCGGGGATACTTTGTGTGCGTACATGGCCAAATCATTGAGGGAGAGTGTGCCCAGGGACAATTTTTCCACAAAGCGACCAGCAGCTGTGAACTGGATGTCCAGCAGCAATGCAAATCCGATGCTGATGACGTGATCTCCGGCGACAAATAGAAAAAGGTGTGCATCTCTATCAAGACTTTGATCTGAGCTAGTTAAGGAATACTTTTGGTGGTGGTAAAATATACTGGGAATAAATACATAAAATGCTGACAGGTCTCTATAATGACCTTATACTTCCTACGACCTAATTTAGAGCCAATGAGCCCTATTCCAAATACAAATAATTGCCATTTGAATACTTTGATAGGTGGCTGCTACTTCAGAAACAATATGATAGATGTGTGTGGCTTGCACTCAATTAGAAACAAAGGAGACCCACAAAAGGTCTCATAGGCACGCACTAACCCCCGAAAAAATAACAATTTAAGAGAAAGGCTTCAAGTTATTAATGACGTGCATTTAATCAAAATAGAAATACAGCCGTACAATAATAGTACTTACAACATACGAGTACTACCAGACAATGTCGCATTGGAGTCTATTTTTATGGTCACGAATTTGAGCGAGTATTCAAGGGTACGATTCGACGTTGTTAAGAGTGCCCCTGGGGATAGCTTTATTCAAGGCTTAAATTCACATTGGTTATAGGTCAACCGCCATTACAATCGTACATACGTGTCAAAATCGTATGACGGTTATAGACCCTGCGAGTAACTGACGTCATTTACACCGATGATTGTACATAGATAGTGGTCAGGAAACGTAGTGCCCGCCGGTCGGCCTGATTTAAAATTAGGAAGTCATCACGAAGAACCTCGTGCAGCGAGTCAAATACCATATTAATAGGATATTCGTGTTAAAAGTGCCCACCCAGAGCCAGTACGACCCACAGACCCTTTCCAAAATGCGTATGTTGTATCAGTGATGGGAAGTTAAAGGATGTTTTTACCTAGAAAAAGTTTTAATATCATTTACCCCAATCATAAATAGTAAGTATATTAAAAAATAAATGATATTTTAAATGCAAACAATATTAATTAAAAACAATCACATAATCCTTATCGTTATAGGTTCCCCCGTCAGGTATATCCATCTCTATGAGTGGAGCACTCTCTCTCTGTCTCTCTGTGTCTCTCTCCAACCACACACTGAAATGCCACTCAACCAGAGAGCCGGAGAACCGTGATTATCTATCTGTCGCAGAGTGTCACTGTCCTGGAGCTCCTGGTCGGTCATTCGGTCGGGAACCATCGAAGTGAGCAGTGCGCCCGTGCAGAGCGGAAGGTGTGAAAGCCAAAGTGGTATTTAGTACAAGTGGATATGATGGACGGGCGAGCATGTGCTTGGATAATGTGAACCTTGATTGAAAGATAATAATTACAAGCCACACACACAAAATCAATAGTGTGTCAGCTTAAACTGGAAATCGAATAGGTGTGCTGGCCACTGACATATCTCTCCTCAGATCGATCGCGATCTGGTGAATGTGTGTCCAAAAGGGACGATTATTCAAGTGTATCTCAGTGGAAGCCGGAAATCAATAATCGATTACTCATATATAAATGGGACCCGCCGAAAGGAGCGAATCAATAATCCTTCAATTGTTGTGATTACTTCAATGGCATGGGACTTTTCACAACTGCCAACAAACGCTGACATTTCCAGGACGTCCGTCGCACGCTTATTAGTGATCCAGGTACGAGTTTGAGTCCGTGAATGGATTTGTTTGTTTGTTCGTTGTCCAGTGGCAAACCCCTGACCTTACCCCGTGCACTCTCAGATGGGGCAACCGCCATCACTAAATCTAGGCCAATTATTTAGAACTATTGTCATTCGTTCGCCTGGGAAAGTGCTCACCACTTGTAGCAACAAGTTTGTTTGCCCAACCTTTTCCGACCAAGTGAAGTCGCTCCCATGGTGCACTAGTGGCTAATGTAAAGCCATTATACCCCCGGGACCATTGTCATTGCCCCGCCGTCCAGACCCCCATCAGGCTGAACAAACACCTTTCCACGGGTCAATGTCGAATGCGTGCGTGAGTTCACCTTCTGATTGGAACGCGCTTGCAAATGAAGATACAAATACTCGTAAGGGTATAAATTAACGCCCTTCTCGAGGGCAGTAGTATAAACATGAATGAATTATTAATTCTCTGCCTCGTGGATTCTCGTGGAATCGGGGGATAAAAGTATGTCCGCCGGAGAACCTCTGAGCGACAGCGTAGAAACCTAGCCCACCTAGGACTCACTCACACCCACTCCCACTTCAAACTTGGGACTTTAAATAGTTTATTATGGGTACAAGAACAGGTGCTGCTGACCCGTGTCTCCAAACTAGGCCAAATTAGAAAGTGGCCCCATATGACCTGCCGCCCATCCAATTACGCTCCTCCACAGAATTCCATGACGCCGATCCCCCTCCGGTGGAGAGAGAAGCAGCAATCGCAACCGCATCGAAAGCCAAGCCCACAATGAGCAGTCACGACGGAAGGTCCGGCGACAGGTCACATATTTTTCAAATACGCATCGACAGCGTCGATGATGAGAGCACCGCCCCATAACGGAGGCCAGCTCACGAGAAGATCTCATCGGCAGTGCTGCCCGGGAGGGTGAGAGGACCTGCGAGCAGTCCGTCTTTCAATTTCCCAGTAAGTACATGATATTACCATTAGTTTTCCCTATCTAACCGTCCCCTTGCAGGATTCCTTTCGGTGCCAACGCTGCGAAGTCCGCGCCAATCCCCAGATCCCTCCACCCGCCGGAAGGTGATGTCCAGTCCAGCCAAAAGTGAGCGCATGATACGCCGAAGTCAGACGAAACTGCGACCCAGAAGACTCAGTCAGGACAGTGGAATTGTGGCGGGCAGATTGATAAGCTACGGGGTGAGTTTTTCCTAACCTATAATAAATATCCAGAGATTATACTGGTGTACCCGCAGGAGAGTGCCCTGATAGACTCCGATCTACATTCGCGCGTCATCGAAGCGGATCACAAGAAGGCAGATAACATATACGGCTGTCAGGAAGTAAATAATGTTGCGGCGGTAAACATTAAGCCCTCCACTCCGATCCTGCCCAAATCCAAGCTGAGTGCCAATCGTGTACGGGCAGGTTCGGCTGCTTATACGGAAAAGTGGCTCAACACCTCGGTGATGCGGACCAGCAATGGCAATTCCCTGTACAGCAAGTCGAATCCCATTGCTGTGCCGCTGCCTACGCACCTGGAATCGGAGTCGGCGGAACCGAGTCCCACGCAAGCCTTTGGCCCAAAGATCATGGGTAGCAATGAAGAGGATATACCTGGCACAGCAATGCGGCGAAATTTGGGCCTGAATTTGAGTCCTACACTGGGCTCGGGGGACAGAGTGAACCAGTCTTATGAAGTAATGGAGTCGTCGCACTCCAACGTCTTACCTGACCAGTTTGGCTACCGTCAACTAATGCCCACGGAACGGAAAGCCTCGGATTCGACGAGCAGTGTGAGTGGCAGCTACTATGGCAGCCGGAAGGCCAGCAAGAGTAACAGCCTGGGCGGAGAGTCCGGGGATGAGAGGAGGGTCAGCAAACAGGATCGAGAGGGACTTGACCCGGAATCGCTAATGTTCCGAGATGGTCGCCGGAAAGTGGACATGGTGCTGGCCTGGGAGGAGGAGGACCTGGGCGTGATGACCGAGGCGGAGGCCAAGCGCCGGGATAATCGGAGAAGCTTCATGGAGAACCTTGTAAAGGAAGGGTTGGAAGTAGAGCTGGAGGACAAGTCGCAGTCATTCAACGAGAAGACCTTCTTCTTGAAGATCCATCTTCCCTGGCGACTGGAGACGCGACTGGCGGAGGTCATGAATCTGAAGCTGCCTGTCAAACGATTTATCACCATATCCGTGAAGCCATCTTGGGTAAGGTTTTTAATCGATCTGAGGGATCTAGAACTAGATATATTCTATATATCTTTACAGGATGAGGAAAATGTTGTGCTCAGGAATGTTCAGTATTGGAGGGACGTGTGGCAGCGATTGACCAAAAAGATTCAATTGGACCAAACTCTACTCGAGGGAGAGACTACCTTTAAGGCTGCAACTGCTAATGGCAATCCTGAGGAACAGTAAGTATTGGGATATCACAGCAAATATGAATTGGGAGTAATATTCCGCCACAGGTTCATTGTGAAGGACCGCGCCACTGCGTTCACCAGCGCTCAGCGGTCACTGATGGTGATGCAGGTGCTCATTCGGACGCCCTTCGATGAGAGCGATAGGAGTGGCATTCGGCGTCTGCTGAACGATGGCACCTACCTAGGCTGTTTCCCGCTGCACGAGGGCCGCTACGACCGACCTCATTCCAGTGGGATCTCTCTGGACCGCCGGATACTTTACCAGACGTGGGCCCATCCCTCGCAGTGGTACAAGAAGCAGCCGCTGTGCCTGGTACGCAAGTACTTTGGCGACAAGATCGCGTTATACTTCTGCTGGCTGGGATTCTACACGGAGATGCTTGTCTATCCGGCCGTGGTGGGCACCCTCTGCTTCATCTACGGCCTGGCCACTCTTGAGTCCGAAGACAACACGCCCAGCAAGGAGATTTGCAATGAGTATGGCACCGGCAACATCACCTTGTGTCCACTGTGCGACAAGGCCTGCAGCTATCAGCAACTCTCGGAGTCGTGTCTCTTTTCACGACTAACCTATCTGTTTGACAATCCCTCGACGGTGTTCTTCGCTATCTTCATGTCCTTTTGGGGTAAATACAAATGCAAAAATAAGTTATCTTTGTTATGTTTTATTTATTAATTATTTGTGTATTTATTTATTATCATTAAAATAGCCACAACATTCCTGGAGCTATGGAAACGCAAGCAGTCGGTGTTGGTCTGGGAGTGGGATCTGCATAACGTGGACATGGATGAGGAGAATCGTCCCGAGTTTGAGACAAATGCCACTACGTTTCGCATGAATCCGGTCACGCGCGAAAAGGAGCCCTATATGTCTACTTGGAATCGTGCCTTGCGATTTGTCGTCACCGGCAGTGCAGTTCTCTTCATGGTGACTTAATTACTTGGTATATAAGAGCAGTAAAATTTACACGAATATTCTGTAGATCTCTGTGGTTCTCTCCGCCGTGCTGGGGACTATCCTGTATCGCATAACGCTGGTGTCGGTTATCTATGGAGGTGGAGGATTCTTTGTAAAGGAGCATGCCAAGCTTTTTACCAGTGTGACGGCTGCCTTGATCAATTTGGTAGTCATCATGATACTAACGCGAGTAAGTCCAAGCATTAATAGCTTCTATAGCAAGTCATAGATTTTATATGTTATTTTAGATCTACCACCGCATGGCTATTCGGCTGACCAATTTGGAGAATCCCCGCACTCACACGGAATACGAGGATTCCTACACCTTTAAGATCTTCTTCTTTGAGTTCATGAACTTCTACTCGTCACTCATCTATATAGCCTTCTTTAAGGGCCGATTCTTTGACTATCCTGGTGATGATCAGGCCCGAAGGAGCGAGTTCTTTCGCTTGAAGAACGACATATGCGACCCGGCGGGCTGCTTGTCCGAACTCTGCATCCAGTTGGCCATCATAATGGTCGGCAAGCAGTGCTGGAACAACTTCATGGAGTATCTGTTTCCAAAGTTCTGGAACTGGTGGCGTCAGCGAAAACACAAACAGGTAAGGGAGTAGTTGAGTTTTATTGTAATATTGAGCTGCATGAATGATGCTTTCTCAGGCGACCAAGGATGAATCGCATCTCCACATGGCCTGGGAGCAAGATTATCACATGCAGGACCCTGGACGTCTCGCCTTATTCGATGAATACCTGGAAATGAGTAAGTCATCGCAAATGTTAGTCCTCACGTATAATTTTAAATCCCAATCTTTTCTCTAACCAGTTCTTCAATATGGCTTCGTAACTCTCTTTGTGGCGGCATTTCCTCTTGCGCCGCTCTTCGCGCTCCTGAATAATGTGGCCGAAATCCGGCTGGATGCTTACAAGATGGTCACGCAAGCCAGGCGGCCGCTGGCGGAGCGGGTAGAGGATATTGGGGCATGGTACGGCATACTGCGGATCATCACATATACAGCCGTCGTCTCGAATGCCTTCGTGATTGCCTACACCAGCGATTTTATACCCCGCATGGTGTACAAGTTTGTGTACTCGGAGACGCATACCCTGGCAGGGTACATAGAGCACTCGCTGTCCATCTTCAACACCTCGGATTACAAGGAGGAATGGGGTGCAACGGTCAGCGAGCGGGATCCGGACACCTGCCAATATCGTGGTTACAGGTTGGTGCCTATCATCTGTACATTTATCGTTTACTCACATTTGTACCTTCTTAGAAATGGACCCAAGGATTACGAACCCTACGGACTGAGTCCCCATTATTGGCACGTGTTTGCTGCTCGATTGGCCTTCGTTGTGGTCTTTGAGGTAACTATCATAAATAGTGATTCTGAAGGTACTTACATCTAATATCCTTCTACAGCATGTGGTGTTCGTAATCACTGGAATCATGCAGTTCATTATTCCGGATGTCCCATCCGAGGTAAAGACCCAGATGCAGCGTGAGCAACTATTGGCTAAAGAAGCCAAGTACCAACACGGCATTAAACGGGCGCAGGGCGACAGCCAGGATATAATGAGCCTATTTCGAGATGCCAGCAATCGAACTTCAATTGCCGGAAGCCAGACGACTAATGCCCGTGGTAGCTGGGCCCGACGCTTTAGTCGGCTGAGCGACGGCTTGGATGCCCACGTAGAGGTCGCAGCACGGCCGCGGCGATCAGTGGAATCGACAGTTTGGGAAGTCTCCTGACACGAGGAGGAGGCCGAGAGCGAGGTTCATGGTCAGAACAAAGGATGAGACCGTGATAGAAACCCAAATTGTCATCATTCTCCCCTCCAAGAGCATTGAAATCGTTTCATTCATGTGTAATTGTTGTTGCAACTCCACAGTTTATATAGTCTTAGGTTTAAATATCAATGTCAGGTTCTTTGTAAATAAATTATTTTCAATGTTGTGAAAGAAGAATAGGAATTTTGCATACAAATACCCCCTGCTACGTTCTGTTGCCACAGCAACCAGACCTCCTTCAGAGCCTTGTTAACTCCGTGGCAACATAGTAATCGGATCTTTATTGTGACATACAAGTTTAATATTTCTTTCATCGACGAAAATTATTAACAATGAACAAGAAAATTTCACCCGAGGATGCCTTCTACGAAAATTTAACATTGGGACTTATTCGGACCCTCTGTGAGTATGATCCAAATACCTCTTCCGGCTATAAATCCTATCAGTGTAACCTCTTTATTCCCCCAGCCAATGTGCCGAGAGTGTGCAATGTGACTCTGGAGCGACGGCAGCCGCTGAATGCTTGTCAGGTAGTCAACTGGGAACAAAGGCACTGCGTCTACTTGCCGGAGGATATGAAGAAATTCTATCTCTCCTCGGATGGATTCGTGCTGAACTGGAGCTACCAGTATGCACGTAAGCCTCGTCTTAGTTGGCTCTTGTTCTCCAATTAACACTCTACTTTCAGCCAACGACATTCGACGGGTGGGTCACATCCACTTTCCGCACTTACTGCAGGTGACTCTCTTGCGAGAGAACATCGAAACGACGCACTCTGTTAGCAGCTCTACGGCTCTGGCTGGCAGCAACTCGGATGTCCTGGGAGCAGCAAGCAGCTCGCAATCCCTTCCAGCACCAATTGTATCCGGGAAGGACAAGTGGGGCAATGCCACACCGATTATAACAGCCAAGTCGAAGATATTTGAGATCAACAACGTGAACGAGGTGGCCAAGGTGGGTTCTTAGTTGGAGATATACGAGATTACTCATGTCTCACTCCTCGTCTGCCAGGTTTGCATGCTATATGAATCAACGAGTTCCAACAATCCCAAATTCTATCTGCTGGAGCTGAGTACCCTGAGCTGGCAGTTCCTGGCCGATACCTTCAGTGAATACCTGCGCATGGCTATCGCGCATTTAGGTCTCCCCTACTGGGAGCTGTGCTTCTCCAGCTGCGGACTGCCCTCGTGGACGGAACAGCTTTTCCTCCTTCTGGCGCCCCATCTCCTCGAGGAGCACGAGCCCAGGCGCGGACGAGTGCTAAATCCGGCTTGCGAGCATCCCTACAATATCATTGATCCGAACATATTCCGGGGGAAGCCTAAGACGGTGGCAAAGACTGTGACCAGCAGCACCAAGCAGAACAAGTAAATGAATTTCAGTAGAAAAGTAAACCATTTATTTCAGTGAAGATAACGAAAACTAAATGCCACAAAACAATGAAATGAAGAGGAGCCCCTGAGGTTGGATTGGGTCAATATTTGGAAACAATTTAGAGTCGGTTCCCAGGAATTTTGTAACTAACTATATAATAAGACATACATAGGTTGGCATTCATTAATGACTCATTCTTGGTATATTGACCCACTCTTAAGAGGAAACCGGATATTGATGGGGATGGGATGAATCATCATTAGTAGAAGTCCGCGCTCTTGTCCTCCAAATCGGCCAACATTTTATCCCTGATTTGCGGCCTTGGGTCCTCTGTGATTTCCGTTGGTACAGCGCCCGCCTGTCCCAGCATGAACTCCAGCTCCTCCACGGTCAGCTTCTCGCCGCGCAGCTCCAGGGGCCCGATGTACTGTTTACGCAACGCCCCTTCGTGGTAGATGAAAATAGTGGGCAGGTTCTTCTCGGGGAAGTTCGGTATGCAGGTGGTGGCGACGGATCGCAGGAACTTGGTCTGCGGGAAGCGAACTGCAAGCTGCTGCATATGGTGGTGGATTAGGGCGCAGAGGGGCACTCCATTGGCGTACAGATGCAGCACAACCCAGATACCCTCGCCGGCCTTGGTCACCTCGTTGACGTACTCCTGGCCAGAGATCTCTCGAACCGATCCAAATCGAGCCTTTTCGGCGGTGGCCCGCATTTCTGCGATGCGACGTTGCCGGTATTGCTCCAGCACTTCCTCATCTTCCGAGTCCTCCAGCTCGTCAAGTTCGTCCAGCGACATGTCGTCAATCTTCTTGTCCCTCTGACCCTCGTTCATCGGGAGATCTGTGCGTCGCTGGATGGCATCGTCCATTAGCTTCTGGATCTGATCCTCTGTGATTTCGGCCTCCTTGGCCTTGGGTCCAATGATTCCCTTGGCGCGGAGCACATCGTTCCACTCGGTATCTTCGTTGGGATCCTAAACGATATGCAAGCCATGTGAGATTTCATTCAAGATTTTCAATACCAAATATGGAGTTATTTTTGGATGCAGGCAGTGGTGCGTAGACAACACACCCAAAACCGCGTTCAAGTATAAACTCTTTTCTTTAAAAATCATGTGTTTTGTTTTAATAATATTACCTGCATTTTTATTTGTTTTATTCACAGAATAATATTACAATTTGGTATGAGCCGAGCGCATGCAACTTTTGTAAACTAAAAATAAATATAAATTATTCTAAACGAAAATGACTCATGACCAGGGATGCATAACTATCGATATATTGCTTAGAGGTGGAAGCTAGGCGGTATTTTTGTAAATGGGAAACTGTGGGAACTATGGTAATACCCTATAGCACCTATATATTATTACATATATTATTTTCGAAATATATTCATAGAGTATTATTTTTGAAACATTGCACGGTATTTTAATTTATATTTATTTCTCTCTCCCTGCCTCTCTATTAATCCATCTGGCTTCTCTGACTCTCTCTTTCAGTGTATCTCTAGAGGTATTGCTTTCTCTACCTCTCTCGCTCCCACTCTCCCACTCTCTCACTTTCTCTGTTCTCTTGGCTCGCGGACTATAAATAGAGGGTCGCTAGCGGCGCGCCGCCCTTAGTCTGTTCGTGGCACCTGCAGTGATAACATCGATTGTGATAGTGGCAGTGATAGTGATTAACTCCGACCCCAAATATATTACCGGACCAATGGATAACCAGGAATGAGATGACGTGGATGTTTACATGAGAAGCCTAATTGGAGTCATCAGGAATATAAATCTACACTGGAAGGAACTAAATCACCTTTAATTAGGTAAGTCTGAACCATGACAATTATATTTTACATTATATTATATATGGATGATAATAGATGGTGTAAGGCCTAGGTCTAGAATCAACTTTTATTTTTCAAATAATTCTGTTGTTGCCAAAGACTCCATTACCAAATTTTAATTTAAAGTGATACAGCATTTTGTATTAGCATTTTTGGAAACGTATACTTAAAATTAATAGCCTACCTTAATTTTAAATTTTTCACCAGTATTGTTTCTAAACCATAATTTTAAACTACCCCTGACTTTGGCGCCAACTTTTGCTACATTATAATTCCCTTGCAAGGTATTATAACTTCAGTCAGAAGCTCGAAACACAGGGAAGGAGTCGTTTCTGCCCCTATAAATCATATATATTCTTGATCAGCATCAACAGATGAGACGATCTAGCCATGTTCGGTAGAAAAAAAAATGTTTGTGTTTTTTTTTGAAAATTTTATAATTGTAATATTTTTATTGTGACTTGTGGTCCCTATACTGTTACAAGTGCTTGATAATAATTAAAATAGTACACACATACATGAATTTATTCGAATCGTGTTTTGAGATAATGGACGCGTTCATGAGTTACAATTTTTAACAATTAGGTACATTATTTCGATTGAATATTTCAGCAATATTTGATATTATTTTATCTATGACGCGGATATTATTGAATACCGTTGGAAATGAGCATTAATGAAATCATTTATAGATCCTTAATGTGTGATCTTGGGTCGTTTGGCAATATTTGTGATAAATTCCCCATGACATCCAAATAGTATAACTATTCAACATATCGATTTCTGCTCAGATACTATATAGTAGTTATTAAAATTAATAATACATATCAGGTCACCAATTTCCTCCTGATAGCCAGAGGCGGCCGCCTTGTTGCCCAAATATATGAGATAGTGCATAAACTTATCGAACTCGGCCTCTTCCTGCAGCAGGCGCTTGAATCGAGGATGTACAAACTGCTTTTCCACATCCACCATAAACGTTTGCGATTGGATCACTCTGAAAAGCATTAATATATTAATACCCTACCTTGTTGCAGGAGTTTTCTTTTACTTACTTGCAGAAGCGCAGTATAATAATTAGAATATTGTCGATGGTTTCTTTAACCTTAGCACTCTTCCGGTTTAGGAAAGCCAAAAAGGCCACCCGCTTTAGGTAGGCCACATGGTGCCTGTAGAGGTCCTCGATGGAGTTAGTGGTGCATAGATCTTCCTTGAAATTGTTCCAAGTGGCCTGAAAGGCCTTGGCCACCAAATGCGTTTGCAACGCGGTCACAAAGTGCAACAGCTTTTGGCGCACCGCCTGCAATTGCCGAAACTGGACAGACATCCGGAGCTTTGGGCCAAGCAACTTTCCCACGCGCTGCAGGTGCTGGTAAGTTGCGTCCAGAATGAAAGTCACGTGCCGCAACTTTAGCAAATACCCAAATATTTGGCCGTATTTGGCAACTGTTTCCGAACTTATTACCAAGTTTAGGGGCCAATCCACCTTGCAGTTTAGCGCCAGCATGGAGGTGGTATCCAGGGACCAGAAATCCAGTCTCTCCGGAATCTTGATGCAATTCAGTGTAAGATTCTGGGTAACTGTGGTCTCATCCGTCGGACAGCATGCCAACGCATTGCCCAGCATGGCGTCGAGAACGCCCCTCTGACAGAGGCTCTTGGGATCGATTCCTGTTCGGATTCTGTCTAGAATATCGGATGTGAGTAATCCACCAAACTGTCCGTCCAGCAGGAAGAAGTAGTTCCTCAGTCGGCGGAAATGCTCGTAGATGCGCAGCTCCTTGAATATTCTCAAGACCTCGTTTCGCAGTAGAGCGTAGTGGGCATTGACAGGCACCATTACAGACAGTTGGAGGCATCGACGGGCCATAAAGGGATTGCAGGCCTCCGTTGCGGGAACAGTATCAGTCACAGCTAGCTCATTCTTTTTTTAAAGTTTGTGGGCAGTTTGAAAATGGGCTTAAAGGCGGACAAAGCTAGTCCTCCTGCTTTTACAGGCACAGGCAGAGGCTTCTTTTGTGGTGACACGGTATTCAACAATAACGAGTCCTCCACTTGATCATTATTATTATTATTATTATCAGCGGCATCCTTATCTGCGGTGTTGTCAGGCGGCGTAAGAGCGCTAAAATCAGCATCGGAGGTGACGGACATGGGCGTTAAAACCGACAAAGGCACCTCCACGTGCAACTTGTTGGATTCTAGCGGCAGCTGCAAGGTATCTTTCTTTCGTTCAGCCAATATGATTTCATACTCGCTGCTCATAACTTTCCGCCTATTTTTGGCCCGCTCTTCAGTGGACTCCATTTGACGCTGGATTCGGCGAGTATTCTCATCCTCAGTGGAGTTATAGTTACCAAAGGAATCATGCTGCTGCATCCGGAGCCGGTAACGCTGGAGGTCAGACAGCTGGTCAGCAGCCTCAGTGTCCTTTAGATTCGCATTAATGTCGGGAGGTAGTTGGGCCCGTAACCCTGTCGAAGTCGTTGAGTCCAGCTCTTTGACATTAACCATCGCCTGAAAGTGTTCCGAGGAGAGAATGTGCTTGCGATTACGATCGAGTTCCGATTGCAAGGTCAGATGTTCATTGAAGTTGACCTCGTCCAAGGGTGTGGGCTGAAACTGCAAGGAAGTCTGGGATTTTGTCTTGGCAGGCAGCTCCAAGTTTTCTGCTCCACCCTCCGCTTCCTCTGCTTTATCATCCTTGTCTATCACAGATTCTGGGCGGGAATTGGGTCCCTCGATGCAGGACTTAAAGCTGCGATCGCTGTTTGAGCTGTCATCTGGACTCGAAGTGTCCTGGGACTTCGTCTCAACACCCAATAAACCCTGGAGATGAGCCACTTTCTTCTGCAGTGATTCTTTCTCTTGAAGCTGCCTTTTCTCCTCCAGGCGCTCACTTTCTCTCAGAAAGACCATTTCATTGACGATCTCCTGACGCCGCTTCTCCAGAACATTCTGTTGATGGAGCTCCAGGTCTGCATTGAGCTGATCGTAGCGCTGCTTCTTCTGGGCATTCGATTCTAGCTGCAGCACACGCATATGTTCCTCCCAGGCAGCCAAATGGACTCGGGTGCGCTCCACCATAAGGTTCTGGAAGTTGCGCTTGGTCGCCATGCGTTCCTGGAAGATGCTTTGCATGCTGCACCATCCGAATCGTTGATAGATGACGGCATACTTTTCGGCCAAGCGACGACGCATATCCTTTAGCTGCTGCTCCGTCAAACAAACCACTATAGCCGGGAACTCAACATCGAAGACTGGGTGCTATATGGGAGTGTTGGAGTGTTATTATGAATTATTTTGGGATTTTCCCAACTCACCTGAGCATTGTAGGCCTTGAGCACCCGATTGTACTTCCCGCACTGAAGAATGTCGTGCTCGCAGCCGGATAAAAAGTCTGGAATTTCCTCGTTGACCACTTGGTAGCCCCTATTGAAGAAGTCCTTGCTGCACTCATCGATCGTTGACGGCGATGTGTTATGGCATCGACTGATGAAAATCTCGTTAAGTTCATCGTCCAGCTCGCCACGGTAGATCCAACTTTGCAACTGGCCAAAGTATGTCTGCGACATCCTGCGCAGCAGATAGATAAGAAGCTGCAGGAAGTCGCTGTGGCCACAGGTGTCGATGACTTGCCAAATGCACCTCATCAGGAAACATCCTGGCACTCCAGCCTCTAGATTCACTTTATTAAAAAATGGACATTTTAATATCTAAAGAAAAAACCAATACAATTTAAATTCATTAATGGAAACTTACACCTGGGCTCCCTCTCGAAAACGTTCTCCAATAGTCGCAGGGTCTGCATAGCAGACCGGGAGTTAAATAGCAACTGGGGAAGACTGTCAGCGGACTGGGATAACAGAAACTGGCGAATGGTGGTCAAGAAATCCACTAGAATTTCTCGCAAAGCCTGTAAGCAAAAGAGAAGTTAAGAACCTTCATAATGTGATGTGCACAAAGACTTCTCACCCGGTTGAGGGGTCTTTCCAGACGGGCATTGGTATACGAGTAACAGCTGGTGCGGGCACTCAAGCGCCGGTAAGCAGAGCCAGCCCGCAGAAAGGGTTCCGAAAAGTCCTCCAGGATCTTCGGCAGCACACTGGGCAGCGTAGTGTTGGGCCTAATCATTAGCTCCTTATCATTCTCCGGCGAACACATAAACGTGTCCGACTGGACACCAGCAGCTGCCTTCTTAAGGTGATCTATCAGAACATCTTCCTTGATATAGTTGAGCACCAGTTCCTTGTTCAAGAGGAGATTCAGTTCGTTGCTCATCATCTTGTCCGAGATAAAATGCTTCTTCGATGATACAGGTTCCCGATACTTCTGGGGTTTCTTACAACTTTTTCTGTATAGAAACTCCAGTTGGGGGATCGGTGGCATTGATTGGAGTCTAACTTCTCGAATCCTATCAAGGGATGATGTCAAATAGGAGGGGTAGCCAATAATTGGGTTCATCCTGTTGACCTTCTTATTTATGTTACACGGTAGAGGGTCCCAGGCGCGTTCCCATAGATTCAGTGGCTTCCGAGCCTGTTTCAGTTGATTGATTGATTTGAAGAGATTTGGATTTACTGGCTTTGTAAATGTGTTGGGGTCAACGAGATGCACTTCGTGGAGCTTAAGCACGCCCGCTCTTAAAACCCTAAACTCAGCTTTGGTGGTATTCTCGTCAATCCTCTCAGGTTCCTGGGAATCAGTGTTCTTTAGCTCTTCAAGCAATTTCTCCAAGATCTGTAGCCTGCCTCGCTGCTTTGGATCTTTCCTTAATTCGCTGCTCAGCTGTGAAATCAGCTCTAGTATTTCCTCGGATGACATTTTCCCGCGTCGGAAGAGCGCCTCATAGATTTCTGACCGCTTCTTGGCCACCAAACGAGCAGCTGTGGGGACATCGGTCACCTCCTCGTTTAACGCCAACAATGTGGCCAGGTGGTTGACCTGGTCGAGCACACTGTGGGTGCACTCATCCACTGCAGCCATTGCTTTTCCTAATATGTTTGAAAGTCCAAGGATATTTCCATCAAACCAAATAAATATAATACAGCTGGGAAAAAATCGATTTCAACATCGGACTATCGTTTTTCTTCGGTTTGTTCTTTGAAAAGAATCGATGTATCGTATCGATGTTCGCGGGCATTGATGTTTTCAAAAAATGCTTCTTTACGTATTGTATTAAATATAAAATATATGGGTAAATTAAAAATGATCAAAAACGTATGTTAATCCGAGTTATAGGCAATGTATTTATTATATTTTTTCATTTATAATGATTTTGATCTCAATATGATGGATTTCTTTAGTTAATAATTATTATGTGTTTAAATTTGTTAGATTTTAATAGCTTGATCAAATAAATTTCATATGTCCCCAACAACCTAGAGTTCCCCTCTCGCAGTGAAAAATAAGAACACAGAATTTACACTAAATTAAAAAGTTTTAAATATATTGTTCTGCGGGTTCTTTTGTTTTATACAAGTACACAATAATCTATTTGCCCTTTGGCTTACAATATTATCTTAGATAAATAGCTTAGGTTCTGTATTATTAACACAAAAACATGCAGAAATTGAAATTGGATCTATTTAGGATTTGCAAAGTTCTGTCTCCCTCAAGTGTGTGATTTACAATTCGCTTTATATCTGATTTACAATTGGCTTATGTTACTTTTTTCCTTAAAGTGTGCTTGGGAAAACAAAGAGAGTGAATAATATACGTAAATGGGATATAGAAAATCCAATCGAAAACCCGATTGATACGGATTATTGCAATGCGGTGGTGGCGTTGTGTGTAGCGTGTGTATGTAGGGCTGGTGGTGGTGTCGCCAGAATCGGGGCCGTTGCCGGCGGATCCACCGCTGCTCCCTCCTGTTCCTGCTCGAACTTTCTGTCGTGCACGACCACGTTGCCCATCAGCACGAATCAAGAGGCGTTGTTCGTCTCGCCGTTGCTCTCGTGGAAGTTGGTGCCGTTGACAATGAACGAGGTGCCCAGGCCGTACAAATGCCCGGAGTACTTGGCATGATCAATATTGTCCTCGAAGAACATCTGAAACAGGGAGAAATTAAGGTTTTATGTTAGCGAGGATATTGATCTGTATAGGATGAAGCAGTGGGGGGGCATAAGCGAGCGGGGTTAGTTCTAGGACTAAAAAGCGTTTGAAGCATACAAAAATCTACAGGAGGAAGGCACAACATAATAATATGTTCCCAATTGGTTCGGGAAGAGGTATTTATGTGGTTTCGTTACATACCGTTTACCGATATAAACATTAGGATTTTTTTTCTGAGGTTTTGATGAGTGGTTAGGATGGGGTTGGGTGAGGAGCTCTGTTATTTTCTTGATCATGCAGATGGGCGGATCTACGGGTTTAAGCTCGTGTAACGAATATACACACAATGCATTGTGTGAAAATTAACGTCAACAAAGACCTTAAAAGTTAGAAAACATGAAATATGGTTAGGTGTTAGGGGTAATGCTCAAAATTAAAAACTAATACTAAGTGAATCATCCCAGAGACACTATACCCTATCTTTAGCATAAGGAGATCTCTAAAGTTATATTATGCCCAGATACCAAAAAAGTTTAAATCAAATGTTTAAAAAGAAAATTAATATAAATTCCTTTAATTTTCCATTCAAATCCAGCGGAGTAGGTGGTCTCTTCATAGCACTTTTTCGTTTCAAAAACTTTTTACAACTAACATGTTTCACATGATTCAGATTAACTAACAACAATTCAGATTATAGACTTCATTCATAAATAGTGATAAAAAGGCGAATATATACATATGCAAATGTAAATGTGAAAAATTAATGAATGCCGTTTGACTGTGAATCACTTTAACCCGAATGGAAGATAATGATGATGGGTTGTTACATTAGTGGTGACTACTGATAGCTAATTGGAGTTTCCGGAGAAGACGCGTAAGACGACACGCTCCTCGCCAGTTGGCGGCAAGCCTGGCGTGGCGGGAGGCGTGTCGACGTATGTGCTCGCTGTGAGCAGCTCGCTTGGTAGGTTTTTGCCGCCACCTATGTCCATTTTAGAATCAACGGAAGGGACTAAGTCCCCGCCATTGTGGGCCGAATGTTTGCTCAGCAAACAGATGTGGGTGACGGACGGCTTCAAGTGCATGGTGTGCTCAAGCAAGTAAGGGAAGAATACAACGGGCGCTTCTAGTTCAAAGTGCAAATCATTTGTGTGCTGTACCTCACGCATTTTGAAGAAGGCCATACCCGTGAGCAGGGCATCCGAACCGGCCTGGTGCTGGGGTCCCACCCGTCGCAGCTCCAGCTGGTCGGCAACTTCCTGCAGGCCGCCCTTTAGGTTTTTACACGACTTCATCAGATACTTGATGTCGAAGATGTTGGGGAAGTAGATGTGCAGCAGCTCGAAAAAGTCGCTCTCATCGGCAGGCAGGTTCTGGTCAGTGAGCAGTTTGAGAAGATAGCCAAAATCGTAGCCAGAGTGAAAGCACAGCCATTTGATGTTCTCCACCAGCACGATGCCAGAGCTCATCAGCAGCTCCGCGAACTCAATGGGGTCGATGCCGTCCTCTTCGTGCTTTTTAAACTGGATGCCAGAGTTTTGCAGCAGATCTATCGAGTCCTGCGCGTACATATCCTCGCTAAACACATAAAAGAAAAGCAAGTTATTGAAAAACCCACCATTGTTGTCACTGGGAAGTGAGCTAACCTCAGGTTGAACTTGAAGTTGAACTGCCAGGTGGAGTAGCCGGGTGGCGTCTTGCCATCGTCGTCCATGAAGGTGAGGCCTAGTTGGATGATTCGTAGCAGGTCGACGTTACATCTCAAAAGCTGGTAGTGGTAGTCCGCCGTGGATCGAAACTCGCCAACGGGCCGGGCTACAACGCCTGGGAATTCGGTGTCCATGGCCACATAGTGATATTTCTGCACCACTTTCCGAATGGTTCGGAACTCCTCCTCAAGGTTATGCTTCCACACGTCCCGGATGCCGCACTCTTCGTTGCTGGGTATGTGAACCTGGCCGTGTGCCGCGCCACTGATGGCCGAGGGCATTGTCTGCGAATTGTAACGGATATCCGTTAGAGGACCAAGTAAAGCATATCTTTTCGAAAGGAAGGAAGTGTTCTGGAAGTGTGCGATTGTGTATTTGGACCGCCAAATGGAATTGGAGGTAATAAGTTCAAAGAACTGATGCATAGCGAATGCGTATTTAACAAGATTTTGAAGAAAAAATTTAAAAGAAAACAAAAAGAACCCAATAGAGTTTGTCTTATTTTCACAAAACTAAAAATCGAAAGCCAACATTATTGCCAATAACTTTGAAGACTTTGTCAAAAGCAAATTGAATTCAATAGTGAGTTTTGTTTATCATATAGGTAAAATGTATACATTTTTTCATAGTTTGCTTTAATCTCGATCCATGTGTATTGTGTTGTGTGTTGTAAGGAGGTGTCAGGAGGTTAGCAACATAATAAAATAGCCGGTCCAATTGGTTAAACACGTTAGCGAAATACAAATCAAAAGTTTATAATCGAGGTTTTGCCAATTTCTCAGTTAAAAGTGCTACAAAATTTTGCTGCTTTTACGAAAGAATAACAAAAAAATAAATAACAAACAATAACGAAACAAAGGCACATAATATGCAGAAACGATTTGGATAATTTGCTTTGGAGGTGGTTACGGTTACTGGACTGGTGATGGGTGTTACGATGGGACGCTACTTACATCGTCGCCGGTCGTCGCCGCCTGGTGCGCACTCTGCGCCGCCGGATCAGCCACCTCTTCGCACTGACCTACAACCGAGCCTCAAGCAACAAGTTCCTCTTGGGTATACGAGATAACGGTCTGATTCTGAAGCTCAATAGTCTTGATCAAGTGTAGAGGAACGGGAAATTCAATAAGTTTAATTCTGCCTTAAGGCGAAACAATTAAACCTAAATATCGTACACATACGAGCCCTTTAATACACATGCTCGCAATATTCCCCCTTTTAGGGTTTTATTCTGCTTTGATTTTATGTTGTTTAATACTGTTTAAAGGTTATTTATAAAATAATCTGCTCCAAAGTACTGTAATTAATTTACTCATATCGTATATGGTGACCCCATGAACGGCTTATCATGAAGATTATGATATTAAAGATAACAAATAACTATCTTTCTTTTAGTTTCTAAACGAATATTCCAAGTCTTACAGTTTGAATTGGCTTATCAAACTGTAAGACTTGGAATATTACAGTTTTTGGGAGAACTAGGAAATGCATTTTAAAATTCTATGATTTTGAAATAGACAAACTTCAAGATTACAAATGATTACAATTTATATTACAGACAAAACTTGTTTCAAATTATTATTCGGCGTTTTTAGAGAACTACACAACATCTAGATCAAGGTTGGGGCTATGTTTGGAAATCCATTCTTAAAGCATATGGGAAATATAATATATAAATCAAAGCAAGCATCGGCATATTGACTTAGTTTTTGTAGCAAACTCTCAACGAGCTCATCTGTGGGGATTAGCTGGACCTACTTTAATAAATATAATGGAGGGTTCTGGAAGCTGGAATCTATAGAAGGTATGCCTCCATCGAGTTTTCAACATTTCAAACACAGCAGGCGAAATAAAACCGATAAGTAAGATGACAACCTTGTTAGGGCATTCAGTGAAGGATTTGCAAAGGACAAAGGTAACCAAGAAAATAACGTTTGGTGGGAAATTGATCTTAAAATACAGTTAGGACGCCCTCAGAAAACTGCAAGCACACCCACACACACACACACACACACACACGCCAGTTCAACACACACACACGCCATAGCATTGAAGATGCAGTTTTACAATGGAAAGGCCAGTGGCCTTGGTGGTCGGCCCGCAGGTTGGAAATCCGTGTACCCGACCGCTTTTCACGTAGCTTACCCATTTCATAATATGTGATGGTCGGCAATAATGTTGATTTCTCTACTTTGCAATTACTGTCGGCGTCTCCTCGTTTGTTGGTTGAGGAAAAGGGCGGGGGTAGATGTCTGGATTCCGGCACCTGGGCTTCCTGGGCGGGAAATATTAGCACGGGACCGTTAAGACAGCGATACTCCACTTTTGGCAATAACTTCCAATAGATTGTAGTCAGCGAATATTGTTTGCGAGCCGCGCAAGTGCCATAATATTGTAAAAAAGTTAGATTTGCAGGGCAGTGTTATTAAACGGTCGTTTTCGATTCCAGTGTTGGGTAGCGTAGCCAGCTGGAATATCGATATAGAGCTGCCACCAATCCAAAATTTTGCACATCTGTCTCTGTGTCGGGGTAATGTAAAATATAAAATTGTAAATGTTTGTGGTGTGCTGCTGCGTTTCATGTTATCTGTTTGTTATAAATTTAAAGTTTGACTGTACGAAAAATCATCGCTGACTTGCTGAGCAATACGGAGCGTCTATCGGTTTGATTTAGTTCTCCCAACAGCCGCCTAGGTGGCGCTGTGGTGTGAGTGCTTTTGTGTGTGGTGACAACCCTGCTTTTGCAGCTGCTCGTGGAAAGCAAGCAAATTTACTTAGTTCAATTTCACCGGGAAACTTTTAACATTATAACTTAAATACAAGCTGCCTGCAACTAGAAATGGTGTCGAATTCGGTGTAAGAAAAAAGCAAGTGCTCAAGTGCAAGTTTAATGGAGTTGTCGTGGTGCGGCTTTTCTCGGCAACTAACTCAGTTGTTGTTGTTTCGTGATTCGCCAATTTGAGGAAAAAAAGTTACCTCGCGTTATTAATAAACAAGTGCAACTAAACAATTCGTTCCCCTGTTTTGTTTTGGATGTTTTCGCTTTGTTTACACTAACTACGGCAACTATAATTAACAAAAACTAGTTTTCGAGGTAAGTGGGAAGAAAAGAAAAAGAAAAAAAAATGCAGATTCCATCACGCCGTCTATCATAAGTGCGCAATTACATACATACATATATACAGACGCTTTCAGTGTGTGATCTCTTTGACACTCAGTTACATACGCACATCGGATATATGTGCATGCATATACGTATGTATGTACTATCCGTGGACCGGCAAATAACGGATTTCACCAGTTCCAATGAAGGGCCGTTAAACTTTCCATGCCTCGCACGTTTTTGAACTTTTTAAAGCTTTGTAAATTTCCGGTTAATTAATTTCTGATAAAACTTGTGATTTGCTATGCTGTTCCTATACTGATAAGAAACATTTTCTTATCGCGCGTCCTTGAAATCGATCGGTAATATAGATAACGTTGAATTTAAATACCTCTTTTTGCTATAAATTTAAAATTAAACAAATGATTGGTTAAAGTTAGGAAAATATACTTTTTAAGAAGTAAAATTTGCAGAATTATGACTAGATGCAGCATGCAGAATTATATATGTATGTACATGTATGTATTTGAACAATGTAAAGATGAGAAGCTTAAGAAAAGCTCAAAATTAAATACAACAGTTTTTATAATGTAATAAAAATCAAAGTCAAGGCTTATTATGATTCCTTTACCTTCATATTTGTAAATGTAGATTTGCAGGGTATTTAGAATTCAGTAAATAATAGCAATAGCAATTAATTCAAATAATTATATCATTACAGATTATTTTGAGGGCATAGGAGGCCCACAAAAAAGTTTTATCAGAAAGCCATTTAAATCGTAATAATTGAAAAATATTAACTTTATAAAAACTAACACAGCATCTTTCCGAATCTAAATTAATGCATTTTTGTCTAAGTTATAATATATTGGATACATCGATCCAATTTCGTACTGTAGGGGTAATTAAAATTCGACTACCCTTCTGTTTTTTTCTCGTGTGTTTTATTTTCTCATAAATTCCCTACAAATTACTTTGCACTAATAGCTACTAAATGTGCTTAAATGACTGATAAACAATTTGAAAACTATTGTATTGTTAAGCCTAATAAAGCCCTATTTTCTAAATGTACAAAATACTCGCTCTATATCGCACAGACAAAACAAATACCGAACAAAAACCCTTCTAAATTGTGAATAAAACGCTTGCAAAACAAAGCAAAATTCAATTTACATGCATATATCTCGTGCTTGAATTTGCTTTTATCAACGGAGCAATTTGATCACGTTTCAAGCGATTCCAACTGATACTTTCAACTCTGCTCCGTCGCTCGTTGAGCTAATTGAGACGGCTGGTCGATCGTGTGATCACTGATCATTTGTTATTCTTCGGGCACGCGATCAGACGGTTTCTTCTCTCAGTCTTGCGCTAGCTTCCAAACCGAACTGAGCTGTTCAGCCAGAGCTTTCCAAAGTATAGAATATAAATTTATAGTTCTGGCATAGAAAATACCTTGGAATTAAACAAACGTGCCGCCGCGCCCTTTATACAAAACATTTGTGCAAATATTTACGTGAGTTTCAGACAAAATACGAAGATGAAAGAGGTTGACAATTAGAATGTTTCAAAATGCTATTGCTATTTGTACCTTGAAGTGAAAATATGCGTCGATTTACCTTGAGACCTGTCTATTATTATTTCTTATAAACGTACTTTTGAGGCAGAAGCTTAGAAAGACAGCTATGGGATCATTACTTGACTCTACTTACTTAAATTACTGAAGAATTGTCTTCCATAACAGTTTGTGAATGCTTAAAATCTAGATTTAATTTATAGATTTACTTTTATTTGCTGTTCTTATAATTTCTCGCACACCTAATCCGGTGGGACATTTGTAAACATTAAGTTTGTTTACCATAAACCTGTATTTTTTCTATTGTCTAGATTTTTTCACTGTTCTTTTTTTATTTTTTGCTTTGGGCCATAACATTGGTTGATGTCTATTTTGTTTTTGGCATTGTCTGTCACGCAGACGTCTAATAATCAAAATCTATAATTATGCCAAGTAAGTTTGAGAAGTCGTTGAACTTAGAAAGATGAGTGAAATATTATGAAATAGGTAAAAAGTGCTCTTTATTTATCCGGAGATTACCCTTTCAGGGCATTCCTTTCTTTTTGCTTTTTTTTTTTTTATCAAAACCATTGAAAATCCCTTAATTAAAATTACAGAGAAATACTAATATATTGTACTTATAATACAGAACTAAAAGAACTTTGTTTCTGTTACCTTGCTGATGTTATTAAGTAGTCAAAGATATGTGAATTAATGCTTTAACTTATCTTTATATTACTTCCTTCAGGTGACACAAGCACCATAGTATGACCCTCAAGGAGTGGGGATACCGGGTGCTGCCCGGTCTAAAGTGGCTGCATGGATACACTGGTCAGGATGCGGTGGCAGATCTAATAGCCGGCGTGACAGTTGGCCTGACGGTGTTGCCCCAAGGATTGGCTTATGCGACTCTAGCTGGATTGGAGCCACAGTACGGTCTGTACTCGGCCTTTGTGGGTGGCATCATATACGCCATGCTGGGCAGTTGTCGGCAGGTCACCATTGGACCCACAGCGCTGCTCGCACTGATGACCAGCCGGCACACTGGCCTGGGACTAGGATCGGGTCCTGCCTACGCGATACTGCTGTGCCTCATCTCGGGAGTGGTGGAGTTGGGAATGGCGGTACTGAAGCTGGGTGCCCTGGTAGATCTCATATCGCTGCCGGTTACGGTGGGATTTACCTCCGCCACGGCCGTTATCATTGGCACTTCGCAGCTTAAGGGTCTACTGGGATTGAGAGGTGGCTCCGGCTCGGATTTTATCAACACCATGCGCTCGGTATTTGGTAATCTTCATCAGGTGCGACGAGGTGACTTTACTCTGGGACTGGTCTCCATTATAGTTCTTCTAGTGCTAAGGGTAAGGATATTTATGTAAATTTTTTACTTATAATCAGTCTAAATCCAATATTTTTTCTTTAGAAACTGAAAGATGTAAAGCTGAACGGACGAATTCGTAGCTTGCGGGCTCAGCAGCTGGTAAGCGGAAGCATATGGGTCATAGCCACTGGACGAAATGCCCTGGTGGTGCTGGTGACCAGTGTGCTGGCCTACAGTACCTGCGACCAAATGGACAGCTGTCCGTACATCCTTACGGGAAAGGTGAAGAGTGGTCTACCCAACGTTGCGCTGCCCAAATTTGAGACCACGATTCTGGACAGGAATGGCACCGAAATCCCACAAAACTTTGAACAAATGGTAAGTGTATATATTTCTTTTTATTCATTCCTTTATTTCTATACTATCTACTTCTAAACTATAACTATATTTAAGTTAGAACAATATAGAGATGGTTTGTTTGGTCAAAACTTGTAAAGGAGTCGTTTCCAACCCTATAAATCATATATATGATTGATCAGAATGAACAGCTGAATCGATCTAGCCATGTCTAGTGGAAATTTAAATTTTTGCATATTTTCGACAAAAAATTGAATTTTATAAATTTAAAAACGCAGTATGCAAGTTTGTTAGCGCCTTAAAAACTAGCTTAGATCAGCTTTCCGAAATGAAATTAATGCATTTTTGGCTTAATTACGATGTTTGAAAAACGCTGATTATTTACAAAAATTGCCTGTTTTTATACCTTTTTACAGGTTATTATAATTTTATTCAGAATCTTTTAAGAGCATCAACAAACGCAGTATGCACATTTGTTAGCGCTTTAAAAACTAACACAGAACAGCTTTCCGAATTAAAATCAATTCGTTTTTGGCTTAATTATTATGTTTGAAAAACGCTGATTATTTACAAAAATTGCCTGTTTTTATACCTTTTTGCGGGGTATTAGTATTAATTAGAAGCTTAAATCACAATCAAGGAATCATTTCCGACCCCATAAATCATATATATTATTGATTAGTATCAAAAACTGAATCAATATAGTCATGACCAGTGAAAAAAATTTTATTTTTTATTCTTAAAAAAAATAAAATTTTTATAAGGGGTTACATCGTTAAAATTTTTATAAATTGACAATATTTTTTGTTTTTTTAACTATTAAATTGAGTATGCAAATTTATTAAGCTAATAAAAACTAACACAAAATTGCTTTCCGAATTAAAATTAATGCTTTTTTGCCATAGTTATGAGTTTTTTAAACTTTGAGTTCCTAAAAATTAATTATATAAATATCGACTCAAATATGATTCGATTCCGATTAATTTAATTGGAAACTGCGAGGCTATATAATCATCGTCTTCCCGAAGTCAGTTTTCTTTCTTAATGATTTATATAGGTCCTTATCTATAAGTTATTACAAATCTTTCTTTTTAATTACTAAATATAGCTCTCAGAATTGGGACCCTCTATGCTGATTCTACCCATAATTGCTGTATTGGGAAACGTAGCGATTTCCAAGGCATTTGGTGGCGCCGGCCTGAGTCCAACGCGGGAACTGGTGGCTCTATCCATGAGCAACATCTGCGGCGCCTTCTGCAGCTCCATGCCGGTGACAGGATCGTTTTCGCGAAGCGCTGTCAACCATGCGAGCGGAGTGAGGACACCCCTCGGTGGCTGCTATACGAGCGTTTTGGTTCTCCTGGCCCTGGGACTGCTGGCACCCTACTTCCAGTATATTCCTAAGGCCGCTCTCAGTGCTGTCATCATCTCGGCGGTGATATTTATGATCGAGTTTGAAGTAATTCGTCCGCTATGGCGCTGTAGCCGCCGGGAGCTGTTACCGGGAGCCATTACCTTCGTATTGAGCCTGGCAGTGGGCGTGGAGATTGGACTACTACTAGGAGTAGGCGCAGATGTGGCCTTTCTGGTTTACCGGGCCGCGAGGCCTGTGTTGAGCGTCTCCAAACTGCAGACTAGCCATGGCATTAACTACATTCTGATCCGGCCGAAGCATAGTTCCCTGTACTTCCCGGCCATCGAATGGGTTCGTTCGGGCATCTCCAAAGCTTTGACCACGCATGGCACTGCTCCTGTGGTCCTGGATTGCGCCCATGTGCACGGTGTGTACCAAGTTCTAATAATTGGTTCATTTAATTAATCAACATATATTCTTGTTGCAGATTTCGATTTTACGGCAGCTCGAGGAATGGGATCGCTAAAGAAGGAGCTCGCCAAGGCGAATGTGCCCTTGTTCCTAATGAGTGCCCATAAGGATATCGGTGTGATACTGAAAGAGTCAACCAACATTGATTTCCCCACGATAGACTGTCCCGATGATCTGGAACCAATTTTGGAGCAAAGTGAGACCTGCTTTGGTACTTTATCCGTTCTGCACGATCACAAACATTCTCCTTCTAAATATTCATGCTTTAAATCTATGCTTTTATTCACAGCTTGCTCCACTGTTTGATCACATCACACCTAAGCACACTCCATCTCTATATCCCACGTCTATTGGTTTCTATATAATGAAATTTATATTTTTTGCAGCTCCTGACTATGTGCTCCACTTGCAGGTCACAGCACCGCTCGTCGAATCCCGTTTGGTGCACTGTGGTGCCGGAGAACCCACTGAACTGAGTAAGCTTAATGGAAAAACTACTTCATAGAAGCAGGAACCTCAAATTCACAATGCAGGATATAAGAAAAACGTTAAATTTAAATGTACTTAAGTATGCAAACAATCTTCCTGCTCAATCTTTGGCATAAGTACATTCAAACCGAGCTCTCTACGCTTTCTAGTATTTACCTTGAGCCACATTTCATTTCCAACTCTTTCATTCCTATATTTAATGTTCCTTCGCCAATTCATAACGTGCTCGAATAGCTTAAGCTTTAATTGTATATATACAAATGTGTAGTTAGGTTTTATAATGTTATAATTGTTTGCGTTTTGTACTTTTATATATATATTTTTTTTTACAAATCCAAGAAAGACATCACAAACACGACAGTTGGTCGTTTGAAAAATTTGTTAACGCTTCACGTAATTTATTTTTCATTTTTCCTTGCAAACCTAGCGATAGACTTAAATTATTCACTAAATATTCATTTTCACTTTTTTGTCAGACCAAACATATCCCCAAAAGGCTGCCACCAGTTTTCTTTTTGTTTAAGCCAGAGCCTGTCCGATTCTAGGGTATATCGATTCTATATTAATATTTGAGATAGAAAATTATATAAAATCGATTATAAATAACTGGCTCTGGTTTAATCTTATAAAATTCGCATTTATTTAATATTTAAAATAAGAACTGAAGCCTAATTAAAAAGGATTTGTATAAAACTAATTTTTACATGCGTAGTCAAACAATTAAAATGAACTTTTAAAAATACTACAAAATAATCTTCAGCATATTTAACTTACAAAAAAAACATTGAAGGCAATAAATAGCATATAAGAAGTAAGGTCTAGGGTAGCCCTAAGGATAGCATAGAATAGAATTCGAATGGGATACGATGAGTACAACATTTCACAACAACAACTGACATTTACAAATCGGTGATCTCGTGGTGAGATTCGTATGCAGCGGAGGAGGAGGATACCCCGCTCCTGCCGGACTGATCCTCACTGCTGATGGTTATCCGGGTGAGCAGCTCGGTCTGGATGCGTTTCAGCACCTCGACCACCTCGCATAGGACGCCGCTCTGGGCCGCCTGCTGCATGGCCTCGTTGGCGTCCACCAGCGCCTCATTGAGAGCTCCCAGCTCCATGCGCGCCTTCGCCCGGGCGTAGTAACCCTCGTAGCTATGAGGCTTCTGAGCAATTGCCTGCGTGGCCAAATCTATGGAGGCGTCAAGTTCCTGCAACGAATATACAAAAAGGTAATTAAATTTCTTGAAAAAGATCTGGAAAAGCTAATCTTACATTCAATTTTCGCTTGCAGCGCGACAGATTCAGCAGGAGATTGGTCCGGAGCTGGGCAAAGATCGCATTCCTCTCGAGCAGCTGTTCCAGTCCAGAGATCTTCCGCAGGGCGTACTGGTACCGATGCGCGGCCTCCTGAAAGCGGTTCTTCCGGTACAGGACGTTACCGTCCTCCAGCAACTTGTTGAGCAGCACCACCAGTATCTCCGGCTTGCCCATGGCCATGCTCCAGGTGGTGGGACCCAGTTTGGCGCCCTTCCGCAGAAAAACCTGGACAGCCTGGATGTTCCGGCAGGCAATAGCACGGTCCAGCGGCCGCATTCCATGCACATCGATGTGCTCCAGATTGCCGCCCTGGTCCAGGAGATACAGGACCAGACTGGCAGCTCCCTGATATGCGGCCAGGTCCAGAGCTGTGCGTCCATTGTGATCCTCGTGGTGGCGATTGCAGCCATGCTCGATGAGAGTCTTCGCCGCCGCCAAATGCCCACGAAGGCAGGCCCAGCTGAGTGCCGTGAATCCTTCATGATCCTGTGCTTCCAAGGCAGAGCCCCGGGCCAGGAGCAGTTCCATTAGCTCCAGATGACCCTCCTCCGCGGCAATCATCAGCGGCGTCTTCCGCGTCTGTCCCAACGGCTCATCTAGCAGTGCACCACGCTGTAGCAGCTGCTCCACCACGCTCCAGTGACCCTCCTTGACGGCCAGCCAGAGAGCAGTGTATCCCTGCCGGTTCCTGGCATCGATCTGAGCACCGCGGGAAAGCAGGATGCCCACCACATCGACGCAGCCATGACGAGCGGCGGCGGTCAGAGCCAGTTCCCCGCTGCTCGGCTCCATTCCATTGACATCCAGATCGAACTCGGTCTCGTTGAGATCCAGTAGATCCTCGAGGATTTTGCAGTGCGCCTGCGCGGCAGCTCCAATCAAAGCCTGCTGCAGCGCCATCGATCGGGTCACGTCCTGGGAATGCGGCCTCGGCGTCCAGTCGCAGGCCAGTAGATACTTGACCACGCTCAGATGACCCATGCGAGCAGCATGGACCAATGCACAGCGCTGAGTGATGTCCAGCTGACCGAGACTGCTGCCGGCGGCCACCAGTGGACGGACCACATCGCAGTGGCCACGCATGGCGGCCAGGATCAGGGGAGTGCATCCCTGGCTATTCGTCAAGCCCACATCGGCGCCAAACTCCAGAAGGAGGCTCACCATGGGCAGGATTCCCTCATGAGCCGCAATGCAAAGGATGGGTGCTCCACCCATGTAATCCGTGCGATGATTTGGAGAGGCTCCAGCCAGTAGAACCAGTCGTGACACCTTCAGATTCGGACTGTAGACGTTTCGCAAGGCGCCCAGCGAGGAGGAGATGTTGTCCGCTGCTCCTGCCAGCCAATAGGATTGCAGATCCCTGGGCGAGAGGAGTGCCTGAGTGATTCCGCCGTAGAGATGAGCCTTCAGCATGTGATGACCCAGTTCCAGAGTAAGCTGCGGCGAAAGCGGAGCCTGCAGTCGGGACAGCCGGAAGGCGATGGCTGCATGACCCAGTCGAGCGTCGCACAGGAACTTGCTGGACTCGCCTTCATCCCGTCGCATCAGCCACTCCCTCAGCGAGCTGTGGAAGAACATGTAAGTGTTGTCCAACCTTTTGATCAGGAATCCGTCCAGCAGCTTGAAACGCTGCATAAAGTCCGGCCAACTCAGTGCCTCCCGGCCATGGCCCAGTGCCTCCATGCTGTAGTAGATCTCGTCCAGCGTCAGCGGATACAGGGCTGCCAGGCAGACATTCAGGATCGGAGCAGCCTGCTCGAAGCTGCGCGCTGTCGGGAAGCGCAGATTGAAGTGCAGCAGGAAGATCTGAGCCAGCGACACGGGTAGAACCTTGTAGCTTGAGGATTTGATCACCAGCTGGCCACGACCAATGAGATCCAAGATGAGCTTGGTGTACAGCATGGAGCCCCTGCTCAGCGACTGCAGATGGGACACGAATTTCGCCTGTGGCTGGCTGCCCGCCTGTGAGTTTTGACCGCCGCCGCCAATATTCATCCTGATTTCGGGACTATCCGCCAGGCGGGCTCCAATATAGTCCAGCATGTCCTGCTGCAGGGCCTGGCTGCTGGCCCAGCTGTCCAGTGTGACCTGCGTGTAGCTGGGCGCCTTGACCAGCTCCAGCATCTGGGTCCGCACGGTGGCCACCAGCTTCAGCCAGGCGGGAAAGTGTGGTGTAAGCTGGGCCAGGAAGCTTGCGATGGTGTGCCCATGATCGGGACGGTGATATTCCGCCTCGCACAGGGCATCCACCAGGATGACGGCCACTTTGGCAGGTATCTTGCCGGCTCGATGCAGCTGGGCCAGCGGTTCCAGTATAGCCAGCTTCATTACTCGCTCTGCATCCGCAATGCATTCGCGCACACTGAGGATGTCCTGCAGATGTGGCTCCGACAGGAGGTAGTCCCTGTAGGCGGTCAGCTGCGGGGCCTGGCAGAGCTGGGCGGCCAGTGAGTGGACAAAATCCGGCACCTGGCAGGTCAGATTGGCATCCGCCTGACAGAAATGGTAGCCGACCATGTGGGAGGCCAGGCCACGCATCCGTTCACAGTGGGCGCCCAACTGCAGCTGGCTGTAGATCCCATCCGGATCCTCCTGCATCTGTCGTCGTCCGAAACAGGAGTACTCCACCAGCTGCAGGCAAAAGGCGGTCTTTCCGGTGCCGGGTTGTCCATTGATCAGCACCACACGCGTCTCGGTTCCGAGGAGGATGTTGGACAGCTGCTTCACCAGCCACTGGCGACCCACATATGGAGGATCGGGCTCCTGGAGGGGTACCTCGAAGAAGAGGGGCTTGAGAGCCAGTTGTACAGCTGCTAGCGTGGAGGCTGCTACTCTCGAGGCACCTGACGCAGCCGCCGATGAGTTGGAGCTGGATCCCTGCTGTCCACGGGTTGATCTCCTGGCGTTTCCCTTTCGACTCTTGCCCGGCAGCGCCTCGTACACATGGAGCATGGAGCCGCCGGTTTTAAACTTGCCACACAGGCTCAGGGCATCCTCCTTGATGCCATGACTGGTGGCCACCGAGAGTTGGCTGCCGCTGAGCAATCCGCCACCGCTGGCCAGTGTCTGCTCTGGACTGACGTTTTGCGATGAGCTGCCACTGGTGGTGGTGCTGGCCGCTCCCACTCCACTGCTGCTGGTGGTGCTGGTGGTGGAGTGGGCGGAGATGGGATCGCATCCGCTGCCACTGCTGCTGCTGTTCCCATTGCTACCGGGATCGTTCAACAGCAGACCTAGTCGGGCATGGAGCTGATCCTTTTGCAGTTTCTCGTTCAGCAACAGGGATGAGTGATGATCGAGGGCGTCACTACCTGTGGTGGGAAAGAACAGAGAGGGGGATTAGGAGTGTGTCATCATTTGGGTTACCATTTTAAAAACAAAAATGTGAATCAAAAATGTATTAAAAACATGCAAAATGTCCTCGAATCCTAAAGGATCAGAAAGAACTGGGTTAATGGACGACAATGAGAGTGCAACATGCTAAATCTAACACTGAAGGATGCATGTAAGGAGTACGGATCCGTGCCTGCTAGTTGGTTCAGTCCCGTCTCACTGGAGTTGGACGAATTGACACTCCACAAGGACTTGATCTTGCCAAAGACCAATGAGGAAAGATGTCCAGCATAGACGGAGGTGCCTGCCAGGCTGAGCCTATTCAGGCGGTTCTCGCTTCCCGCTCCATCCCGGGCGGAGGTCTTCAGGTTGTGGTTGCTCACATTCTTGCGTCGCCTCCTGGTCACCGCCGAATCCGAGCAGGTCGACGTATTCAGTGCATTGGTCTCCTTGCCTGTAGCCTGATGATCGTGTTCGTGATTGTGCTGATGAGGATGATCTAATGATGGATGCTGGGTGAGTTATCTTTTCGAATATATGCTTTATAATAAATCTCCTGCTAAATGGAATTCATCCTCATCGAGGAATAATGTTTCTAATGATTGGTTGACCGTGTGGTAACCTCCGAACCAGAACCCACAACTTAAACCCATGTTAAACTTACCTCCCGAGAGGATCGAGGCCGTGTCAGTGGGACAGCCCCCATTGGAGGCAGTGCGTCGATGGCCGCCGCCTACTCCGCCAGCTGTGCTCCCACCGCTGCCTCCTCCTCCTCCACCGATGAGGGCGCTGCGCAGATTCTTGTGGTTGAAGAAACGCCTGCGCGTCGGTGGTGTGGCAAAGGCCGGTGGTGCCGCACTCAGTTCACTGTAGACACCATGGATGTTGTGGCTCAGGCTGCTGCTGCGACTGTGGCCAATGTGTCCGATGGCATTGTTGGCCATGAACTGCTTGGCGGCGGCTGAGGCAGCGGTTCCTCCTCCTAATCCTCCTCCTGCTCCTCCTCCGTTGTGGTGCTGGTGGTGCACATCGACGGTGACGGTTTGTGTGGTGCCAATGCCATTCGCAGAGGCCACGGCCCGGGGCAATTTTCCATTGCTTGCATAGCGGTGGTGGTAATCCGGCGACTCTGATTCCTGCCGATGCTGCTGCAAAAATTTGTGAATAGAGTTAGAAACTTATCAATGATGAAAGTCGAATGCACCTGGAAAAACAGAAACCCCCATCTGCCTTAGGATGCCTCGGATTTAGAAGGAGTTTTCGAACATATTTTTCTCTGTGTAAAAATTAAGCACACTTCGTTGATGCCGGGACAGGCCCCAAGGAAAAGGCGTTGCATATTCATTGGTCACATATGTGTGGGTTATCCTAATAGGAAAGCGTTCAAATGGGAACAGATTTGAAAAGGAAACCAGGTGGTGCATCTAGGCATTAAAGGTATCTTTGTGCCAGTCTTATCCAAAGTCCCTCCGGTTCAGACATAATTATCATGTCAAGTTCAGGCTGTCTAGGTGGGGGTTTTCAACTGTTACACTAAGAAAAATAATGTAAGGAGACTTTAAGCAACTATACAACTACTTCTACTACTTTGACAGCTTCTTTGGTCATGCTTCTTTTCAGAGAAATTTAAATACTTTCAGGGCAAAATATTTTCCCAAGTGCATTATATGCCTAAGAGGCTTAGGGCTTGTCCAGTTTCTGGACAGTTTGTCCTCCACTCTGGCTGGACTCCACCCGAAACCAATCTCATTCACATGCTCCACGACCAGGTCTTAGTCATCGCCTAGTCCTCGCCTCCTTTTGGAACGTGGGGATTCGTCTTAATGAACTGCAAATCATTTTCTGTCTGCGTTGGTTTGCGCCTTCTCTTGTTTTACTTTTTTTTTTGGGTAGGACGGGAGAGACTGGACGTGGCACAGTAAAGAGCTCCAAAACATGATTTCCAGGCCGGAATCAGCCACACAACCTAAGAACCAGTTTACGTTCTGTTCTGTGTGGGATAATAAGGCGAAATTGGTTGGCTTCGCCAGACGCAGACGGAGGCCATTAATTGAGAGGAGGTAGGAGGTGTGTGTTTGTGGAGGCAGGCAGGTGGCTGGCAGCCAGGGAGGATCTTTGGACTTTGGATCTGAGCCAAAGTTATGGAGGGACTGTTATGAAATTAATTGAAACCCAAGGATTCGAGCAGCAGGTATCGAAGGATCGAACTTTTATTTTTTTTAGATCATCGATTAGAGGGGCCTTAAAAGAGTTGTTGAAATTATGGTTAGAACTTGAAGCTATTCAATTTGAGCCACTTGGATGATTGTGATTTAAAACGAGAACCTCTCCTGACAAGTTGGACCGCCTGCGGATGTCTGTCTGGGTGCTCTGGTTCTCTTCCTCCAGCGGATGTGTCTGTGATTCTGGGACTTGTAGTCACGACCACGATTCGCCCACTTCCGCTGGAGGATGGAAGTAGAGGCTGAAGCCAGTCTGCCCACAAAGACGACGATGTCAACTCACTAAGTACATCCAGCAGAATCTGTCTATTTGACAGAGAGACAGATAAAGTTGCATGGGTTTAAATTTAAAAATAAAAACAAAAAAAGAAAGATGACTTTAAGAAACCGAAGTTTCCCGAAATTTAAATCAATCATAACTAAGCTAAAAATTCATTAATTTCCATTCGGAAAGCTGTCCTATGTTAGTTTTTGTTGGGTTAACAAATCTGCATATCCAATTTAAAATTTCTGAAAATTTAAATTTTTGTCAATTTTGGCAAATTTTAACGATGTAACCCCTTATAAAAATTTTAAATTTAAAAAAATTTTGAAAAAATTATTTTTTGACCGTATTTGGCTAAATCGATTCGCTTGTTGATTCTGATCAAGAATATATATACTTTATAGGGTCGAAATTGGCTCCTTCACTTTATAAAATACTTCTGACTAAATTTAGAATACCCAAAAAAGGGTAAAACTATTTATATTTATTCTCAAATAAATATAGTTTGAATTTTGTCAGGGTTTTAAGGAAAATCCTATTAATTCCTGTCGCACATGTCTATTATTTTTTGCTACTACCATTTTGAGGCCTTTGCCTACTAAGTCTATCTTATCGACAGGCTTCAATCTTGATGCCGACTGCTACCGGGATCAGCTGGGGAATTCCATGGAGCTGATCTCCTATCCATCGATTTGGCGGATCAATGGATCCGTGGGCAGAGTTCCGCCTCTATCTCGTCGTAATTAAGCTGCGGTTCGCTTTGGTCCGTTTCGATGCACTTCAAGCCGGAGCCCAACCCAATCCAATCCAAGATCGAGACTTTGCCCCCACCCGAAGCCAACCCCTTTCTTCTATCAATAGCTCCGTGGAAAGGCTTTTTTTTAAACTAGTTCGTCGTGGGGTCTCGGGTCTTGGATCTTGAATCTTGAATCTTGAATCTTGGATCTCTTATCGCTTCCCGCGGCGTCGTTTTAATTGGCCCCATCACTTTGATTAAGTTGTAGCCGGCACACGAGCTGTGCTTTGGAAAATAATTAACAAATTATGCCTGCCATACATGGGGGCCCCGTGGAAAATTTGAAAATTGAAAAAAAATCACATCTTGGCAATGGTGATTTTCACTTTTCTCGCTCGGCAATTTGTCCAACAGTTGGAGAGAGAAAGAGGAGTTGCCTTGGCTACCGCCATAAAATTTGCACTGCTGGATGGCGATGGTTTTTTGCAGACACACTGAGCTGCAAACAGGATGCCATTAAATAGTGTAATTTGTTAAGGAACACACAGGTCATTGTCCATTACACGAACATGATGATGTTTTCATAAATGAGCAGGGGGGTGTAAGGTTGCATATCTAAATGACTAAAGAAACACTATGGGATGGTAAATTGCAGGAAAACCTCAAAAAATTCTCTATAAAATTTGGTTATTTATTATCTTCTAATCCATTCACGATACTGCCAAAAAATTTACAAATTATAATCGTGAGAACACACCAAAAATGTAGCTGGTGAAAAACAAATCATGCTGGAAAACTCATGGAACTGTCAACTTTTTTGGGCTCTGAACTCTGGCCGCTCCTCCGGCAGCAAACAAATGAGCAGAACGAGCCAATTGACCAACTGACTTACTACTAAACCTAACAGAAACTATAGTATATCGAGCGGAAAACCGGACCGGATCGGATTGGAATGGTCCAAGGAGCTCAAGGGGGAGACGGAGACTAGGAGTCGTCGCATTGAGGCGCAGGTGTAATAATGCCAGCTGCCACGGAACCCGGCCAGAAAAAAAAGCGCAAAAAGCCAGTAATTGTAATATGACAAACCCGCATTAATTTGCTTGCACAAAAAAACAAAAACCGAGACTGAAACTGAAACGAAACCGAAACTGAGAAAATCAGAGAGACACAGAGAAAATTTCAAGTTGATTATTGTACTGAATATTTAGAAAAGTATTGCATTTCAAAGTATAGTTTATGAAAATGATTCAAGAGAGCTTTAGATCTGAGTTAATATATTTCAGAGATTATTTTCCTTGAATTTACTGCCCAAAAAATCTGGTTCCAGTGTATCCCATGCAATTATTGTGGAGGCATTTAATGACCGAGTCCACCGAGCCGGCAACAAGATTAATGGTTCATTCAAGAATTCGATTTCGGCCACAACAACAACGGCAGGTTCATATCAAAAGCAGGCATTTTTTTTTACTGCTTTTTAAATTATGAAAAATAAAATATATACATCTCATGGGTAGCCGCGGGGCGTTAGCAAGAACAACAACTGCGTCACAGAATTTGGCGGTCCCAGACATTGTGACACCAGCAACATGCAACAGCAGCAACAGCAGCAGCAGCAACAGCAGCAACATGCAGCAGCAATTGCAGCTCCAATCCCCCAACCAAAGACTTGTTTTTGGCCATTTCCAACGAGGGTGTGGACCCAGGCAGGCAACCGCCAACCGGCTGGTTAAATCAAATGATATTTCAACAAGCGTTGCTTGTGTTGAAAAATAATTGTTTAAATGTCATAAAATAAACAACACTAACCCAGCGGAGGGTCAGCAGCACACAAGATGTGAGGAGGAGGAAAATTGCATCAAAGTAAACCGAATTAATGGATTATCTTAAAGACTTAGATTCCATTACAGATTAATTAAATGTCTGGGATTATTAAGATCGTTCAGGGGTGTGGCTTGAATTAAAGCTAACTAAAGAGCGAATAATTAAATAATAATCATTTTAACCCAACCGTAAATAATAATAAAATAATAATTATGGTTATAAACTGAAATAGAAAGTGGTTACAAGTTCTCAATAATTAATTTCCCCTCCAAAGCGCCCTCGAAACCTTGAAATAAGATTGCAAAACTTTACAAACTCGACTTTATTCATCCATGACAAATGTCTATGATCACGAATTGCATATGAATGAGTATGAATGTTCGAGTATCATTTAGTTGAGAATCATTAGCAAATTGCATGCAAAAAAGCCTTTTGTGCGATTTTAAACGCGCTGGCATTTGAGAATTGCCGGGTAAAAAATCGTCCACCAATGGAAATCGTCGTGCTTTGTGAATACATTTTGTGAATATATCAAGACCTAATGCCTGAGCACTCTGGCCAACGATTATGATTGCCAAATCTTTGAGGTGGCATTATTAAAACATATTTCTTGTATTGTAATCATTGGCAGAATGTTGGCCATGTGCAAAATGGATTTTTCTTGTTATGTTAAGATCAACAATTTTTGGAAGTGCACTGAAATCGGAGCCAAGACAAACAAAGTCTCTCAAGACTTTGTTTAATTTAGTTTTTGCATTAGGCTGATGTCAGAGCAATTTGAATACCAAATTTTATGGGGATTACTATTACTACCACTGGGGGAGTCATTAAAATGGGGTTTGCTATTCGATTGCAGTCAAGTGAAAGCTTTCGCCTGGCTACTTGGTAAAGTGGAAATGCTTGCCGAACCAACAATAAACAAGAGCCGTACATTAATCAGTTGAATAAACAAATCAAGCTGGGAAAACTGTATGGCAAATAAAAGCCCGAAAAAAAGAGATAAAGTTGTTGTCAGACGATTGCGGACATTTCGACAATTGCAGAGCCGAATTGAGTGAGAAATTAAAGACCGCGGACTCTACATGACCATAATTAATTGACAAG